TCTTACAAATACCTGTCACCAGAACATTCAGAGAATTTAGTTTGTTGGAAATTATTATATCAGACAAAATAGCTTCTTGTTGTTAGTGTTAAATGTATTCATTTGAGCAGAATCTTTGGAGAGGGCTTTTGCTTTTAGCTTTCTGACCATTCTACCTGTTTGGGCTGCACGATTTTGGATTGCAATAGTTCTAACCATCCTTGAGTTTTTTCCTCATAGAAATACAAGATACACTACAAACAATTTACGTACAGATAGACGCTTGAATGATGTGATTGCCTAAGTTATGCAACACAATTGACAGTTTATATAAATTACAAAAAGAGCATGAGTCTGAGTTGGAAGGAGAAAATATTGTTTCTGCCCGACAATTAGACCAAAGACACACCAGATCCGTTGACAAACTTTCAAAATTAATCCAAAACTAGAGAAACGTTCCCAAATTTAAATTAGGTTTTTCTTGTCTTTAGTCCCTTTCTCATTTGCAACTCAAATATTTGCAGTCATGCTATAGTGATTTGCTCATTCCAACCATGAAAAAAATCTTTAAATATTTTCCTTTTCATCTTTCCGCTTGCTTACATTTAAGATTCAATAAATGATATCTATAAAACAAAAGTATCGAGGTGTTTCCATCATCTCCCGAGTGTTGTGTTTGTGTCTTCACCTTCTTCACACTCTCGATAACGACCACACGGTCTTGGACAAAGGGACAGCTCATGCGGGGTCCTTCGTGACAGCGTGGATGGCGTTGGAGCCTGGTTGTGCGTGATCCTCTGATAGAGAAGAGGAGGAGGAGGAGGAGGAGGTGGGAGCTATAAGAGCCACAGGCGTTTAGTATGAATGACCACAAGGCTGGAGAGCACAGGATCTGGACAGACGGCTCACACAGAGGAACTATCTCAGCACAACAGGTATAGGACACATTCAAATATGGTAGACTTTAGTTTTGTATCAGTTGGAGGGTCATCGCTGTACTGTATTGATGAAAGGTCAAATATTACAGTAATATAATCCTCGTTCCTTGCTCGCAAAACAGTTCATGTGCGTGTCTTTTGGCGTCTGTCACATCTTTAGATCAACTTTTTCTAGAGAGGACCAGCGCTCACTCAGCCGTCAATCAGCTGTCAGCATGTAAAAGTGAGAACGTGTTTTTATAAGAGGTGGGATTTGTTCACAAAATGTTCAATTTAATTCAATGCTTTCTTGTATAGCCCTAAATTACAACAGTAGTTATCTCAGAGGACTTTACAAAACTGTTGAATTTGCCAACACAGATCAGAGAATCAAATACAAGAAATGCAATGATAAAAGCACATAGAGCCATTGGTCCATAAGGGACGGATGATCAAAATATGACCTAAACAAGACTCTTTTGGAGACAAAAGTCTCAATATTGTTGTTTTATATAAACCTTTATTGAAGTTTAAGTGAACGCCAACTGAGCAATATAAAGGAAATTACTATTAGCAATGTATATGTTTTTTTCTTCAGAAAACACAATCGCACTTCCACACACAAGTCCAGGCCAGAAACCAAAATATGAAATACAAAATATAGATATCTCAAAAAAATTTTTTAACATTTTTTTGAGTTGTTTGATGCTGATGCAATGGACATTTATTAACATTTATGAACAGTGGTCATCCCGCTCCCGCTCCCTATGAACCAATGGCTCTTATGTGTTTGTTATGATGTTTCTGCCCGACAGCCACCGTTGAGTGGATAGCACTCTCGCCTCTCAGCAAGAAGGTCCTGGGTTCGAATCACGGTCGGACCAGAGCCTTTCTGAGTGGAGTTTGCATGTTCTCCCCGTGTCTGCGTAGGTTTCCTCCGGGTACTCCGGTTTCCCCTACCACTAAAAATATGTCCAATAGTTCTAGCATGCGCCTCCTGTACTGGCGACCCCGCTCCCATCTCTGTGTGGAGTGAGAGACAAATGCCCAAAATTAACAATTGTAAACCGCTTTGAGACTCAGATCTGCAGTGAAAAGGCGGTATATAAATAAAGATTACTTACTACTTACTTACTTACATGATTGCATTTTTTGTGATCGAACTGTTTGATTCTCTGATCTGTTGTTTGTGAATTGACAACTGTAATAAACTGGCAATTGTAGTCTGTTGTGATTCAGGACTATACACAAATTATTTAATTAATTAAATTGAAATCTGTACAGTCTCAAAGAAAAGTTTGAATAGTCCTACTGTAAAACCACAAGCTGAATGTGTTTTCGCTCTCAGAAAAGCTGATCTCATGTCGTTCCCCAAAACAGTGGCTGGAGGTGTCTGCTCCGTGTGATCGCGTGTCAAAGCGAGACCACACGTCTGTTTACGTCGCGGCCTCTGCTGTTGTCAGGAGCTGAACCTTACATCACGAACAGAACGGTCGTTACCTGCGCTCATTGTGTGCGTGCCGATTCATGTCTGAAACCACCGCAGCACACGTCTCCTTTGTTCCGTGTTGAGTCCAATCTCACCGCTGAGTCTTGAGATTGTGTTTGGTACAGAAGCGATGACACCCACATCATAAATGCCTTATCACTGTCTCTGTAAAATACAATGAGGGATTTTCATGTTTGACTTAGTGCTCTGCGTTTCATAAACAAACATAGAAAATTGTGCATATACTGTAGCACTGTTAAATATAGTGTAATGTTTCAGTTATAGTACTTTTATTATTATTGTTTTAATTTTTATATTTTCTTTGTTTAAAAAAAAAAGATAATATGTTATTACAGATTTTTTTATAGTTTTGGGAAAAGATCCAGGTGTGATTTTTCCACTATTCAATTCATATAACAACAGATCAGAGAATCAAACAGTGCGAACATAGGAAATGCAATAATAACGCATAGGAGCCATTGGTCCATGGGAAGCAGGGTGACCACTGTCCATAAATGTTATTAAATGTCCATATGAATGTACTGGATCATCGCTGTCTCTAAACCCTCCTTCATCTGCAAGGAACAACTCCAAAGATCCCAGTTGAAAAAAGTGAGAAACCTCGCGGCCCATATTGAGAGAGGGATCCGCTCTCATAGACTGAGCAACTGCAATCAGGATGCAGTTCAAGTATAAGACAAAAACACACGTATTTTTTTATCTACAGAAAAGACCAACATTTAACAAAAGGCTTGATTATGGTTTGCACATAGTCGCACCTACATTACATTGGCTCCTCGTTGTGCTTAATTGTACATTATCAGTCTCCATTTCCTCCTGATATTAAACTCTGTAAAGTGCTCCTGGGTTCTTGGGTGCACAGCCTTTGTTTGGACGCAAGTGGCCCTTTGGAATCTCTCATTGAGCGTGGGCTGCAGGTGGCTGGCAAACTCCCACAGTGACTTCATGTGTAAGAAATGCTTTTATCACAGAGAGTGGAGGTAAGCCCGTCTGCTGCTGCTGCGGAGCCAGGCTGTGTGCTCCTTTTCTGGGTCACTGTTACTGGTCCAAATGACGCAACAAACACCAGCAAATGTTGTGTCCATATTGCACCATTTTTGCCAAAAGAGAGAAATCTAGATACAAAATTGGTATCAGTATCAGCTGCTGAGGTTGCATTTTTTGTGTACCTACTTTTAGAAACAGGCTAAAAGCAGGTTCAGTGAGAGTATAAACCTGTGAAACCATTGTAATGTGGCAGAGTTTAAAAGATTATATCATAACAAATAGTTTAATACTGTTTTGCAAAAGGATAATTTTAGACTGTTAACTAAATTCATTTAAACACAACATGTCATTAAAAAACATTTAAAAAAATTTGATTGGGAGTAAAAAAAAAACTATATGGGGAAATCTCCTGTGTTTTTTAATAGGCCTATCAATAAGACTTATTAGATGGATGGTATTGTTGCTCCAATCCTGATTAATACTACACAAAACTAAAAGATTTAAAATAAATTAGTACAATATACCAAGATTATCAGTGAACTGTTTTTATTCATTCATTAATTCAGGCCTGAACAAAAACAAGCAGCAGATTTGACCACAGATTGTCCATCATTGTGATTTACCCAGTGCTCAATTTATTGTATCACACCTCTGTAAATAGAATGCTTGGACTTTGTGTTTACAGCATGAGTCAAAGGAACCATATATCACCAACAATCCTCCTAAAGTAGACAGTAATAATAGTGGTATTGGATGTTGTTTTTGGTGGAACTCGTTAGAATAAAGCAGATTTGAGCCCTGTGAACTTGTGCCACAGATAGCAGCTGGCAGCTTGTTATGTAACGACAACAACAGAGATATTCAACACTGGCAGGACTTAAGGTTTAGCGGAGTTTGTGTTTGGATCCTTCTCCTGGCACATACGCCGCACTGGGACCGTTCACTCAGGCCCACACAGACCAACAGAACACAGATTGGATTGGGACAGGAGGGATTATTGCACTCATACACTTCTCCCCCTCCAGACAGCCAGATTATGTCATTGACCTCATTCCCCGTGTTGTACAATACCCAAGAGGAGCCAATCTTGATGACAATCTGCCCTAAACTGATCACTTGTGCCTTGGTTTCTTGTTGAGAGAATATTGTATGAACAGTAATATCACTGGACAGGACTCACAATTAATTACAATAAAAATGTCTTGAAGAAAGGCTCCCAGATCTCTCGTACTCTGCACTCACACTACAATCTGCTTCTATCAGGGCTCAGGTACAAGCCGCTCCCATTCAAAAGGGCCCACCTGAATCCACCTTTTAAACAACTGATTGGGATATGGTCTGTTTGGCTGAAGTAGATTCTGATCTGTGTTATGTATATTAAACTTCATTTCTGCACTTTTATTGTGTTTTATATTTATTGTTTTATGTATCCCCACTGGTGCTCCATCTGCAAATTAAGTTCCTCACGGCAGTTATTTGATTTTAATTTAATTTAATATCCAGCACAAATATGTAATGATTGTCCCAGCGTCCAATTTCTATGTTAATGTTGGCACCTGATCACCAGAAGCACACACAGAACCCAGAGGTGTGTCCTGTCTCCACAGAAAGATCTGTGTGCACTGCAAGTGTGTGCGCGAGGAGCATGCGGTGCGGGCCGTCCCGGGGCAGCTGGAGAAGATGATGACCAAACTGGTGTCGGACTTCCAGAGACACTCCATCTCTGACGACGACTCGGGCTGTGCCTCTGAGGAGTACTCGTGGGTCCCACCGGGGCTCAAGCCGGAGCAGGTACCAGTGCTGCGCTCATCTCTCTCATCAGGGCCAGTTTTAGTATTCGATTCCTCTGCATAAGTTGACACACGGTGAAGTGAGCAGGCTTCTCACTGCGGTCTCCTCAATCAACAGGCTGTAGTTTGCACAGTAGCATGTTGCACTTCTTATCTTGTGTTTTTACTCTGGAATCCTGACTATGCACCTATCTTCTTTTCTTGACTTATCTGTCGTGTTTTTATTGTTATTTGTTTTAAATGTGATTTTTATGAATATTTTTGTGTAAATTCCACGTCTCTCTTTTTAACTGAAAAAGAAATCTACCCTTGGGTCCAAATAAAATCACCTTGAACCTTGAACCTCGTCTCTTCACCAGGTGTACCAGTACTTCAGCTGCCTGCCTGAGGACAGAGTGCCTTATGTGAACAGCCCAGGAGAGAGGTACAGGATCAAACAGCTGCTGCATCAGCTGCCTGCGCACGACAGCGAGGTAACCTGTGTGTAACTGTCACTTTACTGTCACTTTGCTTTACTCATCTGTGCAAGAATACCTTTAAAAATGTCAGAATTTATTTTGTAATGCAGGGAATATATACAGTACAACTAAATGTGTTACTGTCATTTTACTGAGTCACTTTTTCCTATACCCTCCTGCTGCTATCATGTACAGATGTATACACACAACACAACTATATCACTTGCTCTATATTTACAGCATTTTATACTTGCTCCCTATTATGCCTTATGACCAGTGGTATTTGTGCTTAAGTTCTGCTTCTTCATCATGCTAACTTCCTTCTTTATTATGCTAAAGATACAGATTTTATATTTTTCTTGCTCCTCATTCCTACTGTTCTGTAACTTGTGGTGCAACCCTGAAACTGTCCAGATAACTGTGATTATCTGGACCTGAGTAATAAACCTCCTGTGGTGTTGTTCTGCAGCCACAGTACTGTAACTCCATGAACGAGGGCGAGAAGAAGGAGCTGCGAGCCTTCAGCCAGCAGAGGAAACGGGACAACCTGGGCAGAGGGGCGGTCCGACTGTTCCCCGTGACCATGTCAGGAGGCATCTGCCATCAGGTAGATTTGGGTTCTATTACATACAGTAAGGCAAGGCAGGTTTATTTATATAGCACAGTGCATATACGAGGCAACTCAAAGTGCTTAACTAAACATGATCGAAACGATAGAAGAAAAAAAATGTCACAATAAATAATCACAGTGCATTAAAAACGAGTGAAGATGCAATCCTTCAGTTGTGTGCACACCCAAACAGAACAGATTTTAACCTGGATTTGATTTATCAGAATAGAGGCCTGTCTCTCATTTTCAGGAAGGCTGTTCTAGATTTTAGCTGCACAAATCTGAAACACTGCCTCTCCATGTTTAGTCCTGACTCTGGGCACCAGCAGAAGGCCAGTCCCTGTGCTCCTCTAACTCCCAGTTGGTTCATATGACACTAACAGATTTACTTTGGTGCGAGGCCATGGAGAGACTTGTACACAAGCAGCTTTAAAGTCTATTCTAGTCTCCACAGGAAGCCAGTGCAGAGACCTTAGAACTGAACTAATGTGATCGTACTTCCTGGTTCTAGTCAGGGCTCGAGCTGCAGCATTTTCAATATACTGAAGCTGTTTGACGTTTGTTCAAAGAGCCCAGTGAGCTGTACTTCCAGATCAGCACAGACAGATCTATAGGTACCGTTTACTTTACTATGAAAACGACGCAGGAGAAGCGTGGTGCGTGTGAGTGCAGGCAGTGCTCTGGGGCATCAGTTTAATGATTATGGAGCTGCAGACACGCGTTACAAAAGTTTCAAATTGTTCCATTCGCACCACACCCTTTCTGTTTTTCCAGTGCGGCAGACAGATCAGTGGGGGAGATATTGCTGTTTTTGCCAGTCGGGCTGGACCCGGCTGCTGCTGGCATCCCCAGTGTTTCCAATGTGCCTCCTGTAATGAGCTGCTGGTGGATCTCATATACTTCCACCAGGACGGACAGATCTACTGCGGCCGGCACCACGCAGAGAGGCTAAAGCCACGCTGCCAGGCCTGTGATGAGGTAAAGCACCAATGCACACACTAGATACTCACACTTTCATTTGTTTTATGTACAGCGTTGTACAGCTTGATTAAAGGATGTGGCTGTTGACGTTTTTTTTTTTTTTTTTGCGTGACATTGAGAGGAGCTTTATTTTATGTTAATTTTAGCATGCTTTTTGTCAACTGCTATATAGTTGTGGAGATTATTTTATATAGTTTGAAAACAGGTTTGGTACAACTGGTTTTCTCTGAATGATTCCAGCAAAGTCAATATTGGTAACGAATGCTCTCCCCTCTTGACTTGTTGACTGCAGATTATTTTAGCAGACGAGTGCACGGAGGCGGAGGGCAGGTACTGGCACATGAAGCACTTCTGTTGCTTTGAGTGTGAAGCTGCACTGGGAGGTCAGCGCTACATCATGAGGGAGAGTCGTCCGTACTGCTGCTCCTGCTACGAGGCGCTGTACGCAGAGTACTGTGACACCTGCGGAGAAAACATAGGTACGCAGTCATCATAGAAAATATGAGCGTCCCTAGTTTAAAGCTGATTGTTTCAACAATATCTGGCAGGTATCGACCAGGGCCAGATGACCTTTGAGGGTCAGCATTGGCACGCGGTGGAGGCGTGTTTCTGCTGCGCTCGTTGCCGCCTGCCGCTGATGGGACGACCCTTCTTGCCTCGTGGCGGCCTCATCTTCTGCTCCAGAGCCTGTTCTTTGGGAGACGATCCAAACAACTCTGACTCCTGTGACTCAGCTCTGCAGAACCGCTCTCCAAACAGGAGACCTGTTACTGGAAGAGGCCAGCAGCAACACTGTTGTTCACCACTGCAGCCACTAGAGGGCCTCCCTCCTCATGTCATTCCAGCAAGAGACTGCATTTACACCTCTATGAATAACAGAGGTGAAGACTCTTCTTAATACATTTGTCACATGAAAAACTGTGTTTCTAACATATGTTGTTACATCTGTAGGTCCACCCTGCACTTTTGTAGAACAGAATGGAGCACCTTTGTCGCATCACCCTCTTCCCAGGGGCACATACTCCCCTCTTCCACACATACATATGACAAATGGAAGGGGGCCCTCTTGGTCCAATGGCATCACACATCACAGTGTTCCTCTAGGGCGCAGTGACAGTCCTCACTTGATCTACTCTCTACATGAGAACAGGTTGAATGGAGAAATAGGACTTCCACTCACCTGCATTCATTCAAGAGACACTTCCACCACTAAAGACTGTATTGCTTGGGTAGAAAAGACAAATCAAGGTACAATAGATCAACATGATTGAAATAGTTCCCACAAACTCTGGTCACTGAACCTGCTCTACTTTCAGCGTTTCCGTCTTCAAACCATCGGGACTCACCTGATCTACCTCCATCTGACTCTGAGCTGCCTCCTCCTCTTCCCACCAAGTCCCGAGAGCTGGTCGTCAGAGACTCCCCTGTGACTGTGGACCGGACCTTAGACTCCCCTCCTCCACTGTCCCGCGGGGGGACGGCCCGGGTCAGCTTCAGAGAACCAATCAGCAGCAGCTATTCTGTGGAGGAGGAAGAAGAGGAGGAGGAGGAGGAAGAAGAGCCTTATGACAAAGAGGAGGATGGAAGCAGGTTACATCCACAGCAGGGCATTCCACCTCAGCTAGATCTGCTAGGTAACTGTTCTCTCCATGTTTCACTTTTTACAAATGTGTATTTTTGTAATATTCAATCATCTCGGTCAAGGCATGAATTGACTTTCTTTTCAAAACTGACATAGTCAAGTTTTTGTAAGATTCAATTCAATTTCAATTCAATTCATTTGAAATCACTACAGCAAGTTGTTGATTCACCTACTAGAGATCAGAGAATCAAACCGTTCAAACACAGAAAATACAATAATAACAAACACATTATGGAGACATTGGTCCATTGGGAGCGGGGTGACCAATGTTCATTAATATTATTAAATGCATAAATGTCCTTAAATGTCTAAGATCATCACTGTCCTTCTTGCATCAGCAAAGAATGACTGATGAAAAAAGTAAGAAAAAGTTCCACATTGATAGAGAGATCCTCTCCCATGGACGGACAGGCTGATGAGGAAAATGAGGTGCCTAACTATCACAGAATCAGAATCGGGATTATTTTTATTGCCATAGTAAGTAACAGGAAGTCACAATCAATGAATTATCTTTGGCATGTGGTGCAAACAAGTCTATGCGAACATACAAAGTCTTAATACAATTCTGATATATACAATTTACACACGAACATTTAACAGATTATGTGACCAGTGGTATGAGATCATAACGTGACACCACATCATTACTTTGACAATCAAAGCCCCAAATAGTGAATCACTCAAGTATTTCTTACAAGTATGCAGAGATAACATGTTTCTAATGAGATGAAGGCTGCTTCTGATTTGTTCACAACAATTAACTTTTTCAACACTCAGTAGAACATTAGAAAGGTAAGAAACTACAAAACAATAATATTCATTAAAGACAATCTTTAAGTGTTTCTAATGAAATCTGTAGTTCCCTCTTCATCCTCCTGTATTCACACCAGTGCATTCCTTCTCTCAGACGGCTCCTCGCACCATCACCGCAGTCGCCGGCGTGACCACTGCCGCGTGCCGTCGGACCCCTGCGTCCCGGGCTGGTCCGAGAGACGCCGCAGACGCTCCGAGCGCCCGAGGTTGGACTCCCTCGAGCACCGTGCAGAGAGGGACCGAGACCACCGCGGTTCTTCCCGGTCTCTGAGTCTGCAGCCGGGACATCGCCGACACGACGAATTCTGCTCCACCTGCTCCTCATCCTCCGACTCAGAGGAGGAGGGCTTCTTCTTGGGCAAACCCATCCCCCTGCCCCCCCAGCTTCAAGTGAACCAGCCAAGCACGCCTGCAGCCGCGACCAAAGAAACACGCAAAGACAGTGGACTCCGGGGCAGTTTCAAACGCAGGAGGGCTCACAGTGTCGGGGCAAAAGACAAGGACAAAAACTGTGCCATTTCCTAAACGCTCCTTCATCCGTCCAGGAGTCACCGCGTTAAACAGACCTTTCAAAAGAAGTCATCTGAGGTTTTTGACGTTACACCATTGGCAGAGTCAGGGAGATGTCAGGTGGTGCTAGAGTTTAAAAAGACTGGAAAGATCAAAAGTGTGCTATTATTTTCTAACCTCATATGGAGCAGTGTGAGCAGAACATGTACTGAGCAAAACTTTGATGCCATAGTGTATAACATTAGTGTGTAACATTACAGCTAAAGCAATAACATCTCATAGTAATCTCAGTAATATAGCTGGTGTTTTGATCATTTTCATCATAACCTCCAGACTCCTGTGGACATCTATACCCACATTTTACATTCTGCATCTTTATCGGAAGCACAATAACAACTTTGTCAGTTCTTCTAAAACAAACTAAACTCCAGCTCATATTCATATTTATATCCTCCTTTTGTTTCAGCTCACAGTTTACACTATGGGTGTGTGTAAAGCCGTGGGCCTTTCACTGTATTTACATATGCAAACTCACGACTATGAACGGCTTTTATGTTCAGAGTTCATGCTCTTGTGAAAGAATGTGGTTTTATGTCCAAATACTGTCTGGTTTAGTGCAATGATGCCGTGGCCTTGTGAGCGCGTAATTACTCACACTCTACTGTTGTAACTTTGGCCTATTTGTACAAAGTTTATTCAGAAACAATATTTTTATATATTTGGTGTTGGGTTCTTTGCCTTGAGAATGTTTTTTCCACAGTTGTCCTGTAATTCCTGATGTGTATGAGATGGATGGTGAATTATTTGATAAAATAAAACTATAAATTATTGAGATGAGTCCATTCATGAGAAACAATGAAAGCACAGATCAAGTGATTTCTTTTTATTTAATTATATCCACACACTATAAGACTGACATACATTCCTTGTTTTGTTGCTCTGAAATCACAAATCAATGGTAAATTTACATAGAAAATCATATAGATTCGATAAGTTGTAAACTAATGTTTTCATGTCAACAGAGAGGAACAGTGAAGACTACAATGTTCTGTAATTTCCGGGTTCCTACATGATGAAGATAAATCCAAAAATAAATTTACAAACAGCAATTCCGAGATTGTACACTTGCTTCTTTATTATGCTAAAGTAAGAGATTTAATTTTATTTTAGTGTCAATCACTTGATCTTTAACCCTTGTATTATGTTAAGGGTCAATTTGACCCATTTCAGTTTTTGAGTTGATCAAAGTACTGGTTATCCTTTCTTTTTCTTGCTGAAATTTGGTGACTTTTCCTCATCTAGGGTCATGAACTGGTGTGTAAAATCTGGACACTTTGATGTGTAGTGGAATGTCTGTGCAGAGTTTGTATACAAAGATGATGTTGTGGGTCATTTTGACCCAGACGCTTTAATGTGGGTAAATAGTTGTTCTGATCCAAAAAAACATGTCTCTTTGACATTGTATTTTGATTGCCTCTGAGACCCAGAGCCAGGTGTGTGAAGACAGGGAACTTTCTCACACTTGTCCTTGTCACTGTTCTCATGTCATCTCTTTTGCCTAGCGTGCATCGTACTGGCAACTGATTATATCCGTCGCATATGAGTTTCTGCCCCGAACACATCAACAATCTGGCGTAAACGGGCAACTCCCAGTAGCAGGCCAGTCTTGAGAATAACAGGAATAATAGTTAACAGCAACTGGCCTCAACTACAGTGTGTTGTCTTACAAACTGTAGAGGGCGCAATACACGCTCCAGCTCATGCTGCTGCAAGCTCCCAGGCAGTGGGTGACGTCAGAGGCAAGAGGGAGCGCAGGTGCGCTAACTACCTATTAAAGGGTGAGGCAGTACGTGATAGGCTACCAGCGGCTCAAGGGGCCTACCACCACAATGACAAACAAAATATTTTTTTTGATGACCTCTCGCGGCCCCCCTGCAATACCAACACATGTTGTTGGAGCGCGCACATCGGGTGATATCTCCGGATCTGAGGACAACTAGTTGCCAAAAAGTAGAACACAGGCAACTGACTGAATCCGGACATCGACTGTTTATCTCCAGTTGTATGAGCGCTCACACCGACCGATTTCAACTGATCATCTCCATCATCTACTCTCAGTTGCCAAAAGCCGCCTTGCAACTAGTTGTCTCCAGTTACTCTGTCGATGTGCGCTAGGCTTTAGACAAACTCACCAAAAATGAGCTCCAGAAGGATGACATCTGAGGAGTCTTTATCACAGATTTTTTTTACTGGGATAGTGATGTAGAGGAAGAGATTTCAGAAACAGAGGATTTTTCAGAGACAGAGGACAATGTTATTGCTGATCCAGATTGTCAATTTTTCTACAATAAGGAGGATTCAGAGGACGAATCTTTGGTCAAAGAAAGAGGAAGGGAGGACGGACCGGACGGAAGGTAGGAAGGAAGGAAGAGAAAAGAAGGGTATAGATGAGGATGAACAGAGAGAAGGAAAACAGGATGAGAAGAAGGAAGGAGAAAGCATGGCAGGAGGAAAGAAGGAGGGAAGAATTGTCATTTTGACCCGAGAGGAGGACAAGAAGATTAGACTAAATATTTCTTAAATATAGTGTTGGAATTAAAAATGTATTGTATTGTCACTTTTCTAAATATTTATATAACCTAAAATAAATTTGTTATTGGTTTAACCTGTTTTCTTGACTGTTTTGAGTGCATTTACACAGTATGGGTCAAAATGACCCGCAACATAATCAATGTCATTTTTTTTCAACATAATACAAGGGTTATTTATAGAGAGCTTTTCCTACACATAATAACACAAAGCAATAAAGCTTGCTGTTCTGTAACTGGTGATGCAACACTGAAATTTCCCCACTGTGGGACGAACAAAGAATCAACACAAGACATAACTTTAGTCCATTAGTTGAGAACTAAAACCTTTACGTTTTATTCTGCAGTCTGTGGAGATGGGGGTGGAAAAAAACAGTAACAAACCAGATCGAAAGAGAAAGCAACAAAAGCACAACATAAATAAATAACTTCCTTAGCACCACGGACCAATTATAAACATCGCTTAGCATTCAAAGGTATCTACTTCCGGGTTGGGAGCCAATCAGAGAGCGGGGGCCGTCCCAGCGGCGCACACGTGAGTTGTCAAACAGGTTAGTCTTGTCCCGTGTCTCTGATCGACCGCTGTCCTTCTCACTCACTCATCCACCACCACCGCGCAGCACAGACCCCCTTAGATCTGCCCTCTGGACCTCTGCCTGACCCTGGGACACGACCACCAGCCCCCCGAGTCTACCGGGAAAGAGGTGAGTTTGTACGCTGTTTCCTGCTAACTTACCTCCGGGGGTAAAACACCTTGAGCGAAAGAAACTGCTTCTGCTATGAAGGCTTGTTGGGGCAAGTCCTCCACACGGGCCTCGTCTATGCTTACCACGCACTTGGCAAATGTATAAATATAATCTAACGTTGTGTGTGTGTGTTTAAAGCTCCCAAAACTGTGGATCTATTGTTTTTAATACTGTTTTTCTATTGTTCAAGTTAATGATTAAAACGTGCTCCTGCGTGCGTGCCCCTAATGTCTGTTTTTGTTAGTGTTACCCACCACCCCTTGACATTCCATTATAGTGTGTAACCAAGCAAGCAGCAAGTGTTAATAATATCTTCAGCTGTCCACTTCCATACTTGGCTATCGTGCTGTAATATTAATCTTAACTTATTTTAAATGACATCTTGATTACAGATAACAATTGGAGAAGTTGAGTGGTAAGCGCTATAAGTTTGGCCTTCCTCTACCTGGAATGTCAACTATGTGGAGAATGTGGCTGGCAAATGAAGAGTCTTATATAGAGCGACATTTCCAAACATTATCTTTTTATTATTTACCTTCAGCATATCTGCAGCCAGACTCCTGCTGAGCTGTCACGTATCAACACTATCAACAATCAGGGCTTGTTTAACTGGTTACAAGAAGTCAACAGTTTCCTTTTATTACTTTGCTTAACCCAGCGGGACTTGTGTGTTTGAAAGATCTTATCCAAGGCAACTGGCGCTTATAGCCTCGGGGTCATTGTTCCTGCAGCAGCTGTTGTGAGGTGGCTGCACACAAAGGTTTTCTGACAACTGTCCTGATGCACCCCCACATCCCCACCCCCACACGCCCACGCACTTGTCCCTGAGCGCAGACCCCTCAGCGCTCTCAAAAAGGGGAAATGTCACTTTTATTGTCCCTTCATCAGCAGGGGGATGGAGGGCTCCTGATGGTGTGGTATTAAAGTAATTGTGCCGGCAGCAGCCAATGAACTTGTAGGAAGAATGCGAAAGTCCATGTGATTGGCTGTTTCAACAAAAGAAGGAAGTGCTTTGGAAGTTGGTCAGCTACAGTCTGTGGTTGTGACGTGTTCAAGTGAAATGTGTCAGAGTTTAGAGAAATGACACAGACTCTTGCTCATATGTTTGCGGTTTCTCTTCTGTGACTAATATTTGATTGTTTTGCAGGCGACTCAGAGCGTGCTCCACTACCAGGCCATGCTCCTCCGTCTGGGGAACAGAACTCTGTAGTTCTGGTCTTCAGCTTCAGTTCTCTGCTCACATGATGCCTGTGGAGGCTCTGCCGCCGCTGGTCAGGCGTCCTGTGCGGACAGCGGTCACTTGTACCCCTCCTCGCCTCCGGCCCAAAGCCCCCGTGACCCCCGAGCTGTACCGCCAGGGTCTGGCTGCTGCTGGGAGGCCGAAGCAGAGCGCAGTGGAGAGACTGGAGGCAGATAAAGCTAAATATGTGAAGAGCCAAGTCGCACTGTGCAAGCAGCAGCCTGTCCGTCCTGCTGGGGCCAGCAAGGCCGTGCTGAGCCCCCGCTCTGCCCTGCAGCCCACCAGGAAGACCCCCATCACGGGCAAGAACAAAGAGAGCATCCAGCTGGACCTGGAGCACCTGAGTAACCTCATCAGTGATGTGAGCGACGAAGCCCAGCTCAGCGCAGAGACAAAGGCTCCAGAGACCGTCTCTCCACAGAAGAAGGAGCGCCCTCGTCCTCCCCCTCGCCCGGACTGGTCCAGTCCCGCCAAAGTGAGACTCAAATCCCCCGCTCCACCAGAGGAGGCCGTGGCCGCTCCTGCAGCTGTGGGCACAGTGCGCAGAGTGGACGTCCTGCCTCAGTCCGGCTCGGCTCGGCCTCTGAGACCCGCACATTTCATGCGGCAGCCACTGCAGCCGCTCTTGTTGCACTCGCAGTTTCAGCTCCACGGGACGCGCCTCTTCCACCCGAGGACGTCCACACCACCCTCCCCGCTCAAACCTGTGGTGGCGACGCCTGTGAAACCTCCAGAGAACACTCCTCCCACACCCACCCTGCAGGCTCCCACTGACACCCCCCTACTGCCCCCACCCTCCCCCGCCATCACGCGCCTCTCTTCCTCCAGCGGCAGGAAAAGGCCGTCTCTGTCGCGCTCCAAGTCGGACCTGAGCGACCGCTTCTCCCGAGCGGACACGGAGCTGGAGCGCTTCTTTAACCTGTGCGGCGTGGACCCTGTGGACTTACGGGAGCGCCTGGCCTCCAACTCGGACATCGTGTCTTTGGCGCGCTTCCGCAGCGTAAGCGCTCCCGGCTCGGAGTGTGCGGGCTCAGGAGAGGCGGCGGAGGAGGAAGAGGAGGAGAGTGCCCCGCGAGTCCCGTACGGAGTTTCTGTCATTGAGAGAAATGCCCGCGTCATCAAGTGGCTGTATGGATTACGTCAGGCCAAGGACAGTGCGAACAAAAGCACTAATTTGTGAGAAAAGTCTCTTTGGTACATGTCACTAATGCAGAGGAAACACAAATGTATTATTGCATTCCCCTGACTTCTGTTTGATTTGTTAGTATTATTTTTTCATCATTTATTTTGTCCCATAATGGGGCTTAGACGTTCTCAAACTGTAAATGTGCATAATGAAATGAAAGCACAAAAAGAGGAGAAATTCAAAGTCATTCTGATATGAATTTGTGGATTTTCCAGGTTGCAGAGACCAAAATGTTTTGTTCAGTCAGTTGTGCTCACGGTAAACTTATTTTTCATTTTGTCCCATAATGGGGCTCTTTATGTTTGTTGACAGTTGCATATTTGTCAATAAACGGTTTATGATGCAAGAAAATAAGTGTATTTTTTCCAATCTACATTAAACATGTTAATTATGAGGCTAAAATTATGTACCCCAGCTTTAATCATGTCAATTATGTGACTGAAGTTACATACCCCAGCTCAGTTCTAACATAACTAGAAAATAATTGGCTACAGATCAATAATATCTATTATACTTGACGGAAAGCTTTTTATTGTTTTTATTTTTTCCTCTTTTGTTGCCGCTGCATGGATTACTTTATTATTTATAAATCTGTATAATCCAAGCCCCTCCCTCACCCCTTCAATAGTATTCAATTCAATACTCTCTTGTACTGCCCTAAATCACAACAGCAGTCGCCTCAAAGGACTTTACAAAGTTGTCAATTGGCTGTCAACAGATTAGAGAATCAAGCACAGGAAATGCAATAGTAACACATAAGCAGCAGAACAATCAATATCCTAAAATAGTAATCTTTATATACCGCCTTTTCACTGCAGATCAGAGTCACAAAGCGGTTTACAATTATTATTTTTGGGCATTAGTCTCACTCCACACGGAGATAAGAGCAGGGGCGTCAGTACAGGAGGCGCATGCCAGACCTATTGTGCATGTTTTTAGTGGTAGGGGAAACCGGAGTACCCGGAGGAAACCTACACAGATACCAGGAGAACATGCAAACTCCACTCAGAAAGGCCCTGGTCCAACCAGGATTCGAACCCAGGACCTTCTTGCTGAGGGGCGAGAGTGCTGGCTATCTGTCTATGTGTTGCATTGAGTTTTTTTTTTTTGCCCCCATTATTTTTTTTTGTTGCTTTTTCTATTGGTGAATTGAAGAGAATAGACTTTGACTAATCCAGTTGCTGAACCGGATTCCTGCTCTGAACTCTCTGGGGCTGCAGTTTCAGGTGTATGGGCAGCTGCTGGGAGCCTTAAAAAGCACCTCTTGTATCCTCTTGTTATAACTTATATTATAACTTCGTCTCAGAGCGATGACTGAATTCGTTTGGAGACATACGGAGCGAGTTTTGAAGTGGGCCATGATGAGTTGCAAACAGGTAAAGTTCTATTGTGTCTTAATCAACATTTTTAAACCATTTTCTTTAATTGAGAGGATTTCTTTAGTCCAGTTGTTGATCCACGCTGTCACTTGATGCTGCTCTTTTTTGCACATTCTCCGGAAATGCAACTAACGCTTTTTTACATCAGTTGTAACTTTGTCTCTTCAGAAGTCCGAGGGCATTTCTCTGCGGAGGAAGCTGTGTTATGCAGCAGGCGGGGTCCCGTATCAGATGACCACTGTCCCCATAGGTGTCTCTCTGCAGATATTCCTTCTAGATGTTGTTCAGGTATGACACACTACTCTACAAAGAATGATCAGAAAAACAATCAAATGTTTCGTAACTTTATGAAAAGCCAAAAAACGATTCCTTGTCTTTGAATCTCACAGATGCAATAGCACTAACATTGCATGGGGAATGTTTATTTATTGATTCGTTATGAAAAAATAAAATTAAAATTAAAAAAAGATCATAATTTGCAGACGGAGCACCAGTGGAGATGCATTAAAACACAGAAACATAAGATACAAATTCAATTAAAGTGCAGAAATTAAGTATAATACATAGAACAGACCTTTTCCCATTCAGCTGTGTAAAAGATGGATTAAGGAGGGGAGGAAGCTGGATGTGGCCCTTTTCAAAACCGTTCTTTGTCCCAAGATCACTATGGGGAAACGGCATCATGCATTACAGGACAGTGCACTCAGACAAGATCATGAAAATGAAATAAAACAACGGTATATATGTTAAAAATAATAATAATGATAATACATTGTGGGGCGAAGCTGTGGAATGAGCTCAGCCAATATTTGGATACCTCTAAACAAACAGTAAAAATAATATGTAAAAAATATATAGTTTTGTCCATTTTATTTGAACTGTTGATTATTTCTTTATTTTGTATAATACATGTAAGTATTTATTGCGTAAAATAAATACAAATACGAAAACAACGGATAAAATGGCTGTAAATATTTAGTGAATAATAATCTAAATCTTAGAAGTGGCTTTAGTTGAATGTATTATTGTGAACAGATGGAAGCTTCTTACGTGTCCTTGATTCTGTTCGTGAGTCGGGCCTGGGACGCCGTGACGGACCCCCTGATCGGGTATTTGGTCAGCCGCAGCAGCTGGACGCCTATTGGAAAACTGTCTCCATGGTAACAAGGAAATGCTCTTTAATCTCATTGTAAGCCTCGTGAAATATTCTCCAAAACGCGGTGACGAAGCAAAAGTTTAACAACAAATAAGAATCAAAGGAACTCATCTGGAAACTAAAGATCCAAGTTTCATTTTTTTTTTTTTATCTCAAAATCCTCAAACCAAACCATAAATGAACTCTGAACTCAGGGACACAGACCATGAAGCAGCACAGACCAGGGGTTCCCAAACTTTTCAGATCAGGACCATCAACCCAACGTGTGTCCTCCACTGCAGAACTGAAAGCAGCCATGATTAGAATTGGCTAAGGCTGAGAACTATTTTATTGTGAATACTGAAGACTCTGGATCAGTTGTAGTATAGTGTAATTATGTCATCATCTCCAGGGACTGTGGATTTTCTACAACCGGCACATGACTTATTTTCTTTTTATAAAACTCATTTATTTATATAGCGCCTTTCTGGGAACTCAAGGCCGCCTTACAAAGTTAAAATTAAAAGCAAGGAACAGTTAAAAGTAGCCAGTTAAAAGTGAACAGTGGAATGTAGGGTCTCTGTGAAGAGGGGGGTCTGAGAGTTGGAGGTCAGAGGGGAAGAAATAAAATCAATTCAATTCAAAACTAAATCTAAATGTCAATAGAAGCTAGAGTTTTTCAGAAATTTGAATTAAAACTGAAACTTGTATATGGGCTAGAGGACTACTAAAATCAAGATAAAATAATATAAACAAGAAAAAAAAAAAAACGTTTACGATCCGTGCACACAGATTTGCAGCTGTCCCTTTGATAGCCCCAGTGTTCACAGGGTCTTCCTGGTCTTCAGGCTACTGCTGTCCGCGCCCCTCGCCGTCCTGTCCTATGTGCTGCTCTGGTTTGTGCCCGCTGCCTCCATGACGGCCGCTCACACCGTGCTGTGGTTCCTGCTGGTGTGCTGCCTGTTCGAGACGCTGATGAGTGTGGGTATTGTCCTGTTATCATCGTTTCACATCCTTTTTATCGCCCCGGTTCAGAACGGTTCAAATGAGTCCATAAAAGCTTCTGCTGTTTATAGGAAGCCTTTAAATCTGAAGTATTTCACTTTGCTTGGAGGAGCGTCCGGCACCTGCCCGGTCTCCTTGGAGGTTTATTGCTTTTGCCTTGTCAGTTTAAAACCAGACTTAAGACAAACTATTTTGATCCTCAAGGGACACAGTAGCACACACATCACAAGAAGCAGATAATAATATTGACATAAGGACATATGACAAAAGCTTTGCACTCCAAGCTACTACTGTTCTAACTTTTGGCATTTCACATGTTTATTGTTCTAAAGCATTTAACATGTGCATACACAAGTTTGTAGTTTGTTTTTAGTAAAAATCACACAAACATCATTAAAAATTCCCATCTGGTCTTTTGACAGGGAGGTAGGTTGTCTTGTTCTTTTATTTAAATCAATAAGCATGTATTTATGAAACAAAAAGGTTACGTAACCCAGCTTTACTTTGTCAATTTTTTCACAAGTTTAATCTCATACCGACTATGGAAAGTTTATTTGTACCACAACTCATACACAAGGCAACTCAAAGTACTGAACGAGACAAGAAAAGATCATAAATAATCAATCTTAGAAATAGATCGTAAGAATCCCTCAGTCAGAGCAGATGTCTGTCTTACATTTTTAGAGAGACTGTTTCAGATTTTGGTTGCATAAATCTGAAACGCTATTTACTCCTGACTCTGGGCACCAGCAGGAGGCCAGTCCCTGTGCTCCTCAGAGTCCCAGCAGGAGGCCAGTCCCTGTGCTCCTCAGAGTCCTCACTGGTTCATATATGGCACTAACATGTCACAGATGTACTTTGGTGCAAGGCCATGGAGGGACTTGTTCACAAACAGAGCTGCTTTAAACCCAAACCCTTTTGACATTTATATAACGATCACACTAAATGTAAACAAATGAAATGATGGTGAAGAAAAGTGTGTTGCCATTACTTGCCCGTATGTGATGTTATTTCCTCAAACGTGCAGTGAGTGACTTTGGGCCTGGCTGTTCTAGCGTCAGTAACAGTGCAGCTCTGTAGTGTCAGACGTCCCGGGGCAGGGCTCATATTTTCCCCTGGTTTGCAGTGTTTCAATGTGCCGTACCTCTCCCTGAACATGTTCCTGGGTGGAACCAAGAGAGAGAGGGACTCCGCCACCGCCTACAGTGAGTGAGCACACGCTTCCACTGCTAATGTCAAAAACTCACCACAACTGTCTGAGCAAGCATCGCAAATCACTCACTCATCTGCAATAGATTCATATTGGAGAATTCAATCTCAGTATTTTGGCAGGTTAGGGAAAGGTGCAGAAAGAAGCAATTTTTGAAAGACAATTTTAAACCCACCATATTATTTTAATGTCTGAAAATCCTATTTACTGTATGGCCAATGTCATGCATATTTGTTTTCTTTTATATTGTCACCACTTCTAGACACAGGATAAATAATGAGACCATTGTTGATATGAATACAAAGAATATGTTGAAAATTGAGGCGTGTTTGTTGCATATACAGAGAAATCAGCCCAAAACAAAACTAGAAATCTGACTTTTGACAGTTCTCCACAACAGTTCTAAACTCATGGAATGTTTTGATGTCACATGAAGGCAATCTATTGTTAACATTAAAGCTGGGGTATCTAACCTTTTTGTTTTTCGTCCCAGCAGAACGAGACTTAAAAAGTAGAATGAAAAGTAGAATGTTGTAAACAAATCATATCCCAGCCTTCTGTCTTCATCTTAGGAAACGTGTTAACCTTTGCAGACTGGTAAGTAAGAGCTTTGTGAGTCACTTGTTGACGCTTTGGGCTGAGAGCTGATTGGCTGAGAGAATGTGGTCCCCTCTTTTTTACTTTTCTGTCTGTAAAAGCTGATCCAAAGATGTGGCAGAGACCAGAAGCACATTTATATGAAAACTAGTGATAAAACTAAACCAGAGCCAGGAACTAGTGACATGGATCTTACTGGTTAATGTTCTAGTTGTTTTAAAGTTAAGACCCCCAGCTTTAATATTCAGTTAATTAAAGGTCATATTAAAACATCATATTTTAGTTTTTTTTACTTTTTTCTAAATTGTAAAAGAGATAGATTTTACTTCTCATTTAACCTCTTTCAATGAATAATCGAGCAACAAAAATATCATCAAAGTCATGATCTAAACCAGCTGGACTATCAATCCATCCAATGTTTTTTGTATAGCACACTTTATACAGAAGGCCAACCCAAAGCAATTCACTGCACAAGTAAAAGCAGTAAAATCATACACACAAAAAGTAATGAAAACATCCGAATGATCACATAATACAGCACCCAGAGCGAGCACAGCAAGACAATCTAAATAATGTTCAGTGGTATGCAAAAGTTTGGGCACCCACCCGAATCCGTTTTTATTTTTTCCCATAAATCATTGGTGCAAACTTTATTTTGCGGGTCATATTTCACTGTGTTTGTGTCCTATATGATATATTTATCTGAAACGTTCAAACAACCAATAAGGAAATTCATAAAAATCGCATACAGTTTATTCTGCAGTCCACAAATATATACACACACACACACACACACACACACACACCCACACACACACAACTTTACTTTTTAATCACGTATTGGGTTTCTCCGCGGTTTCTCAGGGATGAGCGTGGAGATGGTGGCCATGCTCGTCGCTTCTATAATTCAGGGCCAAGTTGTGGCTTTGTACAACAGGGAGAAGCAGAGAGACTGTGAGGAGTGGGACCAGCAGGCTCCGAGCACCTCACCGCCCTCACCGCTGCAGGGGACGGTACCACACTGCAGCTTCTGACAACACACAACGTCATTTCTCTCTCTCTTTCTCTTCTGTCACAAGCGGTGTCTCTTTTGTGTCCCGTCATCCCAGGGGTATTCAGTTACACTACCATCTAAAAGAAGAGCCCTTGTTGTCGGATTGGGTTTGAGCTTTGAGGCCAGATGAGAAGCACTTTATGGCGTTTTTTACAACTTTAAAACCGAAGAGAAATGCAGATGTTGTCGTCATGGTGATGAAGGAATAAGTGATTCATTCAGTTTTTAGTATTTAATGTGTTCAATGGTTTAAACAATAGAGGACATGTATAATCCAGAAGTATGTCTCATCATTTCTACACATGTGGGAGAGAGAGAGAGGGAGAGACAGATGGAGAGAGAGGAAGAGAGGGGGAGAGAGAGAGAGAAAGAGAGGGAGAAAGAGAGGGAAAGAGAGACGGAGAAAGAGGGAGAAAGGGAGAGAGGGAGAAAGATGGAGAGTAAAAAGAGGACTGACTTTTTTAACATTGTACACACAGAGATTAAAGCCGAATAATACAGAATTAAAGGAGAATTAAACAGAAAAAAGTAGAGACAAGCAAAAATAATGTAAAAGAATTGGGAGTCACTGTGTAGATGACAGAAGTTTTTGAATCTTTGAATTAACAAGTTCTTTGATATGGCTTGTGATTTTGGAGAGTAAAAGTACATTGTTTTAATTATTAGTAGAACCTGGAACCTCCCTCCACCTCAAATGATTCCAATTTATTTATTATCATCATTATTTTACATTATTGTTATCGTTATACTGTGATATATATTTTATTACTATGATATTTTAAAAGTTGTCACTCGGGTTAGTACATGTTTTTACTGGTGGGGGGAAACCGGAGCACCTGGAGGATTACCTACACAGACGTGGGGAGAACATGCAAATGCGTTCCAATGTTACAGCAAATAACAAGCCTGATATACAACAGGACCGGACATGTTCCTGATCAATATCAAAGTCATGGCTGAGCATCAGATCTCTGTATTCCACATAATCCCAGGACATGTCCACACACACATCCATCATAGATATAATCTGACTGATGCAGCTGCTGATGAGATCAATACAACAGTAACAACACCACATCTCTTCAGCACAGTGTAGTAAACATGACCCTCCTCCTCCTCATGGCTCCACACAGAATGTTCTCTCTGTCCACAGAAAAGAGCCTTTTTGACCTCCGCCTTCATCATCGGAGCCGTAGTTTTCCTCTGCAGTCTCCTCTGTTTCCTGGGAGTCAAGGAGCAGAGACGTAAGAGTCGATAAACACTCATTTTATTTTGATTTGAATTTGTATCCATTGAGATTAGGGGATTATTTACTTTTGTCTTTTCATGTCAATTAATATCATCTGTCGAGAATATATTAAGTAACAATTGCAAAGGACAAATCATACCTGCACTACCCCTATGTCACCACCAGAGGGAGAAGTTGAATTTGTTTTGTTTTCATCAAAAATTTGAAAATGACCAGCAACAAACACACCCATGAGAAATTCCATCCATCCATCCATCCATCCATTTTCTTCCGCTTTATCCGTTGCCGGGTCGCGGGGGCAGCAGTCTAAGCAGAGACGCCCAGACTTCCCTATCCACACACACTTCCTCCAGCTCGTCCGGGGGGACCCCAAGGCGTTCCCAGGCCAGCTGAGAGACATAGTCCCTCCAGCGTGTCCTGGGTCTTCCGCGGGGCCTCCTCCCGGTGGGGCGTGCCCGGAACACCTCCCCAGGGAGGCGTCCAGGAAGCATCCGGAACAGATGCCCGAGCCACCTCAACTGGTTCCTCTCGACGTGGAGAAGCAGCGGTTCTACTCCGAGCTCCTCCCGTGTGACTGAGCTCCTCACCCTATCTCTAAGGGAGCGCCCAGCCACTCTGCGGAGGAAGCTCATTTCGACCGCTTGTATCCGCGATCTCGTTCTTTCGGTCATTACCCAAAGCTCATGACCATAGGTGAGGGAGGGAACGAAGATTGACCGGTAAATCGAGAGCTTTGCCTTTCGGCTCAGCTCCCTCTTCACCACAACGGTCCAATACAGCGACCGCATAACTGCGCACGCTGCACCGATCCGCCTGTCAATCTCACGCTCCATTCTTCCCTCACTCGTGAACAAGACCCCGAGATACTTGAACTCCTCCACTTGAGGAAGGACCTCTCCACCCACCTGCAGAGGGCAAGGCACCTTTTTCCGGTCGAGCACCATGGCCTCGGATTTGGAGGTGCTGATTCTCATCCCAGCCGCTTCACACTCGGCTGCAAACCGTCCCAGTGCATGCTGCAGGTCCTGGTTCGTTGGAGCCAACAGGACAACATCGTCCGCAAACAGCAGAGATGAAATCCTGTGGTCTCCGAACCGGACCCCCTCCGACCCCTGGCTGCGCCTAGATATTCTGTCCATAAATACAGTGAACAGAACCGGTGACAAAGGGCACCCTGTCGGAGGCCAACATTCACCGGGAACAGGTCTGACTTACTGCCGGCAATGCGAACACAGCTCTGGCTCCGGTCATACAGGGATCGGATGGCCCTCAGCAGAGGACCTCTGACCCCGTACTCCCGGAGAACCCCCCAAAGGACACCCCGGGGAACACAGTCGAACGCCTTCTCCAAATCCACAAAGCACATGTGGACAGGTTGGGCGAACTCCCATGAACCCTCGAGTATCCGATGGAGAGTATAGAGCTGGTCCAGTGTTCCGCGACCGGGACGAAAACCACACTGCTCCTCCTGGATCCGAGATTCGACCATCGGCCGTAACCTCCTCTCCAGTACCTTGGAGTAGACCTTACCGGGGAGGCTGAGGAGTGTGATCCCACGATAATTGGAACACACCCTCCGGTCCCCCTTCTTGTAGAGAGGGACCACCACCCCGGTCTGCCACTCCACTGGCACTGCCCCCTATCGCCACGCTATGTTGCAGAGACGTGTCAGCCAAGACAGTCCTACAACATCCAGAGACTTTAGATAATCAGGGCGGATCTCATCCACACCTTGCCACCATGGAGGCTACCAACCTACCTTGGTGACCTCAGCCAGGGAGATGGATGTATCCGCCCCAACATCCTCAGCCTCTGCCTCTGTAACAGAGGACGTGACGGGGGGATTGAGGAGAACCTCAAAGTATTCCTTCCACCGCCCGACAATATCCCCAGTCGAGGTCAGCAGCTCTCCACCCGCACCGTACATGGTGTTGGCAAAGAACTGCTTCCCCCTCCTGAGGCGCCGGATGGTTTGCCAGAATCTCTTCGAGGCCGACCGATAGTCATGCTCCATGGACTCTCCGAACTCCTCCCAGTCCCGGGTTTTTGCCTCTGCAACAGCCCGGGCCGCGGCACGCTTGGCCTGCCGGTACTGGACAGCTGCCTCAGGAGTCCCCCGAACCATCATGGCTCGATAGGACTCCTTCTTCAGCCTGACAGCATCCCTTACTGCCGGTGTCCACCACCGGGTTCGGGGGTTGCCGCCGGGACCAGCACCAGAGACCTTGCGACCACAGCTACGAGCCGCCGCATCGGCGATTGAGGCAGAGAACATGGTCCACTCGGACTCCATGTCCCCCTCCTCCGCCGGGACCTGGGAGAAGCTCTCCCGGAGGTGTGAGTTGAAAGTCCGTCTGACAGGGGGCTCAGCGAGACGTTCCCAGCAGACCCTCACTATACGCTTGGGTCTGCCAGGTCTGACTGGCTTCTTCCCCTGCCAGCGGATCCAACTCACGACCAGGTGATGATCGGTTGACAGCTCCGCCCCTCTCTTTACCCGAGTGTCCGAGACACGCGGTCGAAGGTCAGATGATACGACAACAAAGTCGATCATCGACCTCCGGCCTAGGGTGTCCTGGTGCCACGTGCACTGGTGGATACCCTTGTGCTCGAACATGGTGTTCGTGATGGACAAACCGCGACTGGCACAGAAGTCCAACAACTGAGCACCGCTCGGGTTCAGATCAGGGGGGCCGCTCTTCCCGATCACCCCTCTCCAAGTGTCACTGGCGTTTCCCACATGGGCGTTGAAGTCCCCCAGGAGAATAACGGAGTCCCCGGGCGGTGCACCGTCCAGTACCCCTCCCAAGGACTCCAAGAAGGCCGGGTACTCTACACTGCTGTTAGGCCCGTAGGCCGTCACAACAATGAGAGACTTGTCCCCCACCCGGAGGCGGAGGGACGCGACCCTCTCATTCACCGGGGAGAACTCCAACACGTGGCGGCTGAGATGGGGGGCAATGAGAATGGCCACCCCAGCTCGCCGCCTCTCCCCGCGGGAAACTCCAGAAAAGTGGAGCGTCCAACCCCTCTCAAGGAGTTGGGTTCCAGAGCCCAAGCTGTGTGTGGAGGTGAGGCCGACTATCTCTAGTCGGTATCGCTCAACCTCCCCCACGAGCTCGGGCTCCTTCCCCCCCAGTGAGGTGACGTTCCACGTCCCAAGAGCCAGATGTTGTGCGTGCGGACTGGGTCGCCGAGGTCTCCGCCTTCGACTGCCGCCCAGTCCTCTCTGCACCGCTTCACCACGGACCCCTCTGCAGGTGGTGGGCCCACAGGAGGGACTGCCCACGTCATCCCTTCGGGCTGAGCCCGGCCGGGCCCCGTGGGCTAAGGCCCGGCCACCAGGCGCTCGCATACGGGCCCCGACCCCAGGCCTGGCTCCAGGGTGGGGCCCCGGCTGCGCCATGCCGGGTGACGTCACTGTTTTCGTGTTAGTGCTGTCCATGGTGTCTTCTGGACTGCTCTTTGTCTGACTCGTCACCCGAGACCTGTCTGCCATGGGAGGCCCTACCAGGGGCATGAAGCCCCAGACAGCATAGCTCCCAGGATCATCCGAGTACTCAAACTCCCCCACCACGTTAAGGTGGCAGTCCAGGGGGGAGGACCCATGAGAAATTGACAACAATAATTTATGGCCAATACTTTTGTTTTAACAGGCTGCCACCGCTCTGAGTGTGATGTCATTGCACCGCTATGACATCACACTATTACGGGATTGAAACGGGAACTTTTAGAGAGAGGGGGCGGAGCTACACATTTGTGCAGAAGTTCCTGGTATTAGCCTTAAAGGTATATACTGTAGGAGGATCATCCCAAATTTTATGCGTTGGTGCAATGACAGCTTTATCATCAGTCATTTGGTCCCTTTGGGAAGCAGTTTGTCTGTTTTTAGCTTAACTAGCCTTTATCAAACTTTTTAGGGATCAACTTTTTTTATTTGGGCATTTATTTTACTGTTTGTATTCAACCTTTTTATATATCACATTTTATAATTGAACGGTCTGCGTGTGTCCTCCTTGGCAACGCCTCAAGTGTGCTCTTCATCTTTCAATAAGTTCTGGTCTCCATAGAAACACACCCCCATTACAACTATGTAATAAAATTGGAAAACAACTGGATTGGGCGGGTGGTTTTGGATCCTTTCGGCGGGTTTTTGTAGTAGAAACACCGGCATTTATCTCACTGCTTGCCATCAACGTATTAATCGCTAAATTAGCATGAGAAAATTGCTGTGCTTGCATATATGCAATAGAGCACTTGTTTAATATGCGTCTATAGTGCAAATGGTTGTAAGATTGAATCTCCTTCTTGTGAAAATATTCATGCAAAAATAAAATAAGTATTTCAAATATATTGTATGTATAATAAAATATCTTAATTTATTATATGACTTGGATCGTATGCGTGCTCTGATTGGCTGATTTAGCGGTCTGATATTTTCCTATCTCGGACTGTTACCATAACAATTGGTCCGCAGCGCGTATCAGATTTGTTAGCTTTCTTCTGTAAAAAAGAAATAATGAGCGACGACTGGGAGCATTCTCCAGTGAACGAGTTCGAAGAGCCAGAGGAAGTAATAACAGCAAATAACGACGAAAACACAACTCTTAACAGTCAAGAAGAGATTGACAACGTTGTTACAGACCAGAAAGCTAAAAACACGATTAGGAAAACCAAGTCGAACATGAACATACTTCACAGATATCTAAAAAGCATTGGTAAAGACACAGAAGAGATTGAGAACCTACCAGCGGGCACCTCAATCATCTGATAAGCAAGTTCTTCATGTCACCATTTGACAGTTTGGTTGCATGTGTTTTTGCTAGTTGAAACTGATCGATATTTGCATAAATATATAAAATATACATACAATAAAATATTGATTAACCTCGCTTGCTCGGTCTGTACAGAGAAATATCAGACCTTGGTCTTTTTGCAATGTAAAAAAAGAACGCGGTCTGATATTTCTCTGTACAGACCTCGCGCTCGTTTAATAAGCCTTTAATATTGGAGCATATTCATACACGGTTTCCCACAGATGGGGAACGTGAGCTGGGGTTAGACTGTTGTGAGGTGAGACAGGTTAGTTTTATCCTACTGATGATGCAAGATTACTATTGCAACAGCACATGATCAGTAAAATGTACAATGTAAAGTTGGCAGAGTTAATATATACTTTAAACTTACTTACTTAAATCCACATAAAATGGCATTGACATTATCATCATCTTACACGCAGATGTGCCCGCTGCATTCTGAGTGTTATGGGACACTCAGAATGCAGCGTCAAATGAAAAAATGTAATTAACGTTTGTTAATACTATCATTTTGACAATTATATATGTGACATGTGACATTTTTTACGAATTCTACTACAAAAACCAGCCGAAATGATCCGAAACCACTTGCCCAATCCCAACGAGCAGTTGATGTGACTGGCTCCGATGCAGTTTGTTTAGAAACAAAGCGCCTTAGTGCTATATATATTAAAGTAAACATAATATTAATTCTGCAATAAAAAAATAAAATAAAAAAGTCCACACGTGAATTTGCCACATGCCGTTTTAAACGCCAATTGTTGTCCACGTGCCGTTTTAAACGCCATTTGTTGTCCACGTGCCGTTTTAAATGGCATTTGTTGTCCACGTGCCGTTTTAAACGCCAATTGTTGTCCATATGCCGTTTTAAACGCCATTTGTTGTCCACGTGCCGTTTTAAACGCCAATTGTTGTCCACGTGCCGTTTTAAATGTCATTTGTTGTCCACGTGCCGTTTTAAACGCCAATTGTTGTCCATATGCCGTTTTAAACGCCAATTGTTGTCCATATGCCGTTTTAAACGCCATTTGTTGTCCATATGTCTTTTTTAATGCCATTTGTTGTCCACGTGCCATTTTAAACGCCAATTGTTGTCCACGTGCCGTTTTAAACGCCATTTGTTGTCCACGTGCCGTTTTAAACTCCAATTGTTGTCCATGTGCCATTTTAAACGGCAATTGTTGTCCACGTGCCATTTTAAACGCCAATTGTTGTCCATATGCCGTTTTAAACGCCATTTGTTGTCCACATGCCGTTTTAAACGCCAATTGTTGTCCACGTGCCATTTTAAATGCCAATTGTTGTCCACGTGCCGTTTTAAACTCCAATTGTTGTCCACGTGCCGTTTTAAACGCCAATTGTTGTCCACGTGCCATTTTAAACACCAATTGTTGTCCATATGCCGTTTTAAACGCCATTTGTTGTCCACGTGCCGTTTTAAACGCCAATTGTTGTCCACGTGCCATTTTAAACGCCAATTGTTGTCCACGTGCCCTTTTAAACGCCATTTGTTGTCCACGTGCCGTTTTAAACTCCAATTGTCCACGTGCCACTGATCAGCTGTGGCAGGTGCCGGTGCCACAAATGGAGCCTGCACTTTCTCCTTTTTTGACGAGCTCGTATCACCAGAATGATTGACAATTGTGAGAACCAATAGTCTTGATGATCCACCCGGAAGTAGAAATTCCTCCTGTATACCTTTATTGATTCTAAAAACAACTCCAAGTCTGTTTTTGATGAGGGAGCGTAGTTGTATCAAGATTAAAAGAGAGAAAAAGTGGATTTATGCTTCCTATAAATAACACATATTTGTTTACAGCCCCGGGCCGCTCTGAGGTGAAGACCCCGATACCGTTTGGAATCTTATTCAAACTACTCGTGCGTTTTGTTCCGTACCATCGGCTCGTGCTTGCCTTCACGATCACCACACTGGGTTTTCAGGTGCTCCTCATCGCAGCCTCAAACAAACTCAAAATGCTGGCTCCAAGTCAACTGTGTGTTTAATCCACCATCTGTCTGTCCTTAGATCTCTCTGGGTAACTTCGCTCTGTTCTGCAGTCATGCTGCTGGGCTCGGAGCGCACTTTCAACACATACTCTTGGTTTTATTAGTAAGACCCTAATTATTAATCATATTTATCACTGGGTGTTACTGTTATATTCGTGAATGATTTTAACATTTTACATTCTACATTGTTTAAAGAGTGCCATTCAGTTCAATGGATTTTTTCGTCTCAGAGGACTTTACAAAGTTTTTGATTCGTCAACAACAGATCAGTTCGAACTCCGGAAATGCAATAATAACAAACACTCAGGAGCCATTTTTTTTCTTTCATTTAACCTTTGTTTAACCAGGAAAGCCCCATTGAGATTAAGAACCTATTTTTGATGGAGTTCTGGACAGTGGTCATCCCACTCCCCTTCGCTCCATTGGTCCATAGGGAGCAGGATGACCACTGTCCATAAATGTTAATACATTTCATAAATGTGCTTTAAATGTCCCAGATCATCACTGTCCTTAGACAGCTATAGAATTGATCGAAGATGGATTTCCCACAAACAATCATCAATATACCTGACTTTGGAACCACAAAACAGTAAAGTCCATGTAACTAGAACCATATTGTGGGCTTTTGTCACACCTTTTCCAGACAGTAAAGTGAAAAAGCCGCCCTCCCCCATCACAGCGACTTCCAGAGCTCTTTGTTACGGAGCAGAAGATAACATGTTTTCCAATAAGATAAAGACAGCACGATGTGTTCTGATTTGTTCACAACAGTTTTCTTTTACAAGACTCTTTCTGTTGAGACAAACAATGTGTATTCAGGAAACAAAACAAAAAGTTAGGCACCCCAACTTCAAGAGCTTCACTTTAAAGGGGAGAAGTGGTTAAATATACTTTAGGCCTTTTCATGTTACTGTAAAACGATAATACAGAATCAACAGCTTATTTTGGAGAAATACAACTGTGTCTTATGTATTTCACTGTTTTCCTTCAGGGTTCTGCCACTGTAGCTGTTCCAATTTGGCAGCTGGTGCTTTTGAAAATTGGGAAAAAGACGACCATTTTGATCGGCCTGACGGTAGGCGATATACTGGGTGATGATGGAACTGTGTGTGTCTCTTTTCTGCTGTGAGTGCGGCAGTGTCTGTTCCAGCTCTTCATCCCGGCTGTGGTTCTCGGGGCGTGTTTTCCCACCAGTCTGACAGTCTTCATCATGATGTGTGCGGTGATGGGCTGCAGTGTGGCCGCGCTCGTCCTGCTCCCCTGGTGAGTCACACTGTCGCACAACTGTCGCACAACTGTCATAGCAAGTTTCTGTCGTACTGTGTCCAATGCTTCTGTACAAGGTGCTGGCCTTTGTTTTTCTGTGCAAGGTTATCTACTAAACTTCATAAAAAAAGTCATGGCTGAGAGGTGTGTGTGTGGATGTGGATGTTGTTAGTATGGTTTATGTATTGCTTGTATATATGTGTGTCTGTCCGTCTGTGTGTGTGTGTGTGTGCCTGTGAGTGTTCTACTGTACAACCATTGTATTTGCCTGTGTGTGTGTATATATTGTTTGTTAGTATGATATGCAGTATGCATTGCTTGTGTATTTGTGTCTGTCTGTGTGTGTATGTGTGTCTCTGTTCTACTGTATTGCCATTGTATTTCTGTGGGTGTGCGTGCCTGTATCATAAACATTTTCAATATGCAAATAATGAAGGTAAATTCAAGTTGTGTGTATTGGATGTAATGGCGTCTTTAGTCATTAGACAGAAATTCCCATGTTCAAATTTTATGTGGCGACAGAGTGGTTAGCGCTAATGCTTCACAGCCAGAAGATTGCAAGATCCATTCCCAGACCTTTACGTGTGGAGTTTGCATGTTTCCCAGATGGCTCTGTCTGGAAAGTCTGTGGTGACTTCTCTAGAAAGGATGGAACACACATTACTCTAAAGTCTTGGTGTGAACACTACTTAAACATGTGAATTTGTTGCAGGTCAATGCTTCCTGATGTGGTGGATGAGTTTACAATGAAAAACCCCGGTTGTAAGGACCCAGAGCCCCTGTTTTTCTCTTGTTACTGCTTCTGTAATAAACTGGCTGGAGGCGTGGCAGCTGGAGTCTCCACTATGACTTTGCAGTGAGTCCTGACGAAGGAAGTAATCACTTTTGAATCTGTTTTCCATTTTTTATGATAAGAATCTACCAGAAATGTAATGTTTTGTGTGCTACAATATCAAACAATTGGTCCTACCCGACTATACCTTACTCTCCTCTACTCTAGCCCAATTGGGAGTGTTTCCACACAACCAGGTGGAGTAGAGTAGAGACAAGTAGGGCTATTATTTTTATATGTATAATTTTAGGATAAGTTTTGTAGTTTATTCACTTTGTAACTCTCCCACATGATACTAAACGATTGCATATTGCGTTTTCCCTTATAATATGGAGTGTATTCTTTCCTTTTCAGATTCGTGGGCTACAAGTCGGGAGCATGTAACCACGGCGATGACGTAGTGACGGCACTCAAAGTTCTGTTTTCAGCGGTCCCCGTCGCACTGCTGCTTTTGGGGATTTTGGCGTTTCTCTTCTGCCCAATCAACGAAAAGCAGAAGTTGCAGCCGCAGGAACACATCACTACTGTTGAGTAAGTCTGTGTTTAGTTCAATGTTGATAACAAATGTAACTAATTGTGTAACATGAATTTGTCCAGTTCATCGGTGCTGCCGTCAACAATGGGACAATGTGTAGATGAAACCTTATGTGCACCTGAGACTTCCACTGAGGCGCCTTCTCCAGATGAAATGGAAAGAAAAAAAAGGCCTGTCAGTCGACCTAAATGTGTGGTCTATCCGAATACCCACCATTCAGCAGAGAATGAGAGGAATAACAGAGACACAAACACTGGTAATTACAAGTCCAAAGTCTCGTGGGTCTAATAATAATACTATCTTTTAAGACAGATAGCGTGGGCTGTTCCAATATTGTTTTGCAACAGTGTCGTGCAAAGTCCAAGCAAAAAACCTAACCCCACTGAACCTAAACTCACTCTAAACAACAAGATTTCTTATTTTTATCAACGTAAATGTAACGATATGATATGGCCAAAAAGTTAGAGGCACAGTGTTGAATTTCATGTCTTTATTTGAAGCTGTGTCGCCGCACAAATTCTTGTCTTGTACACTTTTATAAAATAAATATATTTTTTGTGTCATTAAAAATAAATAAACTTACTACTTATTCAGTCACTTCAAAGTCCAACCAGTCGCCATTTTTACTGCATTTAAGCCCTTTAAGCCATTGCTAGAATACACACAGAAAGCAACAAACACACGACACATCCGTCCTCCCTGTTTCACTTCATAGATTCTCCTCTTGTTTGTTTCACACAGAGACAGCAGGCAAGAAATAAAAACATCATATTTTTCAAAGATTTTGAACTTCTAATGTATGGATAGAAAGCTAATTTCCCAAAGTGAAGAGATCTACTGACATTCCAAGTCAATAAAACTTACTCTATTGTCTACTTTGATTCTAAAACCTATTTTGTATCACTAAATTGCTATATTTTATCCACGCAGCCTTTATGAGAAAATTAACAATCAAATTAGGGTAACTTACATGTGAGCAGCAGTTGGGAGCAGACATGGACTAACTTTAAATTGAACTAGAATTATCACTATCCAAAGGAAAAATAAACGTATGAAAATGAGTTTGTGGACATGCATTCTATTGTCAAAAATAATCTAACTAAACAAAGATAAGAATTGAATAAAAACTATTGGAGGTAACTAGTAGGATGGTGTTGAATGTAAAAAGTTCATTATGTCTTCTTATGGCTTAGAAGGTTATTCTAATAAACATTTTTGTAAAGAAGCTCGTGAGGTGATTGAAATAAGAAAGCGGGGCAAACGGACCATCAACTGAGACGAGGGGGCCTTCACCTTGGCTCACGCTTGGGACTCACTTCTCCGGTAACACCAGCTGATAAGAAACTCGTCAGGCGGAAGTCTAACACCAAAACACGTGGTCATTAAACATTTATAGCTTCTTTACATTTGTGTCTTATTAGAAGAACTTTCTAAAGCTGTAAAAGTGTGTGCACAAATCTGAAAAGTACAATTTATTCGATAAATCTCGGAGACGTAGCCCATTATCTACGTAGTCCCGTTCTGGCCGGACACACTCGGTCCTCTGGCGCCTTGCCTTCGGAGAGAATGGAGAGCCACCGCGCAGCAGCCTCTGAGCAGGGAGCCGATATGGTAAACCGCTATGTCATCCCGGGGCGCTCCTCGGCACAGCCACGCCATCGTTGGGACCACAGGCATCGCCAAAGCCAGAAAATCCACCAGGAAGTAGCGGCTCCAATGCGAGCGCTGAGGAGGAACCCTGTCATCTTCAACGCTTTCTTCCGCTGTCTCCTGTTCTGTGCTTTTGTGTGTGTCTGGAAGCAGATCGGCTGTGCATGGTTGGGTCGTAGTCACGGCCGTTTTGCCGCGTTCATTTGCACCGTGATGAGTCGAGTTGTCTACGCTGTCTAACCCCTCGCTGGGACAAACGCGAGGCAATGATAACTGCAGCCTTTGTGGTTCTGGCGATGGCATGTCGGATGTCGTCGACAGAGAAATCACGCTTATCTCTTCAATTACACTGGTGTCGTTGAGCCAGGTCATCGTCGGGCTGCAGGCCTGAGAGCGTACTTCTGTTTTTTTCTCCGAGGTTGGAGCTGGGATTGGATCTGACGCGGTACTTGTCACTGTGAGCGGCGGTTCGTCTTGAGGTAAGTGCAGAAACAGGTGGTGATGCGGCAGATAGCCGTGTCCGCTGCAGGTGCATGCAGTGCTGAGGCTATGGCAAGAGTGAGACAGCGGCAGTAAAGCACCGCCGCTGTACATCCTGTCAAAGGAGGAGGAATGGGAGACGTTTGGAGATGTTTGCAGAAGCCCCGTTTGAGTCGGGAGAGGCTCAGATATCAGGGCTGCTTCCAGGAGGAGGTGAGTTTGTGGCGCTCTGTTGGGGTCCGGATGTAGAACTTCGGTACTCATGCGTTTGTGAGAAGTATCGCGTCTCAGAGTGCTGGCAGGGGAGCAGCCGCAGGAGCGAGATCCCCCCACCACGGGACGGGCTGCCTGAAGTTTGGTGTATGAGGCGTTCTCTTGGGTCTCTGCTGACCGGACCCCCAGGTTGGACTTCACGGTCTCCACCACTTCATGAAGGTGCTGGATTTCTCTGCGTGCGTCTTTCAGAGCCAGCTGTGCCTCCACACGATGGCATTCTCCTTCAATCCAGTCCTCTTGCATCCGGTACAACTGTGTCCTTAAATCATCTATTTCATAGTCCCTGCAAACAAACACAAATGTGTCGATGTCATGTAATAAATTTGGATTGGACCTATCACACATTTATAAAATGTAACAGAAAAAAAATGGACAATCTTTCTTTTCTGAAACCCTGCATAATGCCTATTAATGTAACGCTGGGCTCTACAAACATATATTGTTTTTATTTGACAACAAACTAGCTAGAGAGAAAGAGTGCTTTAAAAAAACGGCATACTTAATTATTAGTAACTAAGTCATCTTTATTTATATAGCGCCTTTCACAGACCAGAGTCACAAAGCGGTTTACAATTTTTGGGCATTTGTCTCTCACGCCACACAGAGATGGGAGAGGGGTCGCCAGTACAGGCGGCGCATGCCAGACCTATTGAACATGTTTTTAGTGGTAGGGGAAACCAGAGCACCCGGAGGAAACCTACGCAGAGAGAACATGCGACCAGGAATCGAACACAGGACCTTCTTGCTGAGAAGCGAGAGTTCTATCCACTCAGCCACCGTGCCGCCCAATAATAATTATTATTGACCCTTTTTTAAGCAGGAAACTGAGAGTTCAGAATCTCATTTTCAGGGGAGTCCTGGGTCCAGAGAGAGGGAAGCTATTCTACATGAGGACAATAGTGTCAGAGGAACCTATACAGGCACAAGCAGAACATGCAAACTCCACTCCAAAAGGCCATGTCTGAAGGTGGTATTTAACCCCGGATCTTGCTGAGAAGCGAGAGTGCTAACCAAGACCGAGAATGTTGTACATAAACAATGACAAATTAGAAAATCTTCCAACTTGACATTGAAATGCTAGAGTAAAACAGACTTCTAAAGCAATAAGGAAAATCTTAAATGCAGAACTTTTACATAACCAGACTCTCACTGACCTGTGCTGCAGTCTTTCGGTGTGCTCCCTCAATCTGGCCCGTAGGTGGCGTATGCACACCTCCTTCTGCTGTAAGGGGGTGAGGTACTGCTCTGGTGTTGGGACCCTGATTCCATGGTTGTCATTGCAGGGATTATATTTGGCCTGACGTCTGCAAAAAAGATGCTTTAATATGAGTTTTGTCTGGAGAGAATGCAACCAAAGACATCTGACCCTGACCTCGGAGTACTTGGATAGGTCCTGGCCGTGGGGCTTCCCTCCGGTGGCCTCACTCGACCAGGATAGGTGTTTGTACTGGAGGGGTCGCTTTGGGTACATCTGCTGCCACTGGTCCCCACAGAACACCTTCCAAAAAAAAAAAAAAAGCATGTGATGACGCTTTGATATTTTTTTTGCTTGCACTTGCACCTGTCAGAATGTGTGACACTACCTGCGCTGACATGAGGAAGGCTTATTGCGGCTGGGTGTGAGAGACATGGAGGCTCTATAGGCCAGGGGACGGCCACTAAGAACCCTCAAAGCAAGTCTGCATCACCTGCAACAAGGAAAATAAACAACTATATTAACTCATCCTGAAGAGAAGCATATACTAAAGGCTGCCCACTTTCTGCAGAATAACATGCATAAATGTGTATACAAATTTGCAATAGCTTATAAAAATGTTACTTGAGGGTTTTTTTGTTTGTTTATTTCAAGCCTGCAATACACTATTCTCCATAATAATCACACTAAAACAGGTTCTAAAAGGGATTGGTTTATGGACTATTTGAGCAGCCACTGTCCCTGTCCGTCTTACATTTAAAATCTAGGACGATGAGACATGCCATAAACCCCTCCTCAGTCCCATCTCTGCGCAACAGGTGTGAAGTGCGTTGTTCCCGAGAAATAGAGAAATACGCAATCCTGTTACGTAAGCGCATGTCACCGTTGGCGGAGGCGGGCACCGAGTCAATCTGCACGGTCAAAAGTATTAGAGAACAATGAGTTCCATACACGCAACTGCTTTCTGTTCTCACTATGAGCACCGTGGAGTAATGCAGTTTTAGAAAATCCAGAAACGAAACCATTTTCTGTCAGCAAATGGGATTTCTTTGTTAAGCATCCTCAGCTGTCTGCCCATGACTCCTACAGCACACTATCCTATAATGTTATTGCAGTTAATTCTAATCGTAAGGCTGAATGGAATACGCAGATGTGTCCTATTTGAGTCCTAACAAGGAATCTCCGGGTTCTGGTTGACGAGACGCGAGGGAGTACTGTATAGTAATACTGTACCCAGTCTCCATGTGGAAGTTTGCCTTTGCTGTCGCAGACTTGATGGAGAAGTCTCCGGCGGAGCGTCCATCCTGCAGCCATCGAGCCGAAGATGAAATGAGCTGCATGAGTGTGGTGCACCGCAGCCTCTTAAAGCGACAGTAACAAGGCATCTTTCTTGCGCGGGCTGTACTGTGCATAATAACACCGTTGAAATGGCACAGTAATCATGTTTTATTACATATATTCAAAGGCAAAACATGTAAAACGAAACTGTTTCGTAACTGGACAGTCTTCAAATCTCTACATGTGACTATAGAAGAACAGAACTATTAGAAAAGCTCTCAGTTACGCTGGTAAAAATGATTTAAAATTGATACAGATATGAAATGTTTATGCCAACACCAAGTCACAGTTATGTTGCATCAAGTTAAAACATGACAGCCATGTGCATAAACACACACATTGAAAGTATGGATACACTTTGTGGCCAGGTGTGAAAGTTAAATCAATTCTAAAGAGTAATACATGGCGTAGAGTTCAGTTAAGCGTGATGAGAATGTCCTCATAGGGAGCGCTCTGCTGCAGGTTCAGGGCTTGCTCTTTCTTCAAAATTAGGAAACACACGAAAGTGGTGGCAGCCCGGGGCCGGGTACTCCCTGCACAAAGTGCCTTCAGGCTGAAGAACGAGTCGCTGTTTCCACTCTGTGAACAGAGACAAATGTCATTCATAACAGTGACAGGTTTTTGTATTTGTATGAGAGACACACATGAGAGTTCAATGTTACCACTTGAGTAGCTTGTAAAGCACCAAGAAGCTTTTGAGCTCGTCTGGTTATTCTCTTCTCCCCAAAGTCCTGGCTATCCAGCATAGACTACAGACAAACATGTACACGCACCATCTGATATGACTTTACATCACAATATCAATCATCTTATGTTCTGACATGAACCTGAGTGTGCAGAGGTGTGGACTCCTGCTCCATGTGCGACCTTTGGACAAACAGAGAATCTTGTGAAGGAAGCTCAGGGTGAGTGAAGTCTGACCTGTCCATCTAACAACAGAGAGTGAGTAAGGACACTGAGCAGATGACAGTGGTCTACAGTGTTCTGTCTTACTTCATGGTTCTCTCTCTGGTCTTCAATGTTCAGGGTGGGATCCGTCAGCTCTGTGTGGTGTGTGATCTCAGGTTCAACAATTGAATCTGTCACACTGAAACTCTCTACGTTAAGTGAACTCACGTCTCCGTCAACTATGGAATAAGAGAGTTATGAAACTGATGGAATCCAGGCTGTGCCACAGGTGGGCAATAACAAGTGGCCTCCAAGATGGAAGTTAGCTGGAATAACACAACTGGATATTTCAAAACACCAGCAAACCATTATAAGTCATATGTCCCTGGCTTTGGTTTAGAGGCTGGGATAGCTGACAAAGGCAAAGATCTATGGATATATTGACTTGTTTTGTAAAATTTAAGCTTGAATTGCAGACTGATTCATTTGACTTTATATAATACTGCTTATATACATTTTCTACATCATTGTTTATGACTTTCTGTTGCTTGTTTCATGAAATCATTAATGTATGTAAACAAAAACAATAAAGCCATGTTCAATTATCAAGTATTTACGAGACCTACAGTATATGACAGAAAGAGCAGACCTTACTGTAGAAGACAAAGCAGATTGTGTGAATCACTTACCCTCCTCTCCATCCTGTCGAAGGGCCTCTGTATCCTTTGTTATGTAATGCTTTCTCTCAAAAATGTGTTTAACAAAAACCTGTAAATAAGTAATAATTTCAATCAATAGTTGTTTTGGTGATTTTGAAGAAGAATAGAGTTTTTAACTAAAATAACTGCAATGATATAATTAATAGCATAATCTTTCAGTCATATCTGAATATTAATATGCCCCTTAAAACACAACCTGATTGTACCTCATTGATTTCTGGGGTGATGACAGCAGAGCAGGGCTGAGCCAACAGTGTGTCTGCTGCTCCACTTTCCTTCCACTTGGTGAGGCTGCGAGTGGGCGGGGCCATGTCCAGAGGAGCGACCAGGTCCGAATAGTCCGACAGCTGGTCTTTGATGGCCTCGTTTGTCAGTTCCTTCGCCCCGTCGACTATCAGCTTACGTTTCCTTGACCCCTTTCTTTTCTCAGTTGTTGCTGGATAAAAACATAAACATAAAGTAAGATTATCGGTTGGCCATGTGTTAATGTGTGTCCTGGTTTATACGTGTGATTGGAACCGGCTCCAGAGCGAAGGCCTCCTCCTCGTTTGACAGAAGAGTGATGTTTGTTGTGGACACCACCGGTTTTCTTGCATCTTCTGCATCACTTTCTGCTCCAACAAGGAAAAAATAATAATTCTCCCTAAACATTTTATTAAAGCAAAATCAAAGTATTACTGAGTGTGACTCGTCAATTTATATGGAATTTGTAATGAGAGATGGGTTGAGATATACGTTATTGATCTCACAATGTGTGAGATCAATAAAGTATTGTTATTGTATTGGAATTTTGATAATTGTGAACAAATCACGTCTTCATATTATTACAAAACATTTTTCATTTGCAGAATCCTTGAGTCACTATTAATTACTTTGGGCTGAGGGCTGATTGGCTGAATAAGGAAGAGAGTAAGGAACGAGTTGGACTTTATGACCTCATTTGTGGTTTGAGCAATAGATATATCAATAAAAACAATGATTTTTGCCACTAATATTCTCTGGACGCCTCAGTCTGGTTTGTATATATCAATATTTATTTACTTTAAATGTATTTGAGCCTCTCAATGTAGAAATCATGGACATGACAACGATTAACAATGTTAATGTGTTACCTTGGAGATTGTCTAGTGCCAAAGTAACTTTATTTTCATTATCAGTCAGTTCTAAGACGAGTGGTTCTCGCTCCTGCTCATGGTCAGTGAGAAAGTCTGTAAAAAAAAATCATACATTGAAACACAAAATTGTTTAATGATTCATGTTGTTATGGTGTTACGGACAGCAAATACAACATCAAGCTACCGAGTATATCATATCCTTCATCTTCATCCCCAAACGTGTCCGCGTGATGACTGAAGCTGCGGAGGCTCATGTCCAGCAGACCAGGGTGAGTGCTTTGAGTGTCTGTGAAAAAGGTGCATGTGATGGGACTTCAAATCACAACATGCAGACAAGCACCTTCAGATAATCTCACCTAAATCTGTCAAATTAAAAAAGCTGTTGCCGAAATCCTCTTTTATAGTAATCTCCTCATTTCGACATTGATTGAGAGCGAATGCGTCCACCATGTCGATATTACTGCACCAAGGACTATGTTAGGAATCAACGGAAACGTAAATGAAACAGTAAAATCCATGTGCTTAATGTCACCTTGGGTCTGGCAGCTGTATGTCGAAGTCTGTAAACTCTTCCATCAAAGTGATGGCTTTCACTGTCGCCTCCAGTCCTTCCACCGGGAGATCAGTCTGACCTGTAGCGTTGAGAACAGACAGTGATAATGAACTGTTGTGATGAAAATGAAACTAAATATGAAACCTACCTGGCCTGAATGCCATTTTTATTTTCACCAAAGCATCACTGCAGTCTGAGAGCAGGTACTTCGCTTTTCTGGAGTATATTCTAACAACTCCAAGAAGCAGATGGCCTGAGGTCCTTAAACCAATTTTCATCTATAAATAAAATGCAACACAAAAATTGAGACTTTTTATAATATAACTGAGACTTGATAATTCAATTCAATTTATTTTTGTATTGCCCTTAATCACGACAGCTGACGTCTCTGAGGACTTTATCAGAGAATCAAACAGGAAATGCAATAATAAACACATAGGAGCCTTTGGTCCATAGGTAAATAAACCTAATGAAAATATCATAGATCATCATTGTCCTTAGACCCTCCTACATTGGTAAGGAATGATTTAAAAAAGTGTGAGTATAAACAAACTAACGACTATAATGAAATTCACAAAGTATTCCCTGAAATACATTAACCATATGCAAAACGTACCTTGGGAGATATTATATCTTTGACAGTGCTTTCTAAATTACAGTCAAAGATGTGGGCCTTGGTGAGTTTCCTTTCCCAGTGGGCAGCTAGCCAGATTTTAGCCAAAGAGCCTTTCTTGGAGGTAAAAAGTTGAGTATAGAACATCATGGTGGCGTCCTAACAGCAAAGACATAGGACCTCAGTTATTACAATACAATCCATGAGCTGTCAGTGTATTAGCTAACACAGAGACCAAATACTTCAAGTTATTTTCAAACAATGACACTGTTGTGATAAATACGGTTAGCAAAATAATGTTTACATAGTTTAGGAGGAAATATGAGCACAAGAATTGAATTTAAAATGAAATAAGCGACTTTTATCTCGCTGCCGCAGCTCACCTGTTCAAGACTCCCGCCTTTTGGAGCGAGCTGTTGAGGGCGCGTGACCGCTGACGTTAACGTCACTTTGCTCCGGTGGTTCCATGCGCTGCTGAAACTTCTCTTTTTCTCTTGAACTAATATTTATAAACTTGATCAACTGTTTCATGAGGAGACGGTCGTTGACGCTTTAACTGAAGGACTCGGAGAAGCTAAGGTGCTTAATTAGGCTAATCTCAAGGCGATATCCTGAACCAGATCCATAACCTGAACACATTAGCGTTAGCATTGTACATCTAATTAATTGAGCCCAGCTGTTTCTAAAGGATATTGTGGTTTCGTTGCGATTCAGTTTAGCTCCGTAAAATTATCTGAGCTTGTTCATGTTTTGACTCAATATTATAATTTATCTTTAGGACAAACCTATGTATCTATGGTCGTTCCGCAATGCACTGAATCATAGACCATAGTCACGTGTCTCAGCACTGGAGAGTGACAGCATTGGAGAGAGGCTGCTGCTGGTGTCGGTAGGGCCCATGGAGGCCCCATCACTGACTGTACTGTCTCCATCAAGGCCACAGATGAGATAACATTACACACACACTACATTACAATATGCACTGGAGGGCGCCAAATCGCCAGTTGTCGAGAGTAGTGGGGCGGCTGTAACTTGTGACCATCCAGTTTAGGCTCAGTACCAAAGACTGTTTTATTATGGTACAAATAAACAACCAGTAAAAACGTATGAAACATTTTGTCCCTCACAACTATAATGATAACTATTACGTTATTCTGACATTAAATACTAATGATCATGTTGAATAACTCAATTTATGTAACGGAACTATTGGCAACTCCCTCAGCAGCTGTTGATTTGTTATTGCCTAAACCTCTGCTTGTTTGTTTTTAGAGATAAAACAATTACAGTGGAGTTCTTCTGTTGAATCAGCGGGGACTGAGGTCTTCCATGGATGTGCACTACTCAGGTAAGTTTGGTTGTCCATGCATTAAGTGGGCCAATGAATGGCTATAGTATACATCTTTGGGGGTGCTCCTGCTCTCCCTAGAATTGGAAAAAAAACTTCCCCGAAATAAACATTGTATGTAGGGTATCTCCAAATAATGTCCAAACATCAACCCATTACAAAGAATATTAACTATGATAGTATACCCCGTACTAAGGCCCCTGTGTTGAAGTCATACGACAAAATGACAAATATAAAAGTTTTAATGAATATTGATAGCAAAAATAACCTAGAATAACATCGTAAAAAAATGAAACCAGTCACGAGGCATTCATAAATGTTGACCATTTTTTTCTGGGCCAGTTTATTTTTGAGACATTTGGCTGTAACCTTGTTAAACCCTTTCCATTGATAATAATAATAATAATAATAACTTTACTATTCTGTGTAAAACCAGGCTTATCATACCGACATAACCTTGTTATTCATTATTTGGATGTTTTGGTTGGCTGAAACATTGATCAACTTTAGACAGCTAAACTACTTTCACCAATCATTCCAAAAACACATAATTGGATTTGCAAAATCGTGAATGTGACTATACTATGACTGCATAATATTCATAACAGTGAAATTAAAAACACATACATTTGATCGCTTATCTAGTGAATGTTAGTTATTATTTCAATTAATCGTTCAATTGTCTGGATCCCTAAAGGTATATGTGATTATTTATCCATCCATCAATTTTAAATTAGGTTCAATTCAACTTTATTTATAGAGCACTTTAAAAACACTTTTTCTTCCACTTTACCCATTACCGGGTCGCGGGGGCAGCAGTTGAAGCTAAGACATCCTTCTCCACACACACTTCCTCCAGCTCATCCGGGAGAATCCCAAGGTGTTCCCAGGCCAGCTGAGTTAGTTCCTCCAACATGTCCTTTCCCTGTGTCCCACTCCTCCTGGTGGGACGTGCCCGGAACACTCCCCCAGGGAGGCGTCCAGGAGGCATCCGGAACAGATGCCCAAGCCACCTCAACTCTTGAAGCAGAGGCTCTTCTCTGAGCTCCTCCCACGTGACTGAACTCCTTTCTCTAAAGCCTAGCGTACATCGGACTGGCAACTGATTATATCCGTCGCCTCTGAGTTGCTGCCCCGCACACATCGACAATCTGACGAAAACGGGCAACTCTGAGTCGCAGGCCAGTCTCTTGAATAACAGCGCGTACATCGACAGCAACTGGCCTCAACTACAGTGTGTTTTCTGACAACAAACTGTTGCGGGCTCGCAATACACGCAATACACACACGTTGTTGGAGCGGCGCATGGAGCGCGCACATCGGGGCAACTGAGGACAACTAGTTGCCGAAAAGTAGAACACGGGCAACTGACTGGAACTGGAGACCGACTGATCATCTCCAGTTGTAAGAGCGCGCACATCGACCGATTTCGGCAACTGATCATCTCCCACCATCTCCTCTCAGTTGCCAAAAGCCGCCTTGCAACTAGTTGTCCCCAGTTTCTCTGTCGATGTACGCTAGGCTTAAGGGAGCGCCCAGCATACCAGCATAAATTATGTTTGACCAAAACAAAGCCTTGAAGATACCGTTTTGTATTACTCTTCATCACAACAGTAAAAGCATATTCATAGAAAGATGCACAGGTCTTACAACTTAGAACTTCTTCAATATTTCCTGCATGGTAAACTATTTTCAATTTGTTATAGAAAGTCACCCTGCAATATTTCTGTGGAATCCTGGTTCAGTGTCACCTCTGTGCACGAGGGCCCCACGAGGATACAGGCAGTTCTTTGGGGTACGTCCACATGATGACATCCCACCGCGCCGCACTCCTGCTGCTGTCCATTTGAGGAGCGATTGCCCTGACCGCTCCCTGTAGTACGTGGTAAGTTACAACCCCAATAGCTTCTCGGGTCCAACTGGGGGCTGCCCCCTGAAATCCTTAGGCGTAATGACGTGGAGTCCTTGCATAAACACTTTCGAAAGTTTGGTTTGCAGAGCAGGTAGACCAGCGGGTTGTAGATAGTGGAGGATTTGGCGAAGAGAGCGGCCAGAGCGAAGGCAGTGGGAGGAACAAGCAGCGCGTCTCCGAAAGCAGCCCACATGGCCACAACAGCGTAGGGCGTCCATGCGGTTAGAAACCCAATGCACACGGACACAGAGAGCTGAAACAAAAGTACTGCAATTATAACCACAAGGACGAGGTATTTCACATTTTACTTACTAGAAATTAAACTTAGTTTCGGGCAGAGGTATCCAAAGTAGACTTTTTTGACAAAAATAATTATTTTCAGATACTTCAGAAATTTTGAGCTTTACAATGAGGTATAACATGATTATATTGGCAGAGCTTGAGTTGGCCCAGCATCAATTCATAGTTTGATCAGCTGCTTGTGTCATGCATTGGGACCTCATTCAGAAGATTATGTTATCCTTATGGCTACAGTCGTCATTTTTATCATATTGACGGCCATGAATGAAAATTAGGTCAAATCTGTGCCCAGTTTATACATTTTAGATTAGAGCTGAACAATATGTAAACATTGTTATTGCGACAATGCTAAGTGCAATAATGATATTGCAAATCATGTTGATTAATGAACATGATTTACAATGGTGTGCTATTTGTTGCACGAGCTCTCAGACTCTTGGAACAGCTGCTGTATAGAACAAACACAATATAGTGATTCCAACATGTATATTTGTTTCTGTGTGCGCTGTGGTTTTAATGGTATGCACTATAGGAATGTTGGGTTTTTGAATAGTTTTAAAAATGTTGTTGCAGAAAACCTGTTGGTATTGTTACCTTCCTAATCCCTTTAACGTTGTGCTCTGACCTTGATAATGAGGGCGTGAGCGTTGCCGGTCTTGGTCTGCGGTGACACATGCTGCTGAACGGCCTGACGCGATCCCCGCACCGTCAGCAGAATGAGAGTGTACGACAGAAAGATGATGGTGCAGGGCAAAGCGTAGCCGAAGACGAAAAGGCACACGATGTAAGACAGAGACGCCAGCTCGTGGTTGGGCGCGTGCCAGTCGATGCAGCAGGCCGTGCCATAAGGTTCAGAGCTGTAGTGGCCCCACTCTGCCAAGGGCCCCAGGGCAAAAACAAAAGCGTAGCACCACACCGCAACCACCAGGAGGCAGGCGTGAGACGACGAGAACTTGTTGCCTGGAGATGTAACAAAACTGACATTAGTAGCTCTTTTGCTGTCTCCATAAAAGAAAAAAGAGGATCAGAATATCCCTCAGAGAAAGCAATTTTAGTCACAATAGAGGCACATGGACAGGGATTTTCCACCCACCGTAGATTGGGTGACACACTTTGATGCAGCAAACAAACGAGAGCGCTGTCAGGTTTGTTAAGCTGCACAAGCCGAACAGAACTCCACAGGCGGCGTAAAGCTGGCAAACGATTTCACCAAACAGCCATCTGCAAGAAATTCACAAAGTTTGTGAAGTAACAGAACAGACAACTATGATCGGTCTGTTCTCGACCTGTGTGAAAACGAGGAAGGAATCGCTAATGGGAACAAGGACAGTGTCATCCCAAGGTCGCTTATGGAGAGATTAATGATGAAGTATTCTGCCGGCTTCAAGGTTGATCGTTTGTGATACGCCACGAGAAGTAGAATGCCGTTTCCTGTTAGGGACAAGACGCCTGGAAGAGAAAGCCGATGATTAAAGCTTGGATTCGCTTCTGGCTGCGGGATATAGCTCCCTGTGACTTCGTTTGACTTACAGAACACGCTGTAGACGGCTCCCATGAAGATGTCGTGCTCTTTGGAGACGGAGGACACGAAGGAGGCAGAGGTGTCCGAAGTGTTTCCCATCTGAAAGGAGTCAAATTTGTATGTTTACGCTACTTTGGTTTGATTCTAACACTTTATAATGAAGCGAACAAGCACCTACAGCCGTCCCCATAAATCAATATAGGCTATTTACAGTACGACAGCAATTCCCAAAGCCTTCAGACCTCTGCAGTCTCTTTATCATACCAAATATCCTTCGTGGGGTCCTCAATAACATTTCACAATATGTTTAAAATAGCTTGTATTATTGTCCACCTATATGATTAAGTAAAATGCTTCCATCTGTAGGTTGGAAGCATGGTAGGATAACGTTTGAGAAATGTCCCTGATAGCAATGATCAATTCTTTTTTCTTAACAATATGAACTTTATATGGCTCCCTTGATACCCTCCTCCAAAAGTCCTTCTTGAGTCCACTATATAATATACAGTATCATGTATTTTTGACGCGTTGAACCACCTTATCAGTGTCTGTATAATGCAGTGCTTATGTTATGGCGCAAGCAGCATATTAAAACGACAAAACATTTGAAACTGAACTGTGATTTACGAGCCCGCGCAATGTTGGACAAAAGTGAAATATTTCTGACTTCACAATTAGATTAAATGTGATGAATGGCAGCGCAAATCCTCTCAAGATTAAAAACACAATGACAGATGGAAAGTAGAAATGAATACAAGTCTGCTCGTCTTTTGGGATTTGCAGCTGATTTGTGAAATGAGGTTTTGGGAGTGGAAAAACAGTGTGTCATATTGATATGCAGCACACTGTGGAAGTCAGATGCCTAGAGCTTTTTAATGACAAAAGCAAATAGGTGATAAAACTTTGGGCTCAGTGTGTTTATGCACCAGGTATTATTGGCTCTGAACTTGGCCAATCAGGAAATAGCTTGATTACTATGCAAGCCAGCGAGGAATGACGAAATGTCCAGTCGGTTTAATGCCCTCTCTGAGTCTCCACTGCAGATGAGGAGACCCAATCTCATTGCTGGGTTCTAGGAAAGATGTTTGCTTTAGTCATTTAAACATTTGCTGAGTTTGATGTCATGTAATATTCAGCACCAATTTTGACAATCTCCATCCATCTTTATTCTGCCGCACATTTCCTCCAGCTCATCCGGGGGAATCCTGAGGCGTTCCCAGGCCAGCTGAGAGACAAAGTCCCTCTAATGGGTATATCGGACTATTGTGTTGAAGAGGGAGTAGCGTCTGTAGTCAGAGCTGTATCGGCCTATTATCGTTAAGAGGGAGCAGTGTCTACAGTCAGAGCTGTATCGGACTGTTGTGGTGAAGAGGGAGCAGCGTCTGTAGTCAGAGCTGTATCAGACTGTTGTGGTGAAGAGGGAGCAGCGTCTGTAGTCAGAGCTGTATCAGACTGTTGTGGTGAAGAGGGAGCAGCGTCTGTAGTCAGAGCTGTATCAGACTGTTGTGGGGAAGAGGGAGCGGAGCCGAAAGGCAAAGCTCTTGAATCTGTACTTTCCCACCGTCATGGTCATGAGCTTTGGGTAACGATTGAAAGGATAAGGACGTGGATACAAGCGGTCGAAAATAATTTCCTCCGCTAAGTGACAGAGTGCTTTTGACAACCCAATTATTTTATATTTAGTTGTAAGTAAGTAATCTTTATTTGTAGTATACCACCTTTCACAGAGCGGTTTACAATTGTGGGCATTTGTCTCTCACTCCACACAGAGATGGAGCGGGGTCGCCAGTACAGGAGGCGCATGCCAGATCATATGTTTTTAGTGGTAGGGGAAACCGGAGTACCCGGAGGAAACCTACGGAGACACGGGGAGAACATGCAAACTCCACTCAGAAAGGCCCTGTTCCAACCGGGATTCGAACCCAGGACCTTCTTGCTGAGAGGGCTATTCACTCAGCCACCGTGCCGCCCCAGTAGTAGTGAAGAAGATGACAAAGTCTGGGATCGCGTCTTAAATTCAGACAGAAGACATGTTTTATTGTCGATGGTAGAGACAGCACGATCAAAGCACACGATCACAGAAACAATAGAATGCAAGTGTATTATACAGAGCGGAGGCATGGAGACCTCCAATCAGCAGCTGCCACGGTGTGCTTGTAGCTTGGCCTTCAGATAGACAAAACAAGGGAAAAGTACTGGCTTCTGCACATTGATAGAATGATGAGTTTAACTTTAACAAAAGTTGCTTCAAAGTGTTATGAAATCTCACATTCCCCCCTCTGGTCACACATTCACGTGTGACCATCAGGATCGATAAACAGCAACATAACATCATAACTCAATACTTCAAAAACTCATAAACTCGGTACTTCACTCGGTACCTCAAAAAACTCAGAACTCGGAATACTTCAAAAACTCAGAAAACTCATAAAACATTTTCAGATCTTTCATAAAACTTGTCAACAATCTTCAGTAAAATACCAAACTTCATCAGTCGATGGTGATTCCAGATATTGCTTTGAAAACAGTCTCTCCCACTTCTCCGTGTTGGTTTCTTCAGCTGCATTTGTTGTGTCGAGCCATGAATTCTTCTGTGACGTGTCTTTCAATCACACGTTTCAGCTTCAGTGTCCAGATTCAGCAATTCAATTCAGTCCAAATTATGTCCAAATTCAGAAATCCAGATTGTTCCAAATCATGTCCTTGCAAAAGAGGACGCTGCTGAGACATGGACAACCCATGTCTCAGCAGCTCACAGCCTGACTGGAATCAGGGGCTGTGCAGATTGTCCATGTGCTGATCCAGATGCATTGTTTCTCTTGAGGTTTTTCAGTTTTGGCTTAAAAAAAAACACTTTTTGTGTAAAAAAAAAAGTAGTCTTCTGTTCTCTAGATGTTACAGACAATGCCCGCATCCTTCCACCACCTGAAGAAGATGACAAAGTCTGGGATCGCGTCTTAAATTCAGACAGAAGACATGTTTTATTGTCGATGGTAGAGACAGCACGATCAAAGCACACGATCACAGAAACAATAGAATGCAAGTGTATTATACAGAGCGGAGGCATGGAGACCTCCAATCAGCAGCTGCCACGGTGTGCTTGTAGCTTGGCCTTCAGATAGACAAAACAAGGGAAAAGTACTGGCTTCTGCACATTGATAGAATGATGAGTTTAACTTTAACAAAAGTTGCTTCAAAGTGTTATGAAATCTCACAGTAGTACTACTATTGGGAAGTAGTTTTTTTGTTCAGTCACATTTTTTCACTACGCAGACAATACAGATAATTTGAAAATGAAAGAAAAATTATAAAACTAACCTCAACAATCTACCTTGCATAGTGCTTCACTGTTTAATACAATTAGATTTTAGAACTCGTCGTGCTGCCACAAAAAAACCATTTCAAACTATACTGTAAGATAAGATAAAAGATACTGAAAATAATGTAGACTCCATAACAATAATAAAATGGAGACAAATGTCTTAAGTCAGCATATGTTGTTTATGTTAAAAAAATAGGAAGGCACTCTCCTATTAGTTAAAATGCCTTTTATATGTATTTTAATAGACCTGCATTGAGCGGCTTTTCAGTCAATGAGCTTGAAACAATAACACACATGTAAAGGTGCTCTGAGGAAAGAATAGTTACTTTTTATACATTTTTTTAGTTGAAGCTGTGATCTATAGGATGTAAGGAAATTGTAATATGGCTTTCACCCGTTGTATTTTATTCCTAATGATATATAGTGAATCTACAGTACTTGCTTGACACTACTTTTACAAGTTTTATGAACTCAAACTCAAACAATGTATCTCCATTATGTGAAGTTCTCCCCCTGCTGCACAGCAACAGATTTGGCTCTATCAGCTGTTTATCTAAATAAATGATGACAGTTTATGTGAACAGCAGAGAGAGCTGATACAGGAAAGTTTTGGGAAAATACCCATTACTTGTTTTTATGTGATTAGAGCTGAGTTTATGGACTACTCATTTTGACTCATGTTTTAGTAGCAATGAGACACACTGTCAAAATAGAGTGACCTGAGTCCATGTTCTTACAGTGCATTCAAACAACCCGTCATTAAATCATGTCGTCTTTTGTTTTTTTGTTGGGGAAGTGTTACATTACAACACAAAAACCTGCGGCTTATACGTGGAAAAAAACATTATTTTAAAGTATAGCTGATGCTCTTAATAGTCCAGCAAGTTCTGAATATAGATATTTTTGTTCCATTGTACATTGTGCATCATGGCTCCCATGATTCTAACAAAACAATCCAATGAAAATGAACATTGGAAAATTCAAGCACACATGTAAAATCTCCTGCCGAGACTATTGTGTTTAAAACAATAAGTGAATCCTTCCATCAAAGCTGACTCGACTCCTTTTGCTCCACTGAACGGGTTGATCGGGACGCTTCTGTCTCTGATTATCTTGAGCCCGCTGGAGTTTGGCACAACACTTATCATTTGTCTGAGCCGCTGAATAACTCCTCTGTCCTCATGATTAATTGGGCATCTTTGAGGCCGAGACACGGGCACTAGCGCTCTGACCACTGAGTCACTCCAGTCTGATGTGCGTACACTCAAGGCCTGCGCACTATTTTTACTACTGTGATCTTCAGCAGTTTAGTTCTACAGACTGTCATTGACACTCGGCACCCGGCCCTATACCTTTTCATGGTTTTAGTATTTTGTGTGTGTGTTTATGTGGTTTGTGGGTCAATGAGTCATAAGTCATTGTATTTTTTTGTATGAAAAATGTGATTGCCCTAACCCTTGGGATAACATTGTATTTTTGCGGTTCAATTTGTCAACAACTGCAACCACTTTCATTAATCAACTTATAATCAACAATTTTCAATTATTAAATAACATTCTTTCTATATTGCATTGTTTTATATTTTCAAGAAAAGAGAAAAAGAGTAAAAATGTGATACAATAAATGCCACTGTCTTTGTTAAAAAAAAAAAAAAAACCTTATATGTACATAGTTGCTGTCCTATTTGATAATCAACTCTAGTTTGTGTTCATAAAATTCTTATTTCAGTTCCATAGTGAAATCAAACTCGCTGGGCAAAAATAGGCAACTTTTTCTGTGCGCTTCTATAGTTCAGGATATTCTCATTTTGATTAAAATGTTCAAAGTTTTGTACTAGTCTTTTTGTTTTTGTATTACTACTTACATGAGTATCCAGTTTCTTGTCTCATTTTCTGTTAGGATAAGTTTTATATTCCTAAATATATAAATATAAAACATATGATGACATGAGACATCATTTTCACCCTTCTGATGGTGTGTTGTTGCAATAGTAAAAGCTGCAGAAATCCAGAAAACAGTGATTCACTGAAAAAAACTTTGCAGCAAAACTCAAGTAATTATGCATCTTTTTGCCTTTTTGTTTTGTATGCATTTTTTTTCTATAAATTGCCTTGTGTATCAGTTGTGCTTTACAAAATGTTGATTGATTGATTGATTAGTTTTATATAAATTTACATATGAGACACAGTTTCCCCAAAGCCAGATGCTTGTTCAGAGTTGGAAGTGGACTGACCGTCTGCTCTACTGTTACTGTGTCAGAGCTGTGATAAAAAAGCTGAAGGCAACATTTTATTTGTGAATAGGTCACACAGAGAGTGACATTTCTTATATAATCCAAATAAGCATCGGGTTGTGTGTAAGTGGGTGCAGCAGTTGAGCTGAAAACTGCCTGTCATCAGTTGTCATCAGATGTTTTTATGGCTCTTTGCTGAAAGATTGTATAATCTTTCTAACAAGTCCTATTGCCTCAAATTGTTGTTGTGTTTTGTTCACTGACAGCTATGCCTTTGCCTTTGGCAAGGGCACCAACCACAAATAATGCCAAATAAATTAATAAATATGAGAAAAGATTGCAATTCTGCTACCCCACGAAATGCTGTTGTACTGCTTCCCATGGCAAAAACACATTACATAACACTGAAAGATGTTAGTGAAGAAGAACAAGAAACAAGAGCTTTTGATTTGTCCAAAATATTACAGTTCTCCCCCGATTCCTCTAAGATACTATTTTGATACAAATCATTTCCAGTAATAGAAATGTACAATAAAATAAATACATTGAACAGATGTAATAGTCAACATATGTCATTATATTGTCTGTTCGAGCATTAGAATAGCTTCCATATAGTGAAAGCACATGTTACATTATGTGTCCTTGAATCCACAAATGTGACTTAGCTGCAAGCCTGTCTATCAAATAATAATCCACAAAGAGACAATGAACAAAAACACACATCTAAGATGTGTATATCTGTAATCCAATCACAACCTCAATGTCGAATGTGTCTTTTGAAAAGCATAAGCCATCAGAAGTGAGTTACTTTTTCACAGAACAAATATTACAATAGACAATAACCATGCATTGCAAATAACAAAAGTTGAACACATTTAGCCGTATCAATAATATCAGTTTCATACTTGCTCCTTAGTGACTCAGAGTTGTCATGCTGCTCACCTTCCGCCTGAAGAAGCTGTGACCTCAGCTAAACTCATGTGGACAGTGGATGAGAAGACTGGTGAAGGACGAGATCCTGAGCTCCAGGTAGCCTTCTCACCCCCCACACACAGACGCGCTCAGCCTCACCACTTCATCTTCATTGTGGAGCGGCATTGAGCCCCATTGAGCCATGCAGAGTGAAGTGAGAGAGATGGCAAGCAGCTCAAGAGGATGGACAGAGGGAGAGAGGGAGAAATAAAAGGACGGATCAAGGAATAATATGAGCTCATGAGAAGTACCACACCCCATTTCGTCCCACTGCTGTCCATCCTCTCATGATTGCATTTGTTTCTACATATCTACTTCCCCATTTCTTTCTGCATAAACTTATATACTGCAATGAAATATATACTTGTATTAATACATACTTGTATGTGTACATCTGTAGATAAATCTATAATACGTTCTGGGCCACGAATATAGACGTAATTACGGCATTAGCTTTGAGGGTTCAAATGTTCAGAGTGATGATCCTACTGTACATATTAGCATCATGTGATACTACTGTACATGTTAGCATCATGTGATACTACTGTACATGTTAGCATCATGTGATACTACTGTACATGTTAGCATCATGTGATACTACTGTACATATTAGCATCATGTGATACTACTGTACATATTAGCATCATGTGATACTACTGTACATATTAGCATCATGTGATACTACTGTACATGTTAGCAGCAAGTGATACTACTGTACATGTTAGCTTCATGTGATACTACTGTACATATTAGCATCATGTGATACTACTGTACATGTTAGCATCATGTGATACTACTGTACATATTAGCATCATGTGATACTACTGTACATGTTAGCATCATGTGATACTACTGTACATGTTAGCATCATGTGATACTACTGTACATGTTAGCATCATGTGATACTACTGTACATGTTAGCATCATGTGATACTACTGTACATGTTAGCATCATGTGATACTACTGTACATGTTAGCATCATGTGATACTACTGTACATGTTAGCATCATGTGATACTACTGTACATGTTAGCATCATGTGATACTACTGTACATGTTAGCATCATGTGATACTACTGTACATGTTAGCTACATGTGATACTACTGTACATGTTAGCATCATGAGGGTGTGATTATTGCATTTCCTGTGTTTTCAAATTGTTTGTTTCTCTGATCTGTTGTTGGTGAATCAACAACTTGGTGAAGTCCCCCGAGACAACTGCTGATGTGATTTAGGGCTGTACAAAAATAAATTGAATTGAATAGAATTTCTTCCCTAATTTTTCAACGTTCCAGTTTTAACACGTTGGAGTTTATTTTATGTATCACCGGATCTAAAAGAACATTTCCGCCTGTACTCTCTCTACAGTTAAAGAGTAATGCTGCATCATCTGTGCATAATGTCACAAAGTTTTGATGTTTTTCTAGATTCGTGCATTCAGTTCAAACACAAAATGACATTCGACATTCATGCTTCACTGGGGATGGAATGCACCTGAAGGGACTAGTTTGCTTCGACATGCTGTTTTATTTCTCTTTCCTCCAGCTTCAGTTTATCCAGCTGTGGGGGCCGCACGGTGATTTCATGCTTCTTTTGGTGGAACCAGATTGAAAAGTTTCGTGAACTCTATTAATCAAACAATCAGGAATCAATATATAAACACAATACTGTATACAGTATATAATTCTGCTTTAAGTGGTTCTGCTGAATCTCATAACAGTAAAGATTACTGAGGAAAATACAACTCAGCAAATCACAGGCAGCAAACCTCAAACACACGTTGATAAAAGAACGAGATAAGGATTTGAAAAGTTTTATAACGGTTTCTTGTATCACTTATTTAAGGTCCAGCTGAATTTTTTTTAATTGTCAGCGCTGATAAAGACCAAGGTTTGATTTATGGTAACACCAGCAACATACAGCCACATGTGTTTCATCGGCGTCTTCAATGATTTCATTGTCTTTACACGCTAATCTAGATAATTACTTTTTGTTGTTGTTGTTATTATCTATAGTGGTTAGTCTTTCCGGGGTCTGCTTCACGCAGGACAAAAGTTCAAACAAAAAGTTTTAAAAAGCAATTGCAATACAAGACCCAAAACTGAATCACATATCATCCTTTGACGTTCATTCAAACACTGTTGTTATATTAAGGCAAACCAAGCTATTATTGGTTAGGGATCCTTTTAATATGCTGTGTATTTAGAGCTGAGTATAACTCATAGATAAGAGGGGAACTTTTTAGAAATCCAAAGATCCAAAAAAAACAAATGACTTATGACAATATAGCTACTTTGATATTCTTTAACGCAATATAGAAATATAATCGATGATATTTGATCGATAACATAGATGTAACAAGTCCTATCAGAACTGACAAAGTCAAAGTGAAAATGTTGTCAATATATCACATAAGTAGGATTAAGGTTAGGTGCCAGGTCTAAGGAAAGAATGTTTTTGAATTTTTATATAAATGCCAGACATGGCAACTTTTGATTCTATTTTCTCACTTCTGTAAAACCCTTCGCTGCTGTTTCTTTTACTCTATTGATAATGATATGTATTTGTGTGTATTCAAGATAAATCTATAAGATGAAGCCCACTTAAACACTGTATGTTAACTTGATTATTATTATTATTATATATGTGTAGATATATAGAGCTGTAATTGTCCATTTCACTGATGAATATCATGTACAAACGCAGCAAATACTTTTTCTTCACTCAATGCTCTACTGCCCTCTTGTGGTTGTATGTGTTAGAAAATATGCAGAAACAAATGCTATATATTTAGACAATTTATTTTTAAAAAATATATCCATATAAATAACAAGAAGACCACACTGTTAATGTTACATTACAGTAAAGAAATAGAATGTCTGAGTTGCGATATAAAAACAGTCACATGTAAACATTTTTAAAGCAAATAATGAATTGAGCAGTAAATGATGGTTTTCCATTTAATCAGTCACTTGGGCTTTTATCCCTCTATTCTATGCAAATTGTCAGTGGAATTAGCTGCCTTTGTAGTGTCTCTTTAATCATACCCTATCAATGTTCAAGACACAAACTTTTAGAAGTTTGCTTCAGTGCAGGTTCAAAGGCTTTGCATTTTAACTCGAGTCAAGTGAATATTAGTGGAAATGTCTGTAGTTAATTGAATGTGAAGCTGTCCCCTCGCAGAGCTTTTCCTGACTCTGGGATCTGTGGCGTCGGCTCTATCTTGGTTGTGCAGTTTCTAAGTTCATCCTTGAGCTCGGACAGCTGCTGCGTGTGGTTAGACAGTGTTCCGTTCACTTCTTGTAAGAGTCCCACTGACTGTTTCTCCAGCTCCTCCCTGATTCTCTCCAAGTCTTCTGCGAGGAAGGTCAGACCGTTACACTTGCTCTCCACACTTGCCACACGCCCACCAACCTCTGTCACTTCTTTCTGGACCCCCATGGCAGTGCTACGGCATCCCCTCACCTCATCGGCCAGTCTCCTCCTCATCTCCTGCAGCTCTCCCTTGAGGCGGGTCAGTCTGCGCTCTCCTGAGCCCAGCATGGAGGCCTGTCGGCTGACGAGCTGTACCACCCCCTTCATCTGATGGGCCAAACGAGCTTCTCTCTCATGCCATGAGCTGTTGGCCTGGTCCACCTGGTCCACCACTGTCCCAATTGACTCCTGCAGCCCACTTACTGTGTGGTTTACAGAAAACATTTTGAATTTCAGAATTGTGAGCTCTCCGTGAATAGGAGATTCCCTTTGTTGCTGATCAATGATGTGCTTCAGAATGTTCTGCAGTGTAACATTAAGCCGATTTAAACGGTCGGCCTGAACATCTAATATCCCACTGTGCTTCTGCTCATCCAAACTGGGAGAATCTCTCTGAACTGATGAAAGGGTTTGAGGGGAGGAGCAGAGAATCTCCAGGCTGTTGATTTGTTTCTGCACTCTGTCCATATCCACCTCCAGCCTGCTCTGCAACGATTCAAGGTCTGTTTCAAGTGTGGATATAGCATGCCCCTCCAGCAGAGCTGGGGAAGTGGCATTACTCAGCTCCTCTACAGCAGTAAGAAGCCGGCCCTCTAAAGTTCTTAGCTTACCCTCCATTCTGTCCTCCAAAGCCAGTCGCATGCCAGCCGCCTCAAACACGTTACTCTTGTCAGTGTTATTGCTCTGAGCAGGTCCTGTAACGTTGAGCTTCTCTTCCAAAAATGCCAGACGTCCTTCTAAAATGCCCTCAATGTGGTCCTTATGTCCACTCATCTCCACTCGTAGATGCCCCTGTGACTGGTTTAGACCTGTCATAGATGTTTCAAGTAACTCCACTCTTTGAACGAGACCTACCATTCTGCCACAGCAGCTGTTGTTTGCTTTTATGTCATTGATCTGCAGCTGAAGCTGACTTATCTCTGTTTTTAAATCTGTGGTACTTTCCACCAAAGAATCTTCTATATGCTCTTGTGTTATCCCTTGCTCTTTTTTGCACTGACGATGCACATCACCAGCCTTCTCCACACAGCGGCTTTCTGCTGTCTCTATGCGTTTTTCAAATCCTCCAAGAATATCTGTCCGTGCCGCACTAAGACTGGCATCCATCATGGTTTCCAGATCTTCCTTGTTCTGTTCTTCAGAAATGACAGAGGAGGCAGGTGCTGGTCTGGCTTGGTTCGATAGTTTCTTCAGTGCACTGTTGTGCCTTGTCACTGTTGCTCTCATGTCACTAAGCTCTGTTGACTTGACTTGGAGCTCAGATTTTAGCCCATCTACTTGTTCTTTTAGTTCTGCCAAACCAGGAACTGCATGTACCCCATCGATGCCATCGGTGTGAGTGTCTCCTGGAATCTCTCCAAAACCTACAGTGGATATTCCAGAGGCAGCAGCAGAGGCCTGCACAGGTGCAGGTGCAGCAGAGAGCAGAGTGGATAGCATTCTGTTTGCGTCCTCTCTGAGAGAAGCCCGTAAGTTGCCCTCAAGTGCATTCACAGTGCCTTGCAGTGTCTCCAGGCCATGGTTTAGGCGCTGCACTTCTTCCTCCATTTGCAGTAGCCTCACCACCATCTCATTTTCAACAGCTTGGCCTACAGCTATAAAGAGAAAATACATTAATTGCGATGCTAATTATAAGTGTGGATGCATGCTCTCCTCTAACTTACCTTCAGAATGTTCACCTTCTGCATGTTCACCGTCAGGTTCTGCATCTGGGAGATGCTGCTCTGGGAGATGTTCCTCTGGGCCCTGGAGCTCCGGGTGCTGCCCATGCTGCGGGTTTAGGGAATCTGAGTGGGAGAGATGGTCTTGGTGTTCAGGCAGTGGCTCTGCCTCAGCTGGGTGAGGTTCAAAAGCAGTGTCTGGATAAGAGGAGGATGCTGGAGGGTCAAAATGATGCATTTGGTGAGTGTTATATCCAGTGGTTGATGGTCCGTTGGGTTGAACCCAATGTGGCCCTTTAAATGGTGGCCTACTCATGGGAGGCCCTTTCATCATGGGAGGGCCCTTCATCATGGGATGGCCCTTCATCATGGGATGGCCCTTCATCATGGGAGGGCCCTTCATCATAGGGGGACCCTTCATCATGGGAGGGCCCTTCATCATAGGGGGACCCTTCATCATGGGAGGGCCCTTCATCATAGGGGGACCCTTCATCATGGGAGGGCCCTTCATCATAGGGGGACCTTTGAAAGGTGGCACAGGATGGTGATAAGCTGGTCCCTCACAGCCATAACCAGAGAACCCTGGACAGCAACGCCACTCCAACTCTGTCACAGTTTTATGAGCCACTTTGAAAATGGGTTTATACATTAAACGATATCTGAAAGACAAAACATGACAGTGGATTTTAGCTGCCCTATATGGTTGTATTGAAAGAAATATATAATATTATCTGGGACTTACAGAAGAGTTGGACATTTTTGTCCCCAGGAACATTTGTTGTATTCAGCTTTCACATAGGGCGCTGCTCCGTCCTGTACAGTGAAGGACACCATCTTTTCAACGACATATGCACAGTGGTTCCTTTGAAAAGAGAAAATAAAATGCTTTAAATGAAGATGAATTCAATTAGATAAAAAACATGAGAAGTGAGAACTTACTTGTGTCGGCTGGTGGGGTTCCCGTCCTCATAGTGAGTACTGGAACCTTTATATGGATAATACTGAGGAGGTCTGTAGAATTTGGTCTCACCCAATGTCAAAAACACAGCAATGATTACCACAGGACTATAAAACCCTGCAAACTTCATGTTGTAGTTATGTAAAACTATTTTCTTGAAAAAGTAAATCCAACAAAATACACTTCAGATATTTCAATCATCCGGAAAAATCACGCAAAAAATTACAAGAGGAAAAAAAAATGTCACTGAGCTCCGGCAGAATGACAACAGTCCACTGTGAGGTGTGGACCCTGGGCACGTCACTAAAATAGCTCCTCTGGCATCATCTGCATATCTCCTCCCACCTCCCCACAAAATAACACCAAACTGACACTCAAGAAGGCAAAGTGGAATCTCTTATACATTTTGGACATTCTGTTTTTATGATGCTGTTGCTCCAGTCAGGGCACATGATGTAGATTATTTTATTTACTTAGGGTTTTCTCTCAAAATTTGTTATGTGCAGCTATTTATCTTGATAAGCTGCTTTTATTCCTACTGTTCTTGTCATGTGTGCAGCAATGATAACATTTCTCCGCTGTATAACTAAAAATTTATCTTTTCTTAAATGTAAAATCATAGCAAAAGAAGATAGAAGTAAGTAAGTACAATCATAAAATAACTGGAAAGCAATCCTGACAAAAGAGGAAGCAAACCTCGTGCATCCAGGGCAAAGGACACCCTTACAAAAGAACAAATCAAAACACAACTATTGTTTGTATATACTTAATACACGACTCCACTTTCTCATCATAATTATACTAAATACTACTGTATAATGTGTTAACCTTTGCTCCACTTATAACCTGTAAGTGGATACGTTCTCAGTTTTTCCCTCACTCTGGAATAAGACCTTCATTGTATGCATCATTATTCAGTGATCTTTTGCTTTGCTGTTTTTAGTGAGCCGGTTTCCTGTTTCCTGTTTATTGTAGAACCCACCTCTTTTACCTAGAAACACCCTGTTACTCACAATACTCTGCAGTGTGGGGATAAGTGGGCTATATATTGCTCTTGATTTGTCAACAAGCTCTTATTGTATTGCTGAAACATGTTTGAGGGCGCACAGCATCCACTCTCAGACTTTCTGGTTCTCTCGAACAAGTGCACCTTTATTCGGCCGCACACTGGCCGCTCCACCCAACTCTGAGCCTCAATGGCATCACTGAGCTCCAGCTGTTCCAGCTTCACCTGACCGTCAGAACACTTACGTCACGGTTTATGCGGCTCATGCACCACTTGATTTTGTCACTTTCAAAACAAGCTCTTTTTCTGCATACCAACTGAATAATGTGTCTTGCCCTGCTCCTGGAGGTCTGGTTAACACATGGGCTGTCCAGCGAATGTGTATCTACTTAATATGTGTTTAGTTTAACACCAAAGCTCTACATTCTGAATCTCTCTGTTATCCTCTTTGTAGACTTTTGTCCACAGATGTTGAGCCACATTCAAATATCTCTCCATCTCTCCTTCTAAAAGCTATTTTATATCATTATATTGAAATCAATGTAAGTCATTGTCATTATATTGTTTCATTATGATAATGGTATAAATCAACCTGTCACTAAACCTCTTGAACTTCCGCTCTTTGTGAGATGGAGTGGCCTGTATCCGCCATGATGCATTCACAGCCATGTGCAAGGACAAACACCAGACTGGGCCTTAAACTTCACAAACACAGATGCTCCTGGGACTTTAGATTGCTTTAGGAATGTATTTATTGTTTAGTGATCATTAAGTTCCTGGTCCAGGATACTTTTTAAATAGTTTTCATGTCTGGCCACTTTGAACACATAAGAGAGCTTTGTGTCTGTTGATTGTGAGGGCTGTGGCTCATGTGGCCTGACTTTCTGCTCACACTAGAGTTTCTCCTACTGAGAAATGACCGTTACATTCCGTCTCTTTTTCATTACTGACACTGCACACAAAAGAAGATGTTTTTGAACATGAGGTGTCAATCTATCGATAGAGTTGTCTGTTTTTTGTTTTACTTTTGAATGCACTGGAAACAACAGCAAAGTTCTGATCTGAAACAGTTGTTGTTTTGTGTTTTACAATCGTTACTTTTCTTGTTTTTTTTTCTCTAGCTGTTAATGGTTTCTGCATTACAGTGACATGGTTTTACACTGATCCAGACAGAGTAGAGATGATGCACAGTCTGAACCAGTAATCCACTGGAGGAATGCTAATATATAATATATATTTTTTAAAGCATGCAGGATTTCATTCTGAACCAGAGAAGACAAAATTTTCCCATGCATTAACCAGAGGCAGCTCATCACCAGCGGCTGTGTTCCTCTTCTGCTGCTGTGACCAAGATTACTGTTGCACTTTATTACTATTGTTAGTAACTTTTAGAATTATGTGTTTATTTGTTTGTATGAATGGATGTGTGTCTGCTACTGCACACCTGAATTCCTCTTAAGGGAATCAATAAGGTATCCATCTATCTATCTATTTACAATAAAGGGTTATTGTTTGTATAATACATCCGAGTAAGTCCTCTTGGAAGAATTATTTCATCTATTAATAATAATAACGAATAATGCATTTGTTTGAATCAAAATTTGTTACTGATCATGTCAATTACTATCTCTACAAATGTTTGCGACATTGTTATTTTGATAACATGAAGCATTTCAAATTCAGACGACCCCTAATGATTCACGATACTATTGAATTTTCTTCATATTAAATTGACAACCAAGCAAAGGAAGCTGTGTGTGACTGCCCTCGTGTGGCCCCGGGTTTTCTCGCCACATGATGAATGCTATCCCAGTCTGTGCCATACATGCAACTGAACAGTCTTGGAAAGAGTCCCCAGTCAATCAAAATACCGACGTCCCTGGAACATGACATAATCTTTAATGTATACTGTGAATATTCAGGGCTCTTTGAAGTTTCCTCCTGTGGAAAGTAATAATTCACACCGTCCCTTTTATCTTTTAGCCCAAAAACCCAAATGCTAAAATTTTTAGGAGGGCGCCGATAGCCCAGATTTTCTGCTGCATTAGTGGATTATGCCGCCTTTTAAAGACCAGAATCTGTGAATGTGGGAATTAGTACATGAAATAAGATATGTTTTGATTTGTTTTTCACATGTTTGAGGTCTCTTGGTATAGATAGAGCCAATGTAATGACAGCTCTGGGATTCAAAAACATGAATAATCTTGATAAATACATGATTTAAGTCATTGTTTTATAAGCATAACGTGAAACTGTTAAGCTTATAATTGATGTTAATTCATTCAGGTCTTTATTGCAGACTCCTTTCTTGTTTTGATGACAGTAATGACCCAAACAAATGATCTGTGCTCTGTCAACACTGCTGGTGGATGTGCTTTCCTCTTTCATGATCCTGCTCTTGCCTTCTCTCCCATGTCAAAAGTCACCGCCTGCTGCTCTGTTTGTGTGTCTCTTTCTTTTCTGCTTTATTAGGATCTATTTTCTGCTTTATTGCCTCAGCCAAAGCCTCTCAGAGCGGGCTGATAAAAGTATAAATTATTCACACGCGACACAACAAATGGCAGAATGCATTTCAGCCTAGACATTTCTGGGACTAAACCCCAAAACTGAAGTGAGGTTGTAATGATTTGTTGCAGTTTTCTGAGCGTTAACCTCTCTCAAAGTCAAAACCAGGATCTGCAGATCATACTCTGTGTACAGTACACTGTGCATGTATTTGTTTAAAAGCTTTGATAAAAGCCTCGGAGCCTCGAACACTCGCAGGTCTGTGGCAGAGGGTCAGAGTGACTATGGTCCAGAGTCAGGGCCGGTGCCGCGGGGCCACAGAGCCCCCATTCTTTAAGGAGGGCACCGGGGCTTTCCTTGTGTGATGCTGCAGTGATGAGAAGCCTTTTCATCCGCGGTTTTTTCCCCTCTTTTTTCAAAGTCTCCACTCGCTGTGCTAATTACAGGCCCCGGGGCTGCACTCTGAGCTCGCTGCGCGTTGGTCCGCTCTTGAGAAAACGCCGCGCATCAGATTCTCACGACACAGATAAACCACACGCGCACACACGCGCCCGTGTCCGCGTGTGTGCGCGCATACTTCACAGAGCGACCCAGGGACATTCCAGTCTGTGGGTGAAGTTGAGCGAAGGCAGCAAGAGAACTACTACGGAGGCGTTGACTTGTGCCGTTTGGGAAAAGAGTGAGCACTGATCCTCAGATGAGACTGGGAAACTTTAGTGACGAGCTGGAGCCTGAGCCAGAGGCGGCTGAAGATGGGACATTTTAACTAAGCGCACTGGATCGGAAGCGTCATGGCTGTTGATGGTAAGTGCTTTGTATTATGTGACATTTGGTTCGCTTTGTTCTGTTCAACATTAAACCAGAGAGACTGGTTTCTCAGTACTGCCTACAATTATTATGGTCTACACACTTGTAGCATCAAGATGATTACAGCAATTTAATCGATTTGCAATAGAATCTGAATAGAACACTTTTATGGCGAGATGGTATCCCTTTTGAAGTTTTGTAAGGTGCATTTACATCACCTTTATTGCCTTTTCTCTACAGTAAAAGTACATGCTGGTATGGAATTCAACATATGTCAGTGAAATAAGAGTGATATTTAACTGGAATGACAGTTCTAACGAGGCTTTAACTAAAGCGGTTCCACATGCAACCATTTGTAGTTATATCTCACTAATGGAAAGTGCTTGTATATAGTTTAAGAGTTCCCCTTGATGTTGTTGCTGTTCTGTTCTCAGTGGGTGATTCTAGAACACACAGCTTTCTTCTAAAACCTGTTTTCTACTGCTGTTTGCTCATACAGCGCCTCAGAATTCTCTCTTTTTTAGATGATGAAGCTATAATATTGCATAAACAAAGCCAGCTGCTTATGTATCTCTCCACTTTACCAAATCCTCTTCTGGCTGACACTCATCAAAGTCCCTGTGGCCTTTGTGCCAGTATCAGCATGTTTTTAGGGCTTCAATACATTTTAGTGTCAGGATTGGAAACAGCCTGCTGTGGGGCTTGTGATTTTAGAGAACACTATGTTTACAGGGTCATTTAATCCCTGAGTTAGAACATGTTTTTGGCTCTAGAACACACATGCCATTTTTTATGTATTTAAAAGTTGGTGACTCAGTTGTCTAAGCAGGTTTGTGCATGTAGCTATGATCTCATTGATGAGTGACATGACCAGGTGTGTGTACCTTTGTTTTTCATGATGGAACTCACTCTCATACATCATTATTACTCATTCTTCTGTCCAGCTGCCTCCAGTTTTAGTTACTGCAGACCTGCAGTGGAGTACAGGGCCCTCCCGGAAGACTTCAAACAGCTGTTGACTCGACGCACAGGTGGAAACCTCACCTGGCATGACGGACGGGGCAAAGCAGGAAACAGACCAGTGAAGCTCCTGCAGCAGCCGGGGACAGAGGCCCGCCAGGTACACACACACACACACACACACACAAACCCTGACCCATTTGGAGTGTCATTTATTATGTGCAAAAGGGAGTAGCACTCTTTAAAATGGCTGCAATGTAATTTATTGTATGATTTTTTTATTTTCTATTTATCATGCACATGTCCTGTTGAACTAAACCAGGACGTTTGTTACACACAGTTTTACTTCACACTGAACCTGGATTGATTGAAGCCTGTAGTGTGATGCAATTTGTAGCAGATGTGTAATTCATGTTGTTGGCTTAAGATCAGTGAGATAATAGCTAATAGTAGAACACATTCTCATGACTGTAAGAAAAGAAAGGTTTTTAACAAGCCAGTGCAAGCATATTTTCTACTGATTATTACATTTCTTTGCTGTATCACTTCAGATTTGCTCCCTATAAGACTCAGTGGATGTGGGCTGCTGACCGTCCATTGTTGCAAAGGGGTCTTTGTTAGTGTCCAATGGAAGTTGCTTTCTCCCTAGCGGGCTCAAGGCTCTAACAGCCTTTTAGTTTGGCTTTAAATAGCTTGGCTTTTCCAACAGAAGCCCTGTCCATCCACCATAAGGCAGATGCAAGCTCAGCATCTGCACTCACTAACTCTGTACAATTATGAAATACATTTAAGAGTTTTCCTCTGGATGCTTTCATCGCAGTGTGATCTGTCTGCTGTAGTTTACATTAAAGGGTTGTGTATGTGGTGCATCGAGGAGGCAGCAGACTGGCCTCATTTAGAGCCTGTGCCTTTGTTTTTGCCCCTGAAAGGCTCTTTAAAAGGCTGCCATGAGCTGAGGCTGCAAACATCAACTGGACTGGAGCGATAACAGAGTTGTTCACAAAGGATTGGTTGTTTATTTCTAACCTCTTGATACAGCAGTGGGAGTGGGTTATGTTGGTCTTGGTCAAGGAGAATGCTCAATGAATTAGAATGGCTCTTTCCTAGTGTTTGTTCAGTTTTATTGAGTGTACACATTTAATCTTTGTAAGCAGTCGCATTTCAAATTATGTCGTATGTTTGTGGCTGCTTCACATTAGTTTGTTAAAATTAAGAGATCCTTCATTCGTTCTTCAGTGGGGAAATGTTAGTGTCACATCACCAGTTACAAAACAATAAGATTGAGGAGTATACAGCAAAAGATGGGTGAAAAATAACTCTAAACTAGAATTAACTCTCTTACCTCAGCATAAATCTCTAGCTTTAGCAAAATAAAGTGGCAAGAATTAATGATCAAATCTCTGACATTAGCATTATAAAGAAACCAAAATTAAGTATAACATCTCCAGAAATTAGATTAGATTAGATTCAACTTTATTGTCATTACAAAGTCAGAACAATGCAACAAAATGCATCTAACCAGTGCAATAGCTTTAGTATAGGATAATATTTACAACAAAGATAAATACTGTATATATGCATATGTGAGACTATACAAAGCTGCTATTGCTAGTCTATACACTAACTTACATTACATTAAAGTGCATCTAATGAAGAGTGATATGAGTGATACTGTAGATTTGCTCCCCACCAGAGTATAAGTACAGTTATGGGTTTGTTCTTTTCGAGCTTTATGAATCCAAGGCTTTACGATTAAACTTTAAAGATGATCAAATGCCTCTACGGTCATGTGATGTACGAGGTTAAGATGAAAGAAACCTCTTCGATCGGCCGTCATAGCTTCTGTACACTTGCAGAACTTACAGAAAAGTTGTTTACCACAGCGGGTAATATTTGATGTGAGGATGTAAGGTCTCCGTGTTCTTTAATGAGTTCACGGTCGAGCTCTGCAGGGGGGACTGCCTTGTTAGTTTAAGAAACATCTTTCTCAGAACAACTTGTTTCGAGAAAATAACAAGACGCAGCTACAGAGTGTGTGGGCATCTGATAATAATATGCCTAGATTTTGGTCTTTATGGTTTTTTTCTTTTTGTTCCCTATGTTTGCAGTACCACACCAGTGATAATTATGGGATATACAACACAAGCCCGACACAGCCCAGCTTGATGCGACCCGTGGTGCTTTGGACACAGCAGGACGTTTGCAAATGGCTGAAGAAACATTGTCCTCACAACTACCTGACTTATGTGGAGGCATTCTCCCAACACGCTATCACAGGTGACTTCACACACCCACTGAATACATGTGACAGGAGAAAGCAAGGAAGGACCCAAAAGCAGAGCTGCAAAATGATATGATTTAATAAATACCATAACGGAAAGAAACCAAGGACGAGACTTGGGGGGGAAAACAATGGACCAATGAGGATAGGGTCTAAATACACACAGGTGGAGATCAATAGGGCAGACAGGAAGTAAAACTCAAACTACAAGAGAACAAATATATATTGAATTAAAACCAGCGGAAAATAATAGTTTAGGAGGGTTCATCTTGTCTTCATAAGAGAATAAAAGTAGGTAATAACATTGCTATTTTACAATGGTCTGGTACAGAAGAACCAAATAAGGGAAAAAGAAAATCTACAAAAAGTCCATACCTTGACAATAGGTGTGAATGTAGGCTGTTTTGGGTGGGATATAGGGTTTTGTATGATATTGATTGTACTGAGAGCAGAAAATTCAAGCAAATAAACATAACAATAGACAAAATGTGCTGTATTATACTTCAGTGGCTCTCAAACTCTGCAGGGCCCCCCAAAATATGCATGAAATCAACTCCTGCTGAATACAATAGAGGGCAGTAATACCAGCGATCAATTAATTCTCGTGGTCTTTTAGGCAAGTTAAGTTAATTTGTATAGAACAGTTCATACACAAGTGCTTAACAAAAAAACACACAAACTGGATTTGAACTTTGTCAGCAATGAGTCTTTGTCAGGATATTTTCAGGAAGACTGCTTATAACTGCGTAAATATGGACTAAATTCACTTCAATAATGTGTCTTGCGTGTTTCCCAAAACATGTTTTGGGAAATTTATCTTGAAATCATTTTTAAATACTATGAATTTAATGATTAGATTGTTGGAAGTGTTTTAACCTTAACAATCAAGAGCAGTGTTTCTCAATCATTGGTACATGTCCCTAAGAATGGAACAACAAACAATATTGTTAGTAGAAATAGAAAAGCAGAAGTGCTTCTTGGATGTGTCCTTTACATGTAGGTGCTCTTCAGTGAGAGATCAGAATCAAAATACAAACAAATGTATAGACTAAGGCTCTCGGAAAGGATATGAAAAAAGACATTATTTTTCGAGTGATATTTTTTTCATGTGGTATAAATGTGTTTTGGCACTGGACCTTCATCAGTTCTCTGGTATGTGGCACTTTTCAAAAAAACACAAGTCTTAAGTCCAATCGAACATGCAGACTGAACATGATTAACTTGAGGTCCTCCATTTATAAAGTTTGAAGTGTTATGTTGCAAAGTCACTGAAGATGAAGTTTTCTGAGCTACTCATTATTGGAAGTTTAAAGGAGAGTGTAATTGTTCTGCTTTTTAATCATTGGTACGTGTCCATAAGGATGGGACAATAAACAAGTCTCTTCTAGTTTGTGCTGTACATAATATTTTAGGAACATATCATACAATAATGAACAAGCAAGTATCTATTAATTTACCTTTGATTTCTGGACCTACATAGACTCAAATATGCTGAGAGGAGGTTTTATGACTCAGATCCTTCTTTATGACTGAGGAATTAAATTAAGTATTTCGAATCTAGCAAGTTATCTCCATCACAATGTTCTCCAGTTTAGATTAGTTTTGGTCAAATGTATAAAAATCCCATTATCACTAACTTTTTGAGATCTAAACAACTAATTAGATTCATGGAAAGAATAATCTACCAAATAATCGATTGTCAAAACATTATTATTCCAGTGAGGGCTCAATGAGAGTACCAGACTGTTTTTCATGAGTGTCCTATTTTTAACAACAAACCAGAAAAGCACTCGTAGAGCTCAGACCTCTGCCTAGAGGCGCAGTTCCTTTACTTTAAACTAAAATAAGGCGATTCAGGTCATCTTCAGTTGAATCCCTTGTTCACTGGGCCATTGTTCATGTATCCTGAGAATATGGTCCAAAATCCCCCATGATTTTGCAGTTGTGTTGCTCACAGAGAGAGAAACATACAGACAAACAAACTGACAAACTGATAAAGTAACACATACAAAACACAGTGATAATAAACAGTTAAATACATGCTTATAAACCCCCAATATCTAATGATTTAAATGTAAATGTGTTAGACAAAGGTTTAATAAGAATAAAATGTTGGAGTTTCTTCTTTCAAACCTTCATAGAACAAATACCTGCTGTACTCCTGCTTTCAAACCTACAGAAACAAATTAGTCCTGTTTAAATCTTGGTTTAGTCCTAATTCAGTCCCAGGAAAGTCTGGTCTATACCTATTTTTAATATGTGGTTCTTGGAAAGACAGTTATATAGTTGTTAATTTAAACTGAGTTAGCCAGCACTAATGGAAGCATTAGTGCTGCTTGTTTTCAGGTTGTGTGTTTGAAGCCCTTGTGTTGCATGTGTGTGTTCAGTTTGTGTGTTTAAAGCCCTTGTGTTGCATGTGTGTGTTCAGTTTGTGTGTTTAAAGCCCTTGTGTTGCATGTATGTGTTCAGGCCGCGCTCTGCTGCGTCTGAACGGGGAGAAGCTGCAGAGGATGGGGCTGGTGCAGGAGACCCTCAGACAGGAGCTACTACAGCAGGTGCTTCAGCTGCAGGTGCAAGAGGAGGGACGCAACCTGCAGCTTCTCAGCAGAAGTGTGTACAGCTACAACAGTCATGTGGTTCTCATCAAACAGCACTGACCTGTTTTCTTCTCTGCAGCTTCGTTCGGGAACATATCGTAGCAGCAACACTTTAAATGCTGCTTCAAGAGGATGACTGCTGGATAATATTTATGGAAATGTGAATCTGATTTGTTGGACGGATGCCTTCAGCAAAATCAAAGATATTTTGCACATCAAAGTAATCAGGGGTTGAGTCTCCTGGGCTTGTTTGTAACAAGACTTTTGAACTGAAATGAGGACATGAAAGACTATAAAAGACAATCCACTTTGTACATTCTAATTGTAAATTCTATTACAATTTATTGTCCCATGTTTGTTTTTCTGTCGTAATAAACAGAAGAAATGCAAACTTTTTTTGCGCAAATTAATATAATAGCTAGCAATGATTGAGGAACACCGTTAATTTTTACAGTCAATGGGAACACCAGTAGACGGCAACGCATAATCACATGCGAGACCTATGGTCACGTGGTGCATTACGTCGCGCAGAATGAACTACATCTCCCATGATGCAATGCGGCTTCAGTGGTAGCCGGGTGGATGTAACCGGTGGTGGAGAGCGGCCGATGGCTCCGAGGCTCCGACATCGCCATGGAAACGGAGTATGGGAAAATATTGTCCTCCCGCTCGGACAGGTACTCAGGCTTCTCATGTTTGTGATGTGACGATGATAACGACACGTTTGAGGACAGAGCGTCAGACCAGACTCACGCTGACCCCGTGGACCACAGCTGATGGACACAACACCAGAACTAGGTTACACAAGTACTACGGCCGCTGCCAGTCTACAGCGCTCAAAACCCTCTTTTATACGGATTACTTTAAGTACATCCTTTCACGGTGAATACGGCAATACTGTAGTATTAATATACAGCTCTGGCAGAACGGCACAGGCGTAATGGAGATGCGTCCGTGTTGACAGTGATGCGTCATGTAGGTTGGCCAATAGTCACTGTGTAACCTACTTAACATCCATATGTTTACCACTAAATGCACTCATGTCATAAGCCATTTCTGAACTTCCTCAAATGCGCCTCAAGTCCTCAGATTCCAGTCAGGACATGTGTCTTGCATTATACATGTACATGCACAAATACATACATTAATACATGTATTTATGTATCGCCCAAACAGCTGTCGTGTCGAGGGAATCTCAGACTTGTTGATTTGGATCAGATTGATTCTAATTTTATAATTTTTTGTATTTAGAACCATTCAATAAAATACTTGTTGTGGACCAAAATAGTAATTGGTCCATAAAAACAACTGATTAACAAATCAAAGGCATTTAAGGAAAACAGGGAAATGTCCTTAGACCTTCCTTTGTATATGTAGTATTATGCATTACACTCCACTCCCATGGTCCTGGGCAGTGAGTTTTGAGTTTTGAGTCTAAAATAATTATTACCAAATCAGTTATTAAACACAAATCTAACTCTAGATGGATTTACCTCTCTTCCCATAGTAAACAGATCATCATCATTTAAAATGTTGGTTATTGGTGTAATATTATAATGATTGAACATTAAGTGGTCATTGTGCCAGTCTGCTGCATGTGTTCACGACACGAGCACATCCGTCCCAGACTGTTTTCGTGCACAGTCTCTAATAATATCAGCCAAGAGGCTCTAACAGGGCCAGCCCAGTGATCCTCTTAGCCACTGTCACTTACTGCCAAACAAAAGCAAAGTAACAGGTTCTTCAGTCAGGGAGAGAGTGTGGTCATTATGTAGTTGTTACATACAGTCAGTAGAGGTTCAGAAATGATGTCTGAATCAGACAGAACTCTGAGCGACTGCACTGGGGCCAGAATCTCCGGCTGCTGGGCTCTCAGATCTGACTCCAGGTAAGAACTTGCTGCTGTCTTTCTACGTATAAACCCTTTAGACTGTGTAACAGGTACGTGAGATCATTTAGAGGAAAGTATGATAACTTAAGAATATACTGGTTTGACTATAGACTTTTAACATGGGTTATAACTGTTGTCTGTGATAAACGCAGCAGAACATTGGAAGATTAGAGAAAGAAGGTACTTTTTAGACAAAAAGAGACTGAAATATGTATTTTCCACTTTGAATGTTTTTGATGAAAAAGTATAAAAGCAATGCTCCAATAGTTTCTGATTGGTCTTGAACATCCATAAACATGACCAGTACCTGGACGAGGTACTATGGCTATCAATACAGCATTAAATAATATAGTTAAAGATATTGTCCTGTGGAATCATCAGGGGCCTAATGTGTACCTACTTAAATGTTACACACTTGACTAACTCTATGGTCATGGAAAGACACTTTGTCCAAAAACTCTGGGCTGGGTACAGCAAGGTTTTGTTTTGCCCTGCTCACACGGTCAATAAGAACGCTTTGTGCAGTTATATAAATGAGGCTCTGCGGTTACTTTTCCACCTGTATTTAAGATAAATATTGCTTTGAGCATTATTTTATTTATTTTACAAGACACAATATTTCTAGTAGTTCGAGTTCCACATAGCAAACATACTGCACATTTCTTGACAAGCACTGACAAGATTCATAGCCAACACGCCATGAAGATGTATTGTCAGTTTAGTGTTACTGCAATTTGGAAGGCATTGGAATCCATATTTAATGGTAATGTTGTCTAACCATAGGGTGTTCTCCTCTATCGTCTGTGTTTGTATGGGGCCTGACGCCTGTCCCTCCTGTGCTGTCTTGCAGTGGGAGTGGGGAGGACTCGTTGGACCGGCTCCTGCCTCCAGCCGGGGCCCCTCGCAGAAAGAGCACAACTTCTATGAGTAAAACAGAGCCTCCACTGCTGCGCACTGGCACTCGCACCATCTACACTGCCGGCCGCCCCCCCTGGTACAACGAGCACGGCACACAGCCCAAGGAGGCCTTTGTCATCGGTATGAAGCTAACTCGATGATGGATGTTTTCCTTCAGATCTGTGGTCATTTGTATTCTTGTGCATAACCGTGAGATCACAAGCACACGGCTCTAGATAACATTAGACACACTCTGAGAAACACACATAAAGGTTCTTTGAATGTTGTTGTGTTGTGCAGGGCTGTGCGGGGGCAGCGCCTCAGGGAAAACCACTGTGGCCAATAAGATCATCGAGGCTCTAGACGTGCCTTGGGTAGTGCTGCTGTCCATGGACTCCTTCTACAAGGTGAGACTGGGGACAGAGCTGCAAGGACACACATGGGTACACTTGCCACACTGTCAAAGTATGGCTGTGAGTGTTGCAGCTGTGCAATGTATTACTATTAGAACAGAAATATTACTGTTCAACATGTTACCAATGTTCCCTCATCGCAAACTAAAAGCTCCTGTCCAGTCCTGTGTATGATGTCATTGTGCTGCTGTGACATCACAGTCAAAGCAGATTTATACCTTTTTAAAACAAAAGTAATGCCTATAAACTAGTTTTGGTAGTGTATCAAGTGAAATGACATTACTGTGTTTGCTGATGGACTGTAGCTTTGAAATTAAAAAAAAATAATGAATGAAACTAGTAACAAACAAGGAAGTTAGTAACAAACTTGTTAATACTTGATTTCACATTCTAAAACGCGAAATGAAAAGGTAATAGTCTCATTATTATTTATAATGGACAAAATAATGCATAATATTTCTTATTCACAACACAGACGGTTGAAGGAGTCATAGACTGACCGAGTGCTGACGTCACACATGGTGTTTGCCAAATGTGGAGGAAGCTGATTCAGACCAGGGGCGGATGCAATCTAACTTCCATGTTAAAGCTTGAGTTTCCCCGGGTAACTGAAGGCATCTGATGGGTCAATCATTACAGCTCATATCTGAATTTACAAAGACGCTATTAAACTAAAAACATCAGGAGCACTAAACCACAATTTTTTAATGGTTCTTGTGAAGTGATCTCCATGAGCACTATTGGGTTATATGGGACAGAATCTATATACAGTCTATGAATTAACCAACATTTTCAGTAGCACAACCACAAAGTTGCAAAACACCAGATCGTCCCAATTAACAAAATATTCAGTTTTAAGGAAATAACTCTGCATGGATAGCCAATCTAAACGCAAACGTTATTGTATGTTTTGATACAAGATAGTACACTGTGATAGTATAAATGATGCTGAATGTTTGAATGATTTGACCCTGATTTGTCCCTAATGCAGAATCTCACATTCATCAAATGGGCATGACCTGTGTTGTGACCTGGAAGACTAATTCCTTCCTGGCTATAATGATTACATAACTTTATTGATAAAACAGAAGACATGTATACATTAACAATTTTGAAACACCTTTATATTACAGGTTTTATCGCCAGAGGAGCAGGTCCTAGCAGCGAGCAACGACTACAACTTTGACCATCCAGCGGCCTTTGACTTTGAGCTGTTGGTGGCCACGCTGCGGAAACTCAAACAGGGTAAAAACGTGAAGATTCCTGTGTATGACTTCACGACACACGGCAGACATAAAGACTGGGTACGTCCTGACGACCAGAGATATATCTCAAATCACAATTATCTCATGAGGTTGTTCATTTCTCCTTCTTCTACAGAAAAACGTCTACGGCGCCAGCGTGATCATATTTGAGGGTATTATGTCGTTTGCAGACAAGCAGCTGCTTCAGGTGAATCTGCAACATGCAAAGCTGGACAACTGCTTTGCCTGAATGAAAATAACATGCTGGTTCTTCCTGCACGCAGCTTTTGGATATGAAAATCTTTGTTGACACCGACTCGGACATCCGATTGGTCCGCCGGTTACGGAGAGACATAACAGAGAGGGGGCGGGACATCGAGGGCGTGATCAAGCAGTACAACAAGTTTGTCAAGCCTGCATTCGACCAGTACATTGAACCGGCGATGAGGCTGGCTGATATAGTAGTGCCCAGAGGTGAGACGAGTCTACAAGATACAGTATTTATACAATTTAAACCAAAACAAATATTTATTTAGGAGGAAAAGGGTGCAAACCAGATCATGCGGGAGGCCGTGCTGGGCTGAAAACGACCGGTGTCTGTTTGAAACTTTGCCATTTTACTTTAAAGGCCACAAGTGCCTAGGATTTTTTTGTTTTCTGAGCATCTCACAGTTACATAAGCTTTAACCTGGTTTTTAATCAATCAATCAACTTTTATTTGTAGAGCACCTTTCCTACACAAGGCAACACACAGCACATCACATCAGGCATAAAATTCCACAGGGCATTAAAAACAAACATTAAGATCACAAGAAATGTTAAAAACAAGAAATTAAAAACCGTCAAACGTTTATATGATATTTTATTTTTATTTTTACAAACTTCTGCAACACACAGCGCTACTTACTTTTTAAATCTTCATCTAACTGTTGTTTTGATGATATTGCCATTGGTTCTTTTTCCATTTTCTGAAGAATTTTCAGTCAAAAGTGATATTAGCAAAGAAATACTGTTAGTGCTGAAATATTATTGACAAAGTTTGAACTATTTTATTAATTTATTGTAAAAGTATTGTTCATTCTAAAGAATTCACCCAACATCACACGTCTGCAGATCTTCAACATCCACTATTTTTGATTTAATCATTTATTTTTACAGGGAGGGCTCATGAGAGTTTGACACTTATTTCATGTGCAAAAAGGAATACAAGAGTTAAACATTTGCATTGATATTTATACAAAGTGAAAGACCAGAGTATCCAATTTTACAAACGGTTGAACGTAATTAAATCATTCAGTGCAGCGCTGTCGCCGTCCATCTGTAGAAGATTACTTTCAGCTTTTTGATTGGACATTTGCTGATGTATAGATTGAATATAGATAGTTTAGTATAGATAGATTTCCCGTCCTTGTTGCCTTTGACTTTTCACATGTGCTAACGACGGTCTTGTTCTTCACTGAGGTGGTGGGAACATGGTGGCCATTGATCTCATTGTGCAGCACGTACACAGCCAGCTGGAGAAGGTGAGTGGATTCATAATGGTCCAGTGGACAGTGGCGCCACCTTGTGTCACGGGGTGCCAACATAAACTGTATATATCCTTCTATGTTACAAATAAACCAAATAATTTCAAACCCCTCTTAATGCAGCGTGAGCTCAACGTCAGGTATGCGACTTGTGCTATTTATCATTTATTTCTCCCTTTTAGCAACACATCCACCCGCTAAGATTATGCTTTAGGCAACGCTTTTATTTCTTAATTTGTTGAAAATGTTGTTTTTATTTTGAAGGGCGCTCCTGGCCTCAGTGCAGCAGACACATCCTCTACCTCAGACTCTCTGTGTGCTGGAGAGTACCCCGCAGGTCAAAGGCTTACACACCATTATCAGGTGACTAACTATTCATTTTTATTTCAGAATTTAAACTTGAACCAAGATTAAGAGCAGAAATAGTAATTTTCCATAATCCATCCATCCATCCATCCATTTTCTTCCGCTTTATTCATTGCCGGGTCGCGGGGGCAGCAGTCTAAGCAGAGACGCCCAGACTTCCCTATCCACACACACTTCCTCCAGCTCGTCCGGGGGGACCCAAAGGCGCTCCCAGGCCAGCTGAGAGACATAGTCTCTCCAGCGTGTCCTGGGTCTTCCCCGGGGCCTCCTCCCGGTGGGACGTGCCTGGAACACCTCCCCAGGAAGGCGTCCAGGAGGCATCCGGAACAGATGCCCGAGCCACCTCAACTGGTTCCTCTCAACGTGGAGAAGCAGCGGCTCTACTCCGAGCTCCTCCCGTGTGACTGAGCTCCTCACCCTATCTCTAAGGGAGCGCCCAGCCACTCTGCGGAGGAAGCTCATTTCGACCGCTTGTATCCGCGATCTCGTTCTTTCGGTCATTACCCAAAGCTCATGACCATAGGTGAGGGAGGGAACGAAGATTGACCGGTAAATCGAGAGCTTTGCCTTTCGGCTCAGCTCCCTCTTTACCACAACGGTCCGATACAGCGACCGCATCACTGCGCACGCTGCACCGATCCGCCTGTCAATCTCACGCTCTCCCTCACTCGTGAACAAGACCCCGAGATACTTGAACTCCTCCACTTGAGGAAGGACCTCTCCACCCACCTGCAGAGGGCACGGCACCTTTTTCCATAATCCATGTATACCTAATGACGTGCAAGTTCTTTTAGAAAAACAAAGCTTTTAGACACTATATTTTTGATTCTGGCAATATTTTTCATATGATTAAAAGCTGATTTTGATGTGGCTATTAAAGTAAAGCAGCTAAAAGCCTTTTCACTTATTTCACTCACTATTTGACACATTTTCACTTTTTCAAATTGCGGTTGATAGTTTTTGTATCCTGTCTATTGTTTTTTTGTGTCATGTGGTTTGCGTGAGCTATGATTTCTTTCCGTCCACAACCCCTAAAAAGAATTATAGTTTGCATTACATGTATTTTCATTTCAACAAATATGTGTGGCTCTTAACAAAGACATCATTATCATACTGTCTGTGTTCTTGACTCGTAGAAACAAAGAAACAAGTCGAGATGAGTTCATCTTCTACTCCAAGAGGCTCATGCGGCTGCTCATTGAACGGGCTTTAACTTATCTTCCCTCTCAGGTGGGTGGATGCTTTAGAGATTTATGCTTTGTTGGTTTTATCGATAGAAGAGAAAAATACTGGAAAGGAGATAATTAAGAGGAGCTTGAATTTTAGGCAATACTATTGACCATTCATCTGTTGAACTGGGAAAAGCTTTGATCTGTCAAATATGAAACACTTGGAACAAATGGTAGTTGTTTTGTTAAGGAATAGTGAGGTATTGAAATCAATGAAGCTGCAAAGTATCGCACAGATCTACAACATCTGCGACTTGAGAAGGTGGCTTTCTCTAAACTTTTCATAATGGTTTCTTGCATCTGCTCCTAAGATTTGTTTTCTTTCTAAATAATACAATGAACAAAGCTACCAGCAAGTTAGATCAATTAAAGTTGGGATTCATCCATCAAACCCTAACCCATCCATTGAAATAGTTTTCTCATGCATGTTAGTGTGGCCTCTATACAGCTCATGGATAAATTGTTTTCTTAGAAATTGAAGACGGCATGTTATGGACTGTAGTTGTTCAAATTGTTCTGCATTTATGAGGCTTTTTCTTTGGTGATAAACAACATTCCTTGTTAAAGGTGGGGTACCTCACTTTTTATTTATAATTCTGATAATAATGCATTGGTTTTTCATAGCGTTTTTTTGTCAACTGACGCTTCACATGTAATTATTCTTTCACTCCATACACATTGGTGATAAACTACTACCATAGCTACAGCTGCCCTGGGGCACATTGACAGAAGCGAGGCAACCAGTATCAACCTCTGACCACCACCAACCACTCGCACACACACCAGACTGACTGTTACGCTTGAGACCATAGTCGTTGTCTTGATTGAACACGTGACATGATTAGACTTGTGTGAGCAGAAATGTAAAGCCTCTTCATTATTTACCAGACTTGTGTGGTCCAGACTCCGCAGGGACAGCAATATGAAGGTCGTCGCTTCAACGGGAAGGGGGTGAGTGGTGCTCTGCTCTTCAGTGCTGGGACTGAATGCTCCAGGTAATCTTTTATTTAGGAGTGACGGCTTCTCCTTTAAGTCTATGTATCAGTAACTACTATAGCTGTTTTTCATAACCAATGCCATCCCCAGAGACGTATGCATTTGCTTTTGCTGCATTTGAATTTCACCTTAAAGTCAAAACTATAATAATGATGAAGTCACAGTTCTGCATCATAGACAGAGTAAAGATACAATCCCTCAGTTGTATGCACAGCTGAAAATAGGTGTTTTTAACTTAAACCTCAGATTGCACTATTATAACTAGGGATGCACCAAACCAGTGATTTTGTTTGATACCGATCTCGATTATTTTTTGTTCATCATATGCGAGTACCCAATATGAACCGATAGCCGAGAAGGGCCTTGGAAAAAACTACAGAACTACTTTGCGTAAAGGTTAAAGCTCTATAACATGCCAGGTCAGGGGTGTCAAACCGGTTCCTCAAAGGGTCAGTGTGGCAGCAGGTTTTCATTCTAACCAATCAGGAGCACACCAGACTCCATCTATTTCCTCAAGAGAGTCCAGTCTTAACCTGGAGACCCAAGGAACTGAATGGAGAGTGGTGTAACTCCTGCTTGTTTCGAAATGAAATTCTGCAGCCACATCTGCCCTTTTGAGGAACGAGTTTTATCCACTTTATCTGGGTTAATATCTTTTAGTACTCAAATTTCTGGGATTAAATGTAAAGAAACAATCCTTCATCTCCCCTTCTATTGGCTTATAAACTTTACACAATCTGAATAAGGCCAGCATGTTCACAAACATTAGAATTAGTGATTTATAACGGTTCTATAATGGTTCTGTCTTCACACAGTTCTCAGTGGACTCTTCTCGTATCCAATCACGTAACAACACGCACTGTGGCTTTAACAGATCACCGGAGTGTCCATTCTTCGAGCGGGTGAGACCATGGAGCCGGCGCTCAGGGCCGTGTGCAAGGACGTCCGCATAGGCAAAATCCTCATCCAAACCAACATGGACTCAGGAGAACCAGAGGTGACCACTGCTCTTTCACTCGTGTTCGCCTTTGCGTCAAACTCCATTCACGTTGCCAGATAAAAATGTATAATGAGCCTTAAAAAGTATACACGAACAAGCAATGAATGAAAGTGTGTGTGCTTGAGTCTGCATATTTGCGATTTAATATTTAGCATTATTTTTCTGTTCACATGATTTGTTATGTCTACTGGGTCTTTTTGTCATTAAATTCAAATGTCAAAAAGGTACAAATATTTACAAATGCATGATTCAGACATTTTTCTCTGTTGGAGCAAACCCTAAAAACTGGCAACATTGTGAGCAACTCTCTAATGCAAATGTTTTAGTGCAGTTTAGTGTTTTAGTTTGTTCTACTGCTTCTTACTATGTTCACTATGTGTATTTATTTCTACGATATACATATTCGCTACTGCTGCTCGCTAACCGCTGATCTGACCGAATCATTTGAACTGAAAACCTGCCACACTTCTACCTCAAACCTCCACACTCTCACTTTGTTATAACTGCGGCGATTTCTTTTGCTGCACATTCATTTTCATTCTTCCATATGATGTGTGTCACCGTGGTAACTACTCTTCCTGCTCCGGGTAGCCATAGTAACGTGTCTCTTCCTCTCCTCTTCCTCCGCCGCAGCTGCATTACCTGCGTCTGCCCAAAGACATCAGCGAGGACCACGTCATCCTCATGGACAGCACCGTGTCCACGGGAGCGGCGGCCATGATGGCGGTCAGAGTCCTGCTGGTGCGTCCTGGTGTTTCACATGAGGTCACATGGTGCGGGTGGAGATTTGAGAGTTGGCCAACACCAAACCATATACTTCTACATTACTCTATACACTTCAGTAAAAGATAAATGCTCTTGACCACTTGTCTAACGCTCCACCCCTAACTCTAAGGCAAGTTTATTTGTATAGCACAGCTCATGCACAAAGGAACTCAAATATCTTAACAAAGCTAGAAAGAAACAATCACACAAGGCATTTAAATCATAAATATTCACAGTACATTTAATGTACTATGAATATTTATGATTTAAGAAGATGCAATCCTTCAGTTGGATGCACAGCTAAACAGAACAAAAGTACAACTCTATTGGTGAATTGGTATTTCATTTATTGATGATTGATATTTACAATGTATCAGTTCATAAAAATACCAAAAAATGAATATATAAATACAAACAAGAAAAAACTAGTTAGTTTACCTAATGTAAACATATTAATATTTATCTAAAAATATAATATTAATTTGAATCATGCTCCTCTCAAAATGCTGATGTACTGTATATAGATTGTTTGATATCTGTGTAGTTCCTGTGCGGTTCCAACCAAAATCATTTTCTGTTTGATCTTGCCAGATTTGATTTATTTGTGATTATAGCTTTAAATTACAGTTACTAAATACCCATCAACTGTTTGGACCATAACACTATTGAGGGTTTTGAAGAAGCCTGAAATCAAAGAACAGCCAAAATGATGAAATAATGGAAATTAAAATGTTCCGAATGAGGTTTTGAAGTCATAATATCGATATAATTGTAGTTTTGTGAATGAAGCCAGTCCCAAGCCAGCAGAAACAAACAAGTTTAAGTATTAGGTGATCATATGTTGGAACTTTCAAAAATGGTGGCGAAATCAACCGTTATTACTATTAAAACTTAAAGCTGGGGAACCAAACTAATGGAGGAATAAAAATCCATCTCAGTCCCCACACTCCAAAAGGTTTGGTTCCCTCACCACTTTTCACATACAGGTATTTTAGAGAAAAAGATAGGACCACCCTCACTCAGCCAATCAGCCCAAAGGGTCAAATAGTGACTCACAGGGCTCTCTCTTATGTATGACATGTGTTTTAATGAGATGAGAAAAGCAATACTTTTTTTATTTGGACAAACATATATTATTTATGAAGAAAATAAAGTTAGAACCACAGTTTTAACTTGAACAGAACTTAATCTCAAAGCAGAGAGTAGGGATATGGATGTATTAAAATAATGTTTGCGCAGGACCACGAGGTGCAGGAGGACCGTATTGTGTTAGTGTCCCTCCTCATGGCAGAGCTGGGGGTCCATTCTGTGGCCTACGCTTTCCCTAAAGTGAAAATCATCACCTCCGCTGTGGACAAGAGCCTGGACGACTCCTTACACGTCATCCCAGGCATAGGTACTCGAGTAGTGCGCTTTTCATTATACTGCTCATATCCACACTACATACACAGTATATACTGTGCACTATAAATTAGGTGAGCGTGCAGTACAATGTTTGAACCATAGACTGTATATTAGGAGTGGACTGACAGAATGCTTTGTGTTTGCAGAGTATGGAAGAAGTAGATTTGAACATAAGCTAGCTGGAGCCAATTTCCAAATTTGGCCATTTGTTCAGATGGGTGATATTTGTGCTGTATTTAACATGATGCTAAAATAGCTGCAAATTATGGCATCTGATTAGTCAATCCTTGTTGCTCGTCTAGATTTACAAAATAAAACAGGATCATAGTGAGCACTTAAGCACAAGTAAACCTATGTCCATGTGCACTTCCCTATTGGCCTTCATTGAGCTAGTTGGTTAGCATCATCTATCTATAATATTTTTACGGTCTATGGTTTAAAAACAAGACACAATAGAATGCGAGAATCAATACCTAAAACCCTGTTTCCACCAGCCCTGCTTAACCCTACTCTACTCTACATTATTCGGCTCTACTTTACCTAGAAATTCCAGCAGCACTCACTAGCTGTTTGAATACTTTAGTACCAACTTGGCCTGGATAGAACTATTGCAGAGCAGATACTGAACAAGTATCCGGTACCGGTTAAGTAGGGCAGGTATAGTAGAGTAGGACCAAGTAGGACTGATGGAAATGGGGCTATACGGTACAATTCACACACAGGTACAAACACTCTCTGACCCTACACCTCTCCCACTCTGTGCTGAGGACATCTCTCTCTTTCCTTCATGTATTTCTTCAGTATTTCTTTTTTTAAACAGTTTTTTAAAAAGCTTTACATAAAATCTTATTGGATTTCCAGGGGACTTTGGAGACCGCTACTTTGGGACAGACGCATCGGACGACTGGAGCGAGGAGGAAGATCAGGAGCCAAGCTGTTAGCACAAACTGTCTTCTATTAGGTTTTACACTTCTTTAAGACAGATTATGTCCTTCTCTCCTGCAAAGGTTGACTATTGACTTGATTATCATACTTTGCATAGTGCTAAGCAGTTGTGGGTACAGTGCTAAACTGTGGCTGCTCAAATACTATTAATTTTGTAACATGGCATCAAGTTAGCAAGACTTCTTTTAAGCGTATGAAAGAATTGGTCATAAATAAGAATACATCTTAATGATCCTTCGTACTATTTGAGCCAATCCCTCATATTAACCGTTTATTTTCTGAACAATACTCCCAAGTTCCCTTCATCGTACTCTCAGGGTTCAACCACAGGCCTCTCTGCTCTACTTGTGACACGCACTCACGCCAGAAGGTGTCAGTATTGCTCATTTTTCCACCTCTTCTCTTTGATTTACGTCTCGTGCGCCTTCTGAGGTATCGTTCATTGTTACAGCCACAGAGAAAACACACGCTAAACTCTCAGCTATGGATGTAAAATGATCAATATGTCATGTCAGTAAAATAGTTGCAAGCGATGGATTATGCAGACTGGAAACGCAGTGTGGAGCTGGGATGATGCAGTGGTTCAGTCATGGATGTATTTGCTTATGTTAAGTAAAAATGTGCTGGTATAATCTCTTGTTTGGAGTTGATAGTATACCAGATTGTGAGTTACTGTATAAGATCTTGTTTTCATCATCTCCTCGCCATTTACTTCCATTGATCACCACTCGCCCATTCATTTTTCATTCATTCATTCACGCACGGCTGGTCCATCATCGCCACACACACACACACACACACACACACACACACACACACACACTGACTCCGTTGTTGTTGCCTTCACTCGCTTGTTTCACCCCGGGTTTGTTCATGGTTCAGACGGATGCGGCTTGATGCTTGTGACAGCGTGAGCGCGGATGTCGTACGATGCACACGCGCCGCCGTATTCTCCGAGACTGCCTCAAGGTTAACCTGTTACCATGGAGACAGGCTGACCAATGGAAATTCAGCAGACGCTCGCGATGTTGACTGCAAGAGTTCTTTTTTTTTTTTTCTTTTTTTTTTAAAGGGGTGACCTATTTTTTCCCTCCCCACCGCCACAGCTCTGAACCCCTTTTTACTACTGAGGCAATGAGCACGTGCGCAGAGAAATACGCACACTGGAAAACGCCATGTGCCATGAAGTGGTACACAAAAGAATGAAAGGAGCAACAGAACTGTGTCTACGATATCATTTCAACCATTTTACCCACATATTTGTCCATGCAAAATAGATGAAATATAAGTCTATTGGCAGCTATTGAAAAACCTACATTATTTATATTCTCTAATTATATTCAAGAATGTGCACAGTTTAGCTTTGACAACATCACAATAAGAAATCCCTGTCTTCGTTCAATCTTAATGACTGAGACTATGAGATTAACCATTTTTGAAGTGCCACTTTATTACAAAAGTATAAACTTGACTGACATTTCATGAATAGTAATCTTGATATAAAACATTACAATCTTTTGCACTGAGCACTTATTACACGCTTTGAGTACAAGACCCTGTAATCTGAATAGCAAACACACAACATTAGCTGCCACATTTAGCTTAGCTGGGCTTTCCAATAATACACTGTACTGTAGCTTCATGGCTTCAAAAACAACAAACAGAATACACTGAAATTTACATTGCAGCTGTTTTGTAGTTTGTCACAAGTCATTCCAAACCACAATTAACTGTGAGAGAAAACAGATAGATTCCTCAACACTGATGATATATTTATTATTTCTTTCTCTTTTGTAATGTACATACACATTGCATCAACATACAGAGTAATCACATTGGTTGTATTTGGTCAAATGATTTCATAGTCTTTGTCCATTCAGAGTTGGGAGTCATAATATAATGTCTTCTCCTCAGGGTCTGCTGCTTTGCTTTTGTCTTTTTCTGCAATGTTGCTATATTTTAACACTTATAACAAAGAGAGGAGAGTGTTTGTCAATGGAAGGCGATGGGACATGATGGAACGTGCCAGCAAACACTGACTGGTTTAGTTTTCTGATTCAAATGAACAGGCACAATGCAATGAATGCGTCACACACGTTAATGAGCTACAGGACCGACCGCGTTTAGGTGGACTGTCTCCGTCTCCAGATCTCACATCTCCTGCACCTTGGAATTCTACTTAAAAAGATTTGATTGTGTGAGTTGGTCGCACAGGAGGAGGATCCATCTGTGCGACCAACATCCTGAAACAAACTGATACTGTGCTCTACCAAAAAGAAAGCAACACACTTAAAAAGTAACCAAAAATAGAACTAAATAAAAGAAACAACCAACAGCTATTGAAAACAAATAACATTCATATAGGTACCACGTAACAGTGATTTTTTTTGTTATGTTTTAAGTTTTTTAGCATGCAGTTGGTAGCAGGCAAAGTGCAGAAACAAATCCAAACATTTACAGACGGCAGTGGAGACAGTGTTCAGTCCATGTGAGATGAAACAAAACATGACAGACAGTTTATATTTCTGATTGGCTTTTAAGAATGGAAATGGTCAAAATTTGTTATACGATAAATGTGTGCAGTTTTTATTCAATAGTATAATCATAATTGTATCTCTTGGTCCCTGAGCTTTCAAGTATTTGATTAATAATTAATATATTATATTTATCTTATATCCTGAATTACATCTTGACCAACTACAGGGAAGGCCTGCGCATAGCGGACTAAGTGCTACCAAAAGATTCACACAAAGATGTGCAGCTTCCCCCAAAAAGAACACAACAGTTACCCGCTAAAATTGAGGAAGAATTTAGGCCTTTGAATTGGTTGTGCTTTGCACATATTTTCCAGTAAAACTCAAGTGCTACTGTTACCTACAGAGTACTCTGCAATGGTCTTGTGCTCATTTATTATTCAATACCTTTGGATTCATCTAAGATCTACAGATAGGACTAGAATTCAGCCTGGGTCAAAGCAGGTCAACAGAGTGACCTGGGCTCTGGGCCAGTAGAAGGCATGTGTTATGACTGAATGTAAACAGTATGTGATGGAGCGCGGTCCTCAGAGCCCTGTGACGTACATCTCCATGCCGTCATTGAAGGTAAAGATGGTGGTCGTGCTGGAGTTGGTCGAGCCGGTCTTGAGGTCCCCGATGCTTTCATACAAGCTGTCCCCCGGCAGCACCAGGGCCTGTGCGGGCAGGTGCTGCAGTTTGGGTGTTTGCTGTGTGGGTGGTGGTGGAGGGGGCTGCTGCTGCTGAAGAGGCTGCTGGGCCCTTTTTCTCCGAGGCCTCAGTGTGGCACACGTGTTTGGGGGTCTCTCTCGCCTCCAGCCTGCCCCCTCCAGGTTCTCATATGCTGGATCATATTCCTCTGTGCCAATTGACTCATAACAGTGCTCGTCTAACGGCCCTGCCATGGCTTTGCCCTCGAGTGGGGCCCATGTCTGAGGCTTGACCACCACACTAAAGCCCCCATCCCTGTCTCTGTCCCCGCGCCCCAAGGTCCGGAAGCCAGGATTACAGGGAGGAGATATCGATCTCTTCTTCTTTCCTGGTTTGCACACTTTAGAATACATCTCAGCCACCTGTAAACCAATAAAACAAATACTGAGAATACACAGAATAGAAACAACTTGTTGCGTTGTCATTACGTTAGTCATTGAGACAGGTTAACCCACAGCCCTGATAAATAGACTGATGGTAGTGTTACAGGCCTGGCACTCACCGCTGCAGCAGACGGCTGTATGTTCTCCACAGTGTGAGCCAATGGGCCCAAGGCTTTATTCTGGAGCATTAGGAGGTCATCCTCCTCTGGAGGCTTCCAGATGTACTGCTCACCATTCCCCATAAACATCACTTCCTGTCAAATAACAACGCATTTAATGTAGAGTAAATCTGCACACAGTAAATGTTTAAGTCATGAATAAAAACATGAATTAGAAAGGGCGTGCACATATATGTATGTAGCATGTACTATCCTGATCTACATGCAGGCTGTTGCATTATCTACAGTGGTGTTTTCAAATACTACACATGTATGAGCCCGTGACCTCTGTCTGCTGCTAACACAGGTCCCAGCTGAGAAGAGACCCTCTCTGACCTCACAGAGGACAGCAAATGGCCTCCTGCCGTCATCTGAAGGCAGGACACTCTGTATTCACTGTAAAAGCAAGCTACTGTCTGCTCCTGCTGCTGCTAACATATGGTGGAGGTGACACTGCTGAGAGCAGAATGCCCCACGATCACCAGCAACTCTAAACAAACACTGCACGCTGCAGTGGAATCACAAAACAAGTGTTCATTATCACCACAGCATTCGGGCTGAAAACCTGAAAGAACTCACTAAAAACAGAAAAGGCCCATTGTAAGATATCTGATATCAGAGCTATAAACTCACCTTTGGGAATGAGGGCACATTAAAGGTGTCCAGGCCTATATTCCTGCGGGGCAGCTTGGTGCTGTGGGGGTGCTGGGGGTGTGGGTGAGGTGGAGGCGGGGCAGGGTGAGATGGAGGGCCGTGCCTTGTAGGAGGCTCTGCCATATCTGTGCCACTGTCCCTCTTCTGAGGTGTCTTCTCAGCTTTTCTTAGCTTCCGGACGACAGCGTACTCTGCAGTTTCTGGAGGAGACACCACCTGCGACTCGGACTCAGGAAGCCCTCCTTCCACATCCCCATCGGGGTCTGGAGGTGCTGGAGTGTTGGCAGGAACAGCAGGAGGAGCCGGCGTGTCCGTCTGCCCAGCTCTGCCTACCATGGCGTACAGGGCATCATCAGTACGTGCAGTGGAGGCGCCCCGGCCCACTTCAGAATAAGTGTGCTCTCCATCCTCTCCAGCCCCAGAGGGGATCTGGGGGAGCTGCCTGCCTTGAGAACGAAGGTCAGAGTTAGACCACGGCTGGGCAGTAGCATAGGGCCCCGAGTCCACCACATGGTACAGTACGAGCTTCTCAACCTGAATGAAGAACTCTTTACTCTGTGAGATGTTTCCAGCACAGGTGCACCCATACCTAATATTTGTTATATGATCATAACTCTCATCACATACATTGCTCTTCCCTCCCGAATTAGTCCAATTCCTTTTGTTATAATTTCCTTGTGTGTGTGTGTTTATATATACAATGAGATTAGGATCAGGGTTCTGAGATCTCTCCCTTGAAACATTGACTTTGTTCTTCAGCCAACTACTTGGGCTGCTTGGGGTCCTTGTCAATTAAGAGGACCCATTTCCAAGTCTTGAGATGTTGCTTCAATATTCCTACGTACTGTTCTTCATGTTGCCATCTATTTTATAAAGTTAATCAAAACAGCCCCATGACATGAAGCTGTCACTGTCACCTCCATGCTTCAGAGTCCAGGGTTTACAAACTTCCCTGTCGGCCAAACACTACCACTTTAGACCACTAGACTCCATAATGAAGTTCTTGTCTTGTGAGTGTTCACTCATTTATGTATTTTATGGCTCTAAATGGCCCAAATGTAGTCATGGTCCCCGGAGGAGGAAGGCGACATTGAATCTGAGTGGACCATTCTCCACCTCTATAGCAGGTGCATCAGCTCGTGGGTCTGGTTGTAGGGTCGCTTATCCTGGGGGAAATCCCTGAATCTGGTGATGGACTCTGATAGTAAGGGATGCCGTCAGGCTGAAGAAGGAGACCTACCGAGCCAAATTGATCATAGGGCTCCTGAGGCAGCTGTCCAGTATTGGCGGGCCAAGCGTGTTGCTGCCCGGGTTGTTGCAGAGGCAAAAATCCGAGACTGGGAGGAGTTCGGAGAGTCCATAGATTCAATGCAAATATAATTGTACTTGCTCCCCATCCTTGTTCCGATACATGTATGTTTATGTGTTTGATATACATTTAAGAGGGAACCCAATACATATCCTTCGGTATAAATTACAAATGATAGTGAGCGGCTCAGAGGGATCTTTCGAATGATAAAGAGTAGCACGCTGCTCCACACTTTGGGAAGCGATGCACTAAACAATACGACTGAGTTTACAACTTTCACCATAGTTCTGTTAGATGATTGTTCACACTCCAATCCTGCTAATCCATCCGAAGTTCATTTGTTTGCACTCAGTTCCATCGTACAAACACCGGCTTTTTTTCGTAGAGTGGAAGTCAGTAATCATCAGCATCAAAAACACTGTACCATGTGGTGGACGTGAGACGTGGTCTCTGCTGCTTTATCCTGAGAACCAAACAGTCTGCAAGCGCTGACTGAATGTGATGCTAGTGCCCAGCGTTGAACAGAATCCACATACACGCCTCCTGTAGAAGTCTAATATGTGTTCATGAACAAGGCCTCTCTCAGAGCGGACCACATATGCTGAGCTTCTGTTGGTTCATACTGACAGAGCTCCAGGACTGGTCTTGGCTCTCTGCTCCTGCCTCTGAGAGAGATGTGTGTTCATAAAGCAAGACTGATGACTGAAGAAGACTCTAGGCTGTAGATGTAATGTGAATTCTGTTTCAGGCTAAACTGAATGTCAAATATATTGTCTATACACTTTGGAACGCCCATCGCCAGATTGGTCTTCCAATTCATTTTTCTGTTTTGTAATTGCTTTTTTAGGCCAACTCGCTGTTTTGGTTTTGGCAGTTTGCTGCTTTTAAAAATAGCACAATTATTATACACAACAATGCACCAGATTTCCCAGTGATAATGTGCTTCACTTTGGGCACGGGGTACGACGCAGGTGAACAGTCACTCACTTTTGCCATTGCAGTTGACTTTGCTCATCTCAGCAGCATCAGATTTACTGATGGAGCGAAGCTTGGACTGCTTGAGAATGCCCTACAAAAGACACGTTGACAGAGTTGACTAATAAAAGATAAGTGTACCTGAAATTATGTTTGTGTTTCCCCCTTGTGAAGGAGGAGCTTCTCTTACCGGGGCTGATACACAAACCACAGCAACATGGCCGACACCTACCATGTCCATGAGGCGGTGTTTTCCACTCTCCCCAGGGACATTCTGTGTCTTTCCCTTCCTGTGATAAAAACAGCAGCTGTCACAGGTTGCCACTCACATTTGCTGACTCACTGCTTTTGAGTCATGTCTGAGTGTGTGTTTCCCACAGGACCAGCCTCACCTCTGGCAGCCCACGCACAGGACCACAATGAGGATGGTGACCACGAAGGCCGAGGCAGCAGCGATGGCGCCCAGCAGCAGGACCTTGCCGTAGGGAGGAGCCGTGATGTGCAGCCCGTCCTGCATGGAGGCCATGTGTGAGCGCGGACGCTCGGTCTGTCAGTCTGTCTCACCCTCTCTCACATGCACGCGCACACGGGTGTGCACGTCACACTGAGCTCTGGAAACAACACATACAATTACAATATAATAGTATCACAACGGCTGCATCATTTGGCAATTGATATAATTTAAATATTTCTAACCAACGTTGCAAAATATCTCATTTTGGTCAGAGTAAAGATAAAAAAGTCAACCTCGTTTACATACACATTACACATTTTCTTCAAGAAGAAAAGATAAGAGTTCAATGTTGCAGCGCACATACAGGACAGTAAGAAGAGCACAGGGAGCACACAAAATATACAATACAAGTACAGTAGCTGTTATGTTTCTCATTTAGCTGTAAATGCTAATGAGATTTTCTACAAACATTGTAAATATACATTAACGCTCAATTCCCAATAATAAATCCTAGAAAGACAGGGGTGTCAAACTGGTCCTCAAAGGGCCCTGTGGCTGCAGGTTTTATTTCCAACCAAGCAGGAGCACACCAGACTCCACCCATTTCCTCAAGTGAGTCCAGTCTTTTCCTGGAAACCTGAGGAAATGGGTGGAGTCTGGTGTGCTCCTGCTTGGTTGGAATGAAAACCTGCAGCCACAACAGCTCTTTGAGGACCAGTTTGATAGCCCTGCCCTAAGAGAACACATGACTGTCAACATTATCCGTAATATACCGGTTCCACATATGACATGTATGAGTAAATATAGCAATAGGGTGTGAGAATCCGGCTGAAACGACATGTGTTGTTTATCCACTCAGTGCTTGCTCATAGGAGTATTGCGTTTGCCAGTGTAACATGTTCCAAACACACAATAAGGACATGGCGGCAACAGAACAGCCAAACAAACCCAGTGTAATCTCTGTCAACTACAGCCATCTGTCTGATGCGAGGCCGCTCTCAGGTCTGTCACTGTCCGTCATCAAATCAACACCAGACACGAAGCCCAGTTTGCTCCAAAGCTGTTTGGAAGTTTAGCAAAAATCTCGCTTTTATATTAGGCCTTATGTTCACACATTCACCAAATGTGTGCCCAGTGTTTACCAGTTTACTTCACACAAATGCGATCTGTGGACTGTGCGAGTTATGGGACTGAAATCATCCACTTTATTTCCACCACTGACATGTTGAATCAGATCTCATCCTCACTCTTTTACCCGTTTTAACAGTTGCAGGACTTGAAATACTGCCCTTGTGTCCTGCCAACAGATAATTAAAAATAGCTGTTTTAAGATCTGATCATCCTCTGCAGGTGAGGGCTTTAAATAGAACACAAGAACACATTGAGAACTGAGAAGTTTAAGAAGGAAGCAGAAGAGATGGGAAAATAGCTCATGTTAGTTTGGCCTTCAATTGAAGTTCATATAATACAAGTTTTGATGTGGCTGGAGTAAAAAGTGTGATGTATGTGATATGTTCTTACAGCTGGATCACTGAGAGACAGTCAAAAGTTAATGTCTGTGGTGTAGCAAAGGACCTGACCTTGGTCTACAGTAAATGCTTGTTTTTGTTGTTAGTTAGATTTACTTCAAACCTGCAGAACTCAATGTCACATATCTTACACTAATACAGGTTTGAAAAGGGGTTGGATGAAGCAGATGTGTATTTGTTCCCATCCCCCTCTCACCATTCGACTCAAGAATACACAGAATACAATGCAATTAATAAACATACAGAAAGCAAATGTGATATTGTGTAGTACATAGAGTGATATACAATACCCTACCATGGGGTATTAGACACACACACACACACACACACACACTGACCCCACCCCTCTCTCTCATCTCCTTGTGTTGTTCTTATACAGACCAAGTAATTGACAGAAAGACAGCGTTTGAAAGTCAAAATACAAGAATTGGGGCAAAAAAATTAGATGAGTGACTTTTTTTTTTTTAACAAACCAGGTGTGTTTCATCGAACCACACCCTAATTCGCATCAGTACATATACAGACTGTGTGTTTCCTTTGACAGTAGAGTGGGCTTTCTCCTGATGATGCTGTTTAGTTTAGTTTAGCCTAGTTTATTCAAGGTCAATGTGCAGTTACATTAAAAAACGGCTGCACCATGGCACCACGCTACTTTCGGTGAGGATATAAGACCAAAGAAATGTGTTCAAAATAACACTGAGCCTTTTTTACAATGCCGCCTGAGGTAGATATGGTCTGGGACTGTAAAAATGTCCTATTTTCATACTCAAATAAAGCTGGAAGACCGGTATATTTAGATGTGGTACTTTTATTTCAGTGCAAAACTTTGGAAACTTAAAGTGGATTGGATTATTTAAATAGTTGGAGAATAATTTAGTTATTGTTTTTTGAACCTTCCATTGACTTAAACAAGCATTGGATGGGATATATCTTAATGTGGCCATATTAGACTAAAATAAATCTTGAATGTTGATATCTGGGTCTTGAAATGTGTGCAAAATGTAACTTCTTTGAATTCTCTTCAAAAGTTTTATTTGTCGACCACGATTATCTGGATTTAATAACGTAGCCTAAATGTTGGTGACATGATCGTGACTTTGTGCCATATGAACAACTGGGACTCTGAGGAGCACAGGGACTGGCCTCCTGCTGGGACTCTGAGGAGCACAGGGACTGGCCTCCAGCTGGGACTCTGAGGAGCACAGGGACTGGCCTCCAGCTGGGACTCTGAGGAGCACAGGGACTGGCCTCCAGCTGGTGCCCAGAGTCAGGACTAAACATGGGGAGGCTGCGTTTCAGATTTGTGGAGCTAATTTCTGAGTCAGTCTTCCTGAAAATATATGACAGGCTTCTTCTCTGGCAATGTTCAAATCCGGGTTAAAAACTGTTCCGTTTAGCTCTGCAGACAACTCAAGGATTGTAACTTCTCTCTTTTTAATGTACTGCAACTTTTACTATTTTAAACTCAATTTTGTTCTTGTTTTGTTAAGAAGCCGGGTGTATGAACTGTGCTATACAAATAAATAAACTTGCCTAAATAGTATGAGTGGTGGAAGTGGCTGTGATATAAGCTGGGTAGTTATCCATTTATTTCATGAATGGGCTAACAAGACTGGAATTTTACCTATAGGAACAGTTTCAGAAACGAACTCCTGGGACTTACAGACATCTCTGGGGTCTAGAATTGTCCAAATGCCAGGATGTATCCAGTGCGCCGCAGTGATGTCATAAATGCATTGTTGATGAGAGAGGTCAGAGGAGAATGATAGAAAGGCACCAGTTGAATAATTACTAGTTATTTATCTCGACCAAGCATTCAGAATACCATCTCTGATTGCAACTTTGAAACAGTGAGAGATGGCAGTTGAGTTGTACCTAACGAAATGGCTTACAATCACAGGCAACGGTCGACAAGGTGTAGAGCATACAGTTGTAATGAACGATTATTGTACTCTTATGAATATTTGATGAGTTGTTTGGATCCTAAACAGTCGGAGAATAGCTCTGATGATGCCCCTGGTTCATCTTCATAAAGGACTGTTACATCGGGTTGTTTAAGTAAAAATACTTTGTCAGTACGAGCTCGTTTCATTCTGCATGTGAGAGGATGATCTAGTCAGACCTCTGAAGCTAAGCAGGGCAGGGCCTGGTTATTACTCTGATGGGAGACCTATGGGAACACCAGGTGCGAAATTGGCGTAGTGTCCTTAAGCAAGACACTTCACCCACACATGCCTCGGTCGAGTCTGGTGTGTGTGTGTGTGTGTGTGTGTGTGTGAATGGTTGAGGGTCGTAGTGGCAGCTGTGGCTACATTTAATCACCCCCAAAGTACAGAGTGAATGAATAATAGTATGAAGCGTTTTTAAATGTTCAAAGAGCACTATAAAAAAAACAATGCATTATTGATATTGAATTATCTGAGTCATAAAACCTCTTCTCAACATGTTTCAACTTTTAAAACGATTAACCGGTTACTAAATCAATATATTATTTAATTAACTTGTTACAGCCTTACACAATTCAAATGCTGCTAAACCTTTGCCTGTTCTGTCAGTTTGAAGTGGAACCAGAGATTATAGGAAGTATAAGTGTAGGTGTGGAGTGTGTGGGAGTTGTAAAAGCAGGTGTTTTCGGATTCCCATGATAAGAACAGATTTCCCACAGAGCTCTCTAAGCGAACAACTTCTCCTCCTCGCAGCCACCGCTCCTGTCCTGTCCAAGCCTCCCCTCCCTCCCTTCTGCCTATTTTTTTGTGTTTTAAATAATGTGTGTGCGTATTCCTGCAGTCGTCGGGCAGCGCCGCCTCAGCACTGCAGTGTAATGTCACAGCCCGCCGGTCGGACACACCGCGGGGAGAGAGCAGTAGAGGTGTCCGTGTGTGGGAACCGTACCCCGGCCTCAAACACGCGTCCGTTCACCTGGAGCCGCTGCGTGTGGACTATAGAATGTGAACATGCGCCACAGAGCAAATTTGCAATGGACAAGATGGTTTATTTATGTTGTCGCTTGTCCATCCCTGGCATCAGATTGATTCAAATTCAGACTGATTTGTTTATCATGTTGTGTTATGTTATGTTATTTGAGCAGCACGTTGAAAACACATGAAATGCCATGACAATAACAAGCTTAAACGCACAACAAGGTCCACATAATAGTTCAGCACAACAGACTCGAGTTTAAGCTGTCAGATAGATAGTTTAGTTTGTCATATGTTTTTATAGTACTTAATATGTCATTTCTACACATATTTCTTTACAGAGCTGAAAAGTCTTTAAAGTTTTAGTTCCAATTGACTTATGCATATCCAAATAGCCAAATAGTAAATAACATTTAATATATTGAAAGATTATAAGTGTGCAAATGGTATAATCACATGAGATGGCTTTATTTTTCTTTTCAATAGAAGCTCATCTCCCAATAAACACATGACAAAAACAGATTTGCACTTTCTGTTTTAGCCTTGTCAAGTCACCAAACCACATCCTACTTTGTGATCTTGTATATCTTATAGGGCCATATTAAAACCATTGTATAGTCAGATATTAGCCTGTTCCCAGAAGCAAGAAACATCCTATTCCAAGTAAAAACATGATTGCCTATTGAATAATCAACGAGCAAATAGAATGACGTGCCACCATAAAAATAATACATGTTTTCTGCCCTGCGTCACCTGACTCTCACTGGGCCATGGAGTCAACAAGGAATTATAGTCTAATCCGCTATCAAATAGAGTTGAGGCACGTTTAGCCCCAACAATCAATAGCTTTAAGGTTATATCCCCACGTAACATGCCCATATATGGCTCCCTCATCCGCACTTCCCTTGAATTGTATATTTTGTGCTATTTCCACTATCCTCTTTGCCAATCTGTTCTACTCCTCATCACCTGGGAGCAAAACCTGACTCGTTCTGTTTGACACAAATAGTAGCCATGTGTGCGTGGATCCCGGGATGGGGGGAGAGAGAGGGAGAGAGAGAGGAGTCTGCTATTGTGTGAGAATGTGAATTAGGTCAAATGTTTGCTTGCAACAACGATTAACCATGCCCTGTGAGGAAGAACGCTCAGTCTGTCTGCGTGCGCCATGCATAGACTTGTGCGTAAAATCCACCCACAGAATGGAGTGGCTTTTACGCACAGGGTCATGGGTTTCACAGTCGTTGCTTGATATTTGAATGTATGGAAAATTGTCTGGCCATTCTCTAAAGCTGCCCCCCCCCCCCCTCTCTCTCTCTTCTCACTCTTTCTTTCTCTCTCCCCCATCTCTCTCTCTGTGTGTCTCTCTCGTTTTCTCTCTCTCCAGCCTCGCCTATGGTCTCTTCTAACACCTCAGCCACAAACTGCAGTGTGACAACAGGTTACACACGCCACGACAGCGCGCTCATAGGCTAACGTGCGGGGAAGGGGATGGCTGGGCTGGGTGTGGACACGGGGAGATGCCTTGCAGGTGAAGAAAAAAAAGCAAAGAAACACGAAGTATCCCTGTGTAGTTGCGTGCAGTGTATAGTATATAGGATTTGGTACCCTCTTTGTCTCATCAAAGTGTTCCAGATCAAAGGGGGAGCATGATGTTGTGTCCCTAAGGTCAGCAGGCAACTTACACGACAAAAGCCACTTCCCCCCACACATCCCCCATTCTGTATTTATGACAGGGATCGTGGATGGACGCGAGCAGGAGGGGTGTGGGGGGGCAAATAGAAAGGGAAGGTCTTCATTATTTTTATGGTTCGCAGGCGGTTGTTACGCAGGAGAAAGAAACTGATTGGAGGCTTTCTGCTCGTTCCTTTCATCAAATCACAATGAAGTTCTCAAATGAATGCGATGGAAAATAACAAACACAAAAAGGCAATGCAGGGGGTGCGTGGAGAGGCCAGTGCACACGTGTCACTGTGGTCAGGCAGAATATGAAGAATTGCATGTATTGCGGAGATGGAGCTGGATGTATGTATAGCCACATATGAATGAGCCCCCCTCCCTCCACACTGTCACATAGCTACGGGCAATGCGCTATAGCTTCCCCAGCTCTACTCACTCAGCTCTGGGCTTTTGCGAGGCGCAGCAGCGGCAGCAGCATGGAGCCCGCTCTCTCTCGGTTTCCACGCAGACCAGGAGCTCCTTGCGACCATAATCAATAACACACGCGGGAAGGCGGCATCATTTTGGCTTGTGAGGTTCTCGTGCGTTGCCCTTTCGCCCCCCAGCCACGCGAGGCACCCTGGCCCCTGTCCAATAAGCTGTTCCTGGATGGTCCGGTCCGGTGCGGGATGTTCTCCCTTAAGCCCCCTCCATCACTGCGCTCTCTTGCATCCCCTCTTCTCCGCTACCGCGCTTCCATGTGACACTGGCAGAGCTGGAGACCCCACAATTATTATGGATGTGTCTCTGGGTTCTAGCGTCATCCCTCGGACGCGCGGAGAAGTGCGCGTCTGTGCCGCCAGATGCAGCGCTCTGCACATGAGACAGAGACAGGTTCACGTGGACGAAGAGAGTTTAAATATTAAAATACTACTGCGGTCTCAGCCGCTCCTGTGAACAAAAACAAATGCCTCCGATATAAACCTCCATTATGCCTGTAATATTATTCAAACGGCTATGTTTTACTCAATGCAACATTGTTATGCACATATATATATAATTAAATTAGGCTTAATAAAAAGTATTAACAGATGAAGATAATGATTATATTTATTATAATAATAATGATAATAATACAAACATATTTACCGTATCATACACGCCCTTTTCTTCTCGTGATCACGATCAGAGTAGCACACATTTGTTACTGGCTGACATGACCTCAGAATATTTGATGTAGTAGACAAAATCCCGAGTTCACTGATGTTGTAACTTTAATTCATTATACTTCAACATCGCGGCTGCCACCTACTGGCCTTTCCCATGAACCTTGGATCCACCAATCAGAGCGCGCAGCGCGCTGTTGCTGTATGAGGGTTTGGTCCTGCTGTGGAAACTAAAGGAAATGACAGGATCCTAGAGCAGGTGGAGCGGAGTCAGTGTCAGCACCGCAGGTCACACTGCAGCCTGAGCTCATCACACAGACTGCTGATGCAAGGGAAATGTTCAAACATGTCACACATGTCTGTCCACACAGTGCAAACACATGATGACCCCCGTAGCCCCTGCACATGACAGAATCCTCGGCATCAGGACCATCTTATGGGGCATTGTTTTGCAGCACAGCGCCCCTCCCCCTGGCCCCTGACCGCACTAGCATCACTCACTCGTGTTTTCCTCTCAAGTGCACTGCGCGGTCCACAGCTCTGGCATGGACCTGCAGCCTGCTGGACTCCTCTGTATCTGATCACCTTCACTTTTCATCAGTTTAGACCTCCTCCTCGGAGCTGCAGGGACGATGGGCTGCTGCTCGCCGCGGTGCATGCTGATAGCCCTGTGCTGTCTACAGTTGGTAAGATGCTTTTACTTCTCCACATCAACTATTCCAGTGCGCACACAAACACACACACACACAGAAACGCACACATACACAAACTTAAAGAACTACGCACGCACTCAGCTGGTTTGGTAACGCAAACTTATCATGATCTTTAGAAAACTTTTTTAGATTTTCTTGATTTCAAACCGAGATGAAATCGTTTGTGGGTAAATGTGTGTCATCAGTCTTGCATTGACCCTCTGCTCTCTCCTCATGATTAAACCATGTGTTCAGCTGTATCTGTTCTAACACAGTGGGTTACGCCTGTAGTTGCTTTCTTATACAGATGCTTTAGATGCTTATTTGTCCGCCTCCATTAGAACCAGCACAATACAAGGGCTGCTCCCACCATGCCCCTTTCCCACCCTGCCCCCTTCACTCTCCGAAGACCCAACACCTGCATCTCCCCCTGGGCTGAAACCACCACAACACGAGGAAAATAGCATTCAAATATGATCTACACAGGGAAATAGTTGTTCATTAGTTATTGCTGTAAATGACAAACAGTATGTGGTCAAAAGAGAGTATTGTTATTATTATTTATTTAATTTCATGTATTTTTTTTGGTTTTATGTTTTAAGTGTATAATCAACATATGAAACAGTACAACAAGGCTAATTTGCAATGTCCGTCCCTAGAACAAGTCCCTATTAATTGTAATAGTTCCACAAGACCTTCTCGAGACGCTGGGAGAAGTTTATAAGTACAGCATTTAAAAGGACTGTATATAATATGTGCTATTAATGGGCGAAAATGCAAGGCAAGTTTCTTTGTATAGCACAATTCATACACAAGGCAATTCAAAGTGCTGAACAAAATAAGAAAGCATTAAAATCATAAATAATCACAGAACATTAAAAAGAAAGCTAAAAATATAAAATCCCTCAGTTGTATGCACAGATAAACAGAACTGTCTTTAACCTGGTTTTAAACATTGTCAGAGAGGAGGCCTGTCTCACATCTTCAGGAAGACTGGTCAAAAATAGTCAATGTTAGTGTTGTTGCAATATTCCTGCTTGTGACACATGTAGCTCCTAAGCAGTGATTGCTGATGCAAACCACCAGCTGGAGTTTAGCAAGAAACAGTACAGCATCTGTGCCTCTTATTGTATGGTCTATCTGCTTTCCTTCAGATATTTTTCTGTCAGTGAACTTTGTTTTCAAAGAAAAAAAAAGAAGCCAAAACCAGCTACATTTCTTCGAACAAACTGATAACCCAAAGAGAGCTTCATTCTTTTCAATGCTTGAAAACCGCAGACATAAATATTATGGACATCACAGTCGTTCTATTATTAATGAAGAAAAAAGGTCAGATATGATGTGTACGTGTGACCTGTTATCTGGGACACATATAAAAGATGTAGATGTCAGCATGAAATCTTACATACTGCCCCTTTAAGTACATTTATAATATACATTTCTCAACTCTAATTATATTTGTAAAGTTACATACCCCCTTACATACTTTGTAACTTCATTCCCACGAACTAGATCTCCTTTTGGATTAGAGCTGCTTTATTATTCATGATTGTACTAAACATAGTGGGATGTATTCAAATATGTCGACTTTTACTTTAGTATAAAAAAACTGTTTATATGAGATCAGTTTAGTAGCAACATTTAAATTGTATTTCTTTGGATAAACAATTATGATTCATGGCGCTTAAACCTTTTCAACTCAAATATGTAAAAATAATGATAATAATAACTTTATGATAATATTCTCCATGATGTGTTTATTTTAACTTTTGATGGAAATGATATTTTACCAACAGAGGAACAATTTCACCTAAAATAGAAAAAAGAAAATAGGACTCGTGCTTATATAAGACTAAACAACAGGCTAATCTTACTTTACACCAGTCATAACAAACTCTCATAAATACACACATCTAAAATATGCAGTATTTAACCTTGTAGTTATGTACTGCTTTTCACAATAAAAGTCATTGTTGATATTGATGCATAAATAATGAATTGATCGGTCAGTTCACATGAGCACTGTCTCTGTAATACTCTCACATCTTACATTCAAAATATATATTTGTAAAACATGAAAATAAGGTTCTAAAACAGATTGTGAATATGCATTCACTGCTCGTCCTTGTAGCAGAGTGTGTCCCTGGCTTTTATGTCATAGGGCACTTTGATAGCGTCAGACCTTGAGTGTATATTGACCCAACACCACCAAAGGTCTTCTTATCATGTCGTTATCACCGATCGGAGACGGAATGCTTGGTTCTCCGCACAAACCATCAGAAACACCAGTATTATTCACCTATAATTACATATTGTGGCGCCTCTTGCATGTGACAGATTTCATCAGATTCTGAAGCTAAAGCAGGGCTTGTTTGATTTTATTTTGAATCAAATATTTTGTTATTTGTTAAATATAGTGAAAGGTTGTTAACGTGGGGTGGGGCCTGGGGTCGCAAACACATCGTTAAACAGTAATATTCACTTTATATAAAAAAAAAACTAGAAAGTTGGTTTTAAGTGTTTATTAATAAGCAGATATTCTAAGATAAAAAGTGGAGGATTGCATCTTATTTATAGCAATTTACAAAATGAATTTGACTTCAGTAGTTCTGACACAAGCTGGAACATTCAGTAAAATAACAGCAGAAATAATATGAGTGGAAACACACGCGCGCACACACACACGCACGCGCACGCACGCGCACACACACACACACACACACACACAAACATTGTGGCATGTATCCTATTACATATGTTTTTAAAGTCCCGTGATCCAACCATAGAGCCTATGTATTCACATCGAGATGGAGAGAAAAAAATAAAATAAAAAATCCTTCCTGGTAACTATGGTAACTGTAAAAAGACTCCTATATCTAATTCCTGGACCAGTCCACCTGAAACAAAAACTGTCACAGAGCTCCACCTCTTTGTCGTCAGCACAAGTCAAATATGGCCTGATTGTTTTCTCAAAAAGATGTCTAGAAGTGGTGACAATATTCATTAACACATGCTAATGGTGGCCGCTAGCAAGGACTTTTACACACAAGAAAAAATATGGTGGGTTTGTGAATCTGGGAAAACATTTGGAAATGTCAGTATTTCTTTTAAAAATTGCTTCTTTCCCATAGAGTTGCATTGGCATCTACCCTACTATTAAAATACACGTCTACAACAAGAAAGGCAGGCTACGGCAGCACAGTGGTGCAGTGGTTCGCTCTTGTGCTTCACAGCAAGAAACTCCTAGTTTCGATTCCACCTCCAGACCTTTCTGTGTTGGGTTTGCATGTTCTTCCTGTGTCTGTTTAGGTTTCCTCCGGGTGCTGTGGTTTCCCTTACCACTAAAAACATGTACAATAGGTCTGGCGTGTGCCTCCTGTGCGGCGACTCCTCTCCCATGTGTGCACTGAGACGACAAATGCCCACAAGTGTAAAGCTCATTGTGAAAGGCGAATGTAAATAAATATTACCACTGCGATTCATGTTTTTGGAAATAAAATGAGCTTTTATATATTGATTGATGAGTTGATGTGCTGTTAATTGTATTTATTTTCTTGTGCAGGTGACGGCAATGGAGCGGCAAGTCCTGGACTACCTGGGGTACCAGTGGGCCCCCATCATGGTCAACTTCTTCCAGATCGTCATGGTGATCCTGGGCCTGTTCGGTGCCATCCAGTATCGGTCACGATACGTCGTCATGGTGAGAAGAGCGAAGCTTTGGAGAAGATATCATACAATCATCTCTAGGCTGCTATTCAATGATGCATACAAGTTTTATTCTTTATGCATATTTTATTGTATTAATCTTTCATTTTAACAATAGAACAAGCAGTGACAGGTACATCACACATTCATACATACTACAGGCCAAATACAAATGAGTATTCTTTTCAATTAAGACTGTCCAAAAAGAGAATGACAGGGTGCCAAATACAGTCTTTCTTTGTTTATTAAAAATTAAAGTTCAAGTTGATACTAGATATAATTTTGTCTTTTCACACCATCCTCACATTTCTACATTTCAATTCATGCTCAAGGTTATGTTTTTTGCATAGCCCTAAATACCAACAGCAGTTGTTCAGTACTTTACAAAGTTGTTGATTCCTCAACGACTGATCAGAGTCAAACAGTTCGAACGCAGGAAATACAATAATAACAAACACATAGAAGTCCATAGAGAGCAGGATGACCACTGCATAAATGTCCATAAATCTTGCGTTTTTAATTTCCCGCGTTTTGTGTTTTTAAAATACATTTACTAATAACTAAATACCTAATAACAATTCAATCACATACAGTACATGTTTAACATGTGAAGATATATGTGTATATCAAGCCTCGTGTATTTACAAATACCATTCAGATGCACAGACTTTCCTATACACACACACACACACACATGCATGTTCCTAGTTCCTAGTCCAGCTGAGAGAGTCACATACATAGTCCCTCCAACCAGTCCTGGGTCTTCCCGTAGGTCTCAGAGGTTACCCATTATGTTTCTTCAGCCAAAACCATTGCACATAAATGCGTCAACAAATGGACACACGTCTATCTTTGACAAATTTCCGTAATCTCCGGACTTTCAGCCTCTACTTTTTTTCTAGTATATAGCGATATACCGATGTCATAGCAGAGTTTATTGACTTAATATTTTAACTCCCAAGTATTAGTAGCTGTAGGACACTTGTTTATTGTCAACATAGACTGAGGTTGAATGAGTCATGGAAGCTCACGGTTAAACACCTCGTCCTTAAATAATGTCCAGTTAAAACAGTCGTCTATCTGATACATTACAACATGAAAACCTGCCTCCTATATTATTAAAAGAAAATTAATTTTCTTTTAAAATTTAGCTGTGTCCAGAAAGTACAGGACATATATTTTTGAAGCTCTATTTTGTTGCTCTTTTCGACAACTGTATCTGCCATGCTAGCCCATGAGTGAGCTTACAGTAATAAAATGTGTGTAAATGACGTAAATGACATGTGTTGCTTCCTGCAGTACTTGCTCTGGACCTTGCTGTGGCTCGGCTGGAATGTCTTTGTCTGCTGCCTGTACTTGGATTTAGGAGGTCTTTCAAAGGTAAGTCCATTAGTGTAATCACCACGTTAACTTTATAATTAGAGAGCACACCATCATACCCTCTGAACAGCGCTCTCTGCTGTCCACACACGCATCACTGCAGACCAACACACCTTATGTTCTTATTACAGACTTTGTTGTCGTCTTGTGTGGGGTTTTAAACTGGGCTTTTCACACACACAGAGTTTCCATTAGCTCCACCTACACTACAGTCATTTAAAGATAATGATACCATCTATCTATCTATATATTAAATGTAGATGGATAGATAGATTCTTCATTCAAATGCCACAGCAGAGGTGGAGTAGACGTTGGGTGGAGCAGCAGCAGGTGATGTTATACCCCGCTCCGATCTCTGTGTGGAGTGAGAGGACAAATGCCCAAAAAATAACAATTGTAAACCGCTTTGTGACTCTGGTAAATAATGAAACATTACTTACTTACTTATACTGTATCTGATCATGGGACGCTGAACTTTTATGTAGAGTATAGGTATTTATCAACAATACTATTTTTCAACTTATATAGTCTCTCCTCCTCTTGGCATAATACAACAAGAAAAGAAATTCAGAAAGAGAGCGGATCCTTCTCATCATTTCTCGCTAGGTCTATTTTATTGAGTTGTTCGTTGCCGATGCAGGAGGGTCTAAGGCCAGTGATGGTCCAGGACGTTTAAGGACATTTAAAGATATTTATGGACAGTGGTCATCCCGCTCCCCGTGGACCAAATGACAAAAATAACAAACAATAAGGTATTAAATGCTTTAATCTGCTTAATCTGATACAAGAAAATTCAAGAAATGTCTTCATTGGAATTAAGAATAAATTGGAACAGCATTTGAAATAATACTAAACAGCTTGTTCCATTGGCAATTTTTTTAAGACTTAAAAATATTTTAAAACCCTTAATTTAAACATTTATTACTTTATATTTTTGTCATCGTTTTGCAATGTATGTGTTTGATATCGTTGCATTTCCTGTGAAGTCCTCTGACACGATTGTTGTGATTTAGAGCTGTACACAAATACAGTGAATTGAATTTGAATACATTTTGACCAATCAGAAGGCTGCAAGGTTGAGCATGGGCGGGGCTAACCAGTGCTTGTCTTCAAAATGTTTCCCTCTCTCTTCACAATTTGGCAAAGTTACAGACGTTCACTTTAAAAGAGCAGATTAGTGATGAAGGCCCGTCTGACGGTTCCTGCTGTGGTATTTTCCAAAAAAATATCTCAATTTTACAGTTACACTTTTCTTAAAATCAATTTGTTTTTGTGCGGCCCAAAACACAATAACAGCAGAATAGAAAAATAAAACACATATTGGAACACATACATACATCAATAAAACATATAAGAGGATCATGGGGTTAACCACTGGTCATAAATGGACTGCCCTCGTCTCCATGGTGATGTTAATGCTTGGCCAAGAATTTTCAGTAGTAAGATTTTATCATCCACTATTGTTCCTGTATTTCTTATTCCCAGAAATAATGTGTTACCTTAAAGCCTGTAGCTCACTGTGTGGTCTCTTGTTGTTGCCATGGAGATAGATGAGTTTAATGCCATCTTGTGGAACGTTCCTGACAAAGACACAATACACGTTAAAGAGGCGAGTGTCAGATCTTGCAGCTAAAAGACTTGAAATTAAGAACAATATTCACATTCTTCACATTCTTCATGTTGTGCGATGCCCTTTCTGCAGGATACTGACCTAGAGCTGCAACGATTGCACTAATTACTGATCAGATCTGCCCCAGAGGCGTCCAAAGAAATATGTCTTTACTCCATCATTGTCAGAGGAGAGAGCTACAGACAAAACTGTACTTTAGGATTTTGTGTGTCAGGAAACTGTTCTTCTAACATTTTGTGTGTGTGTGTTAATGTGTGTGTGTGTGCGTGTGTATGTGTGCGTATACGTGTGTGCATAGGTGTCCGTGTGTGTGTGTGCATGTATCTGTCTGTGTCTGTATCTTTGTGTATGTCTGTGTGTGCATGTGTGTGTGTGCACGTATCTTTGTGTAAGTGTGTATCTGTCTTTGTGTGTGTATCTATCCTTGTGTGTGTGTGTGTGTGTGGGTGTGTATGTATGTGTGCGTGTGTATGTATGTTTGTATGTATGGGTGCTTGTGTATCTATCTTTGTGTGTGTATGTATCTATCTTTGTGTGTGTGTGTGTGTATACTGTATGTATCTATCTGTGTGTGTGTGTGTATCTGGGCGGCACGGTGGCTGAGTGGATAGCACTCTCGCCTCTCAGCAAGAAGGTCCTGGGTTCGAATCCCGGTCGGACCAGGGCCTTTCTGAGTGGAGTTTGCATGTTCTCCCCGTGTCTGCGTAGGTTTCCTCCGGGTACTCCGGTTTCCCCTACCACTAAAAATATGTCCAATAGTTCAGGCATGTGCCTCCTGTACTGGCGACCCCGCTCCCATCTCTGTGTGGAGTGAGAGATAAATGCCCATAATTAACAATTGTAAACCGCTTTGAGACTCAGATCTGCAGTGAAAAGGCGGTATATAAATAAAAACTTACTTACTTACTATCTATCTTTGTATGTGTTTATCTATCTGTGTGTGTGTATGTATCGCTCTTTGTGTGTTCATGTGTATCTACTGTAACTGTGTGTGTTCATGTGTATCTATCTGCGTGTGTGTGTGTGTGTTTGTTTAGGAGAGTGAGGTTCTGACCCTGGGCCTGTCGTCCCATCGCTCCTGGTGGGCAGAAAACACTCCTGGTTGTGAGTCTGAGTCGCAGCTGGTGTCTTCTTCCTGGTCCCAGCAGCAGGACCCAGAGCTCATGGTGCTGCTCTGCTGGTTCCAGTACCAGCACATCGAGATCCTGCACTGCTGCCTCCAGCTGCTGGTCTCTGTGAGTCCAGACAGACACACACACATCACGAGGTCTACTGCTCTTTAGGGCTGCACCTTTTTATCGATCGCGGTTATATTTGATGCTTATGTACTGTAGAGTAAGTAAACATAGCATCAACATAGTAACTCACTACAGGGACGTCATCATTTGGGAGAAAACCAAAGTCCAGTTTTACAATATATATTTACAGGTTTCAGATTCAGATCCAGACCACTTTATAAATCCCACCCGGGGCACTTCACTTGAGTAACACAGGGCTTAAAAGCATAAAAAACACAGGAAATGTCAGACGGCAACATAAGCAAAATGACATGAAGTGAAGTGGAGCCCATACAAACATATGAACATAGTAAGTAAGTAAGTAATGTTTATTTATATAGCGCATTTTACAGACCAAGGTCACCCAAAGCGCTTTACAATGTTCAGAGTTCAGATATTGTTCCAATCATTCCACACACGGTCATGACGGAACAAAATAGTGCACCACAGTCCACAGAGAGTTCAGTCTAATTAACAGCAGTTGGGACAAAAGATTTTAAGTGACAATTGGTTTTACAATATGGTAAATAAAAAGGTAAATATGATTTCAAGAAGCTTATATGTGCCGTCCCCTATAGTTTCAATTCTACATCTTTTCCATCCAGAGGCCTGTCCAACCCAAGACATTTGCTTTATTTTTTAATTTTTGTTGAATTTATTTGATAGTGACATTCATTGGTAAATATAGTGCAAATATGACATATTATAGCTACAAAAATCTGGTGTCCCTCTGGCTGCAGACAAAGAAACAGGACCAAAACAGATAAAAACACACAGTATAGAATAACAAGACATTTTCCCTATGAGTAAACTTTATATTTAAATTGTACATGTTTAAGATTTCTATGATATTTAGAGTCTATACTCCAAAGATCAGAAATCATTCGGTCCCTGCAAGATAATGATGTGGAACTTTTGATTATACAAAATATATTTTATACAGGACATTATTTAGTAACTCCCAACACTGACTTTTTTATGGCATAATCGTATCGTGTCCTGAATAATAGCCTTGTCTATCGTATAAGCTTGTTTTCCATTTGTTAAAATACTAATTCATTGTTCTCATGAGTCAGTTCTCGCATCAGGTCAAAGTATAATCGAGACGTGTTGAAATAATAATAAATAAGTGATGATGCTTTTGTCTGTTTCCAGCTCCTTGGATTTGTTTACGCCTGTTACGTCGTCCATATCTTTGCAGATGACAATGACACCTGTAAGTTAATACAAAAAAACAATATCAATTTTATTTTTTATTTATACTTTTGATTCATTATTTTTACTCTTATTTTCGATGCCACTTTTCTGTTCAGTTCATTTTAATGCTGAGTTTCACCACCCGTCCAAACCCTTTCAGTTGCTCTTCTAGTGTGTGTAGGTAAAGTATTATGTGGGTCTCATTTGGAGCAGTTTGCAAATTTAACGTACTCTTTTGTTCTGTTTTGCAGATTTCAAATACCTGTGATCAAAGCTGATAAAAAAAAAATCCTGAAAATGGCAGTGTATCCTCGATGTGTCACATGTGTTCACCTCAGACTGATGTCACCTGTGAGAATATGTAGAGCTCCAACTCACAGAACCCTGTAGATACATAGTTATGGCAAATTGACTGATTTTTAGAAGTGTTTTTTAATGCACCAGCTCACATTTTCTTTTTATCTAATTCAAAACTTTAATAAAATAACATGTTGCCTTGCTCTGGTTTACTGTGCTTCATTCTCAGTATTTAGTTTCAGATCCTGTCCAAACTGTCATTGTGTCCTTAGGCAAGACACTTCACCCACATTGCCTAGAATTAGTCTGGTGTGTGTGTGAATGGTTGGCGGTGATCAAAGGGGTTGACGGCACATACTGGTTGCCTCACTTCTGTCAGTGTGTCCCAGGGCAGCTGTGGCTACCGTAGTAGTTTATCACCACTGTGTATGGAGTGAAAGGATTCTGACATGTCTTTGAGTGTCCAAATAAGTGCTATATAACATTTATGCATTATTATTATTGTCAAAACGTGTTGAGTCCTTTGGCAAGAAGTGAGATAAATAATATCTGCTATCTGCCCCTCCTCCGATCACCACCAACCATCCACACGCACATCAGATACTATACAATGATTGTGAAGTGTCTTGCCTACTTTTTGGTACTTTGCAGCCGCCCCACTGTGGTACCTGGTGTTCCCAGAGGTCTCGCATCAAAGTAGTAACCGGATCCTCCCTGCTTAGTTTCAGGGGTCTGACAGGTCTCTGTACTGTCAAAGGATTTAAGTGAGGAAAGGTGCTGATATCAGTGACGTTTGCTGAGGAACAGAAAACGTCTACAAGGAATATTTTTGAGTAACTGTAAATAGGTACAGTTACTTTTTAAACATTATGGATTACATTCCGGTATTTGATCCTGTTTGGCAGCCTTAAAAAAAATGATATTCAAAACAAACATATGTGCAGGTGTGCTTTACACTTTTCTATTTGAACATAAAAAAGCAGTGCAAAATCCTGTCTGCTATTAAAATTATGCAAATGAGCGTGAAAGTACTCCAAGTATTTTGAATACTTGGAATTCTTCTGGGCCATTTAACAAAGTATTCTAACCAACACTGAGTAGTACTGGTAATAGCAGCAGCAGCAGCAGTAGTAGCAGTAGCAGTAGCAGTAGTGATAGTAGCAGCAGTAGCAGTGGCAGTAGTAGTTGGTAGTAGTAGAAGTATTACTATTTGCAGAAGTAGTAGTAGTAAAGTAGTAACAGCAGCAGATTCCGATTCAAATTCATTTTATTCGCCATTTGCAGTAACACTACATTGGAATACATTAGTAGTAGCAGTAGTAGTAGAAGTAGCAACAGCAGTAGAAATAGTAGTAGTAGAAGTATTACTATTTGCAGAAGTAGTAGTAGTAAAGTAGTAGTAGAAGTATTACTAGTTTCAGAAGAAGTAGTAACAGCTGCAGTAACAGCAACAGTAGCAGTAGTAGTAGAAGTAGCAACAGCAGTAGAAATAGTAGTAGTAGAAGTATTACTATTTGCAGAAGTAGTAGTAGTAAAGTAGTAGTAGAAGTATTACTAGTTTCAGAAGAAGTAGTAACAGCTGCAGTAACAGCAACAGTAGCAGTAGTAGTAGAAGAAGTAACAGCAGCAGTAACAGCAGCAGTAGCAGTAGCAGTAGAAGTAGCAACAGCAGCAGAAGTAGTAGTAGTAGTAGAAATATTAATATTTGCAGAAGTAGTAGTAGTAGTTGTAGTAGTGGAAGTATTACTAGAAGAAGTAACAGCAGCAGTAACAGCAGCAGTAGCAGTAGAAGAAGCAACAGCAGCAGAAGTAGTAGTAGTAGTAGAAGTATTAATATTTGCAGAAGTAGTAGTAGTAGTTGTAGTAGTGGAAGTATTACTAGTTTCAGAAGAAGTAGTAACAGCAGCAGTAGAAGTAGCAACAGCAGCAGAAGTAGTAGTAGCAGCAAACTAAATTAGAATGAACACCAAACATAATTAAAAAACCTCTCACAATGCTGCTCAGACTTACGTGCTTACGTCACACCTCTGCCTTCCACACACACAAAAAAAAAAGAAAAAAAAAAAAAAAAGGAAAACACACGCAGCTCTCTTCCTTCCGCCTGTGTGTGTCCCGGATGCAGCTGCCATTGGGGCCAGTGAGCACAGGGCTACACCACCGCCACCACCACCACCACACCGAGGCTGCCAGGACATCTTTTCATTTACTGGTGCGAGGGTCGGCGCGGATTGAAGCCCCTCGGGATTAATGTGGACAGCAGCACCTCCCGCAGCGGCAGTGGACTGTCTGCAGACTCACGGAGGCCGCTCTTAAGCTAGCTGCCTTTGCTGCCGAAAGTGTTAGCAAGAAAGTAGTATCGCGGAGAAGCAGCGGAGGATCATCCACGTTAGCTCTGCAAGCCCCCACCGAGTTTTTGTTTTGTTTTGTTGTTCTGTTACTGTTTGCACACATTGCATCTGGTCAAGGCTGGTGTCCAAATCCACACCTGCTGAATGAATGATGTCGGCTACGAGCATTGATCCACAGGTAAGCTTTGTAAATGCGTGTGACAGCGCGATCTGAATGCATCCTGCTTTACATGCGATGCTGCTGCTGTTGCTACTGTCATCTTGTTAGCCTGCTAGTGGCCAATGAGTGGTTGTGTGTTAATGATCCAGTCCTATCTACGCACTATCGTTTCTACTAGCGTGCCTTTGCATAGGCTTTATGCATACACACAGAGCTTCATCGCATCTGTTTTTCTTTTGCATGTCTTCCCTGCAACGCACCTCCCAAGACATCAAAAGGACAAGATGCAAGCAAAGGTAAGCTGCACAGAAACGCTATAATGTATTTTTTAATATTACACATGAATTCAGAGTAAAAACGTGCGTAAAGACGTCAATCCCTCGTAAAATGACAAGCTGCTTTAATTTTACATTGTTAAAAAGTCAATTGGCTATAAACATACTCTCACTCTAGCCACACTGTTGTCTTATGTGACCACAACATTAACGTAATAATGTGGATGTTATCAGTTTGTTTCCAGATGTGCAACAAGTTTATTTTTTGTGTCATGTTATTTCTGCAGCTTTTCCTGTGTCTGTGCAAAATGGTTCCCTTCATCAAAAGGATACAATGCACGACAATGACTTTGAGCCTTACCTCACTGGCCAGTCCAATCAGGTTTGCAACTTTTGTTTTAATTCATATTGTCGTCCATAAACACAATTTGAGACTTTGCTTTTGAATTGCAGAACAACAGCTATCAATCCATGACTGACCCGTACTTGTCCAGCTACTACGCTCCCTCCATTGGTTTTCCTTATCCGCTCAGTGAAGCTCCTTGGTCGACGGGAGGAGACCCACCCATCCCGTACCTGACCCCCTACGCTCCCCTCAGCAATGGAGACCACCACTTCATGCACGACACGGTGTTCGGGCAGGCGGGCGGTCTCAGCAGCAACATCTACCCGCACAGGTTTAACTTTTTCCCGGAGAATCCCGCCTTCTCGGCCTGGGGCACCAGCGGATCTCAGGGCCAGCAGACTCAAAGCTCGGCGTACGGGGGCAGTTACAGTTACCCCCCCAGCTCGCTCGGTGGCACTTTGGTCCCAGATGGGCAGACCGGCTTTCATAGTGACACCTTGAGTAAAGCGCCGGGCATGAACAGTTTGGAGCAGGGCATGCTGGGGTTGAAAATCGGAGGGGACGTGGGCAGCGGGTCTGGGGTGAAGGGCGGCGCGTCTGTCATTGGAGGCGGGAGCGTCACCGCCGTTCCCACCGGCAACGGCGGCACGGCTTTAGGCATGCCCCCAGCCAAACTCACATCTTGGGCTGCTATAGCGAGTAAACCCGCTAAGCAGCTTCAACAGAAAAGTAAATCGAAGCCTATCGCGGCCATAGCCGGGGGAGTTCAACCGCCCCCTCCCCTGAAACACTCCATGGACATCGACACGTGGGAGAACAAAGTCCCCGCCACTAAAGTTCTGCCGCCGCTGCCTCCGCACCACCCCCAGTCGCTGCACTCTCACACCAGCCTCATCCCGCCGCTGCAGCAGTCCATCCAGTCTGCTCAGTCGCTGGTGCAGCAGATGACCATGCCGGGCCCGCCGCAGTCTTACCAAAACCACAACCCACAAGCCACGCGCTGGGTCGCCCCCCGCAATCGCAACCTCTGCTACGGCGGCGGCAGTTTGGACAGCAGCGGCTCATCCAACGGCGGCGGGATGGGCAACGGGGGCGGCATGCTGGGGGGCCTGCCTCCCGGTGCCGAGCCCGGAGTCGAATCCCACCCGGTTTTGGAAAAGCTTCGCGCCTCGCACAGTTACAACCCCAAGGAGTTTGACTGGAACCTGAAAAACGGGCGCGTTTTTATCATAAAGAGCTATTCCGAGGACGACATCCACCGCTCCATCAAATACTCCATCTGGTGCGACGGAGCACGGGAACAAGCGCTTGGACTCGGCGTTCCGCTCCATGAACTCCAAAGGGCCCGTGTACCTGCTGTACAGCGTCAACGGCAGCGGGCACTTCTGCGGCGTGGCGGAGATGCGCTCGCCGGTGGACTACGGCACCAGCGCCGGGGTCTGGGCGCAGGACAAATGGAAGGGGAAGTTTGACGTGAACTGGTTGTTTGTAAAGGACGTGCCGAACAGTCAGCTGCGCCACATCCGCCTGGAGAACAACGACAACAAGCCGGTGACCAACTCTCGCGACACGCAGGAGGTGCCGCTGGAGAAGGCCAAGCAGGTGCTCAAGATCATCGCACAGTACAAGCACACCACCTCCATCTTCGACGACTTCTCGCACTACGAGAAGAAGCAGGAGGAGGAAGAGGTGGTCAAAAAGGTCGGTTCCACTTCGGCCGCCTTCGAAATCGCTCTGTTGTGAATGTGTGTTTTACAAGTAACGTTGTTTTCCGCAGAGCTACGAGCCGGCGTCCATACCAACCAGATCCAGAATTGATCAGGTAAAATTCAGACTTTAATTAAGAAACACAGCAGACTTGACAACTGTTATGTCCTTTTGAAGAACTATTAAACTTGAAATTTCTCTTTTGGGTTGTCCTTGTCTTTTGGGTATGTCTTTAAAATGGCTGCCACAATGTAGGCAAGGCAAGTTTATTTGTATAACACATACACAAGGCAAATCAAAGTGCTTAACAAAACATGCAAACAAGAGGCATTAAAATACAGTAAACCCCTGAATAATCACAGTACATTTTAAAAGAGTGAAGATTAAATCCTTCAGTTGTGTGCACACTCAAACAGAACTGACCTGTTTCCACATTTTCAGGAAGACTTTTTCAGATTTTAGCTGCATCAATCTGAAATGCTTCATCCCCATGTTTAGTTCTGACTCTGAGCCCCAGCAGGAGGCCAGTCCCTAGAGTCCGAGTTGGTTCATATGACTCTTTAACATGTCACAGATGTACTTTGGTGCGAGGCCATGGAGAGACTTGTTCACAAGAGCTGCTTTAAAGTCTATTATCTCAGCCACAGGAAGCCAGTGCAGAGACCTGAGAACTATAAATTAGTACATAGAAAAGATCAGTACATGGCTGATACAGTCGCTGCAAAAGTCAAGCAGTACATTACATTCATAAACACACACAAAATACCATTGCATCTCTTTGTCCATTGCATCTTCCACACAGACATTTTTTAATAGCAAAATACAATTATTTGCTTGTTTTTATTGATTTCCCTGATTAATCTACAAAAAACCTGGGCAAAGATGAATCAAAATGTGTCTAAAACCCCATTATAAGAAACTGAAAGCTCTTGCTACTGTTTGTCCAATAAATCCTAACATACATTTTCTTCCTGCAGGATCGTCAGAAGTGAAAAGCAGGAGAGCCGCCTCTGATAGAAGACTGATGATAGATTTAACATAAAAACACACGGACATAAAGAAATTATAACAAACTAATATTTTTCCTATTTAATTTTGGTGACTTTTGCCCATTTCGAACTGCGAGCCACAGCGCTCCCAGTCCTCACAACGCGTGCAGGGAAGAAGCTCGTTACTACATATATTTTCTGTATTTTTTAGCCTTATAAATCTCTATTGCTATTCCTGAAAGTTGCATTCTTAACAAATGAGTAACAAATATGTGCACGTCTGTTTGAAAAATCTCTTTGACAACATGCTGCTGATATTCAGTGACTGTTCACTTGTGGTTTGTGTGTTGGAGAAATGTTAAGTGCTTGTGTCGGTTTAAACAACTTCTGAGTGAACTACTTTATCCACGAAACCGTCTGTTATTATCATTATGTAAAGTTGTATTTTATATTATCAAAAGAGAAAATAAGTTCAGTTCCACCCATTTATTTACGTAAGGGTGATTTTAGGTGAAGGATTGCGAACTTTATGTGACAGTAGGAGGTATTAATGTTAGAAAAATATTTTGAGCAGTGTACTGGCTTATGATTAAAACACCTTTAAAAGTAGCTAATCGCACCATTTCTAGTCTCCTGTGTGGAGCGGCGATCTTATGCCGGTGTTGAATTACTTTTACTGTAATCTGCAAAGGAAAAAAAACGCAAAATTTAACTCAAATCCTTTTCATTATTTCTTGAGACTTCATTTTGCTTCTGTTTTTCTGCTTGTCCGGCGCTCTCCTTCAGCACCAGCGGGAGACACCGTAGCATGTTCTGCTTTTATATTCAAAAATTCAAAGCCAGGCCGCCAGTCACTTTGCTCCTTTCGTTAGTAACTTGCTTTATCGTTAACTTAAAACTCTAATATTTGCATTTCCATGGCTATAACCTGTCTTCATAACCCTTCACACATGTAAGCTTTAATGTATTGGCGTTTCTAACCGAGATGGCAGATAATTTCTCGTTCAGTGTATGAAAACCTCTATGGTATATGTTGTGACTTTTTTTTTTTTCTTCTGAATTGCTTGCTGTATTGTGTGTGTGCGTGAGTGTGTGTGTATGCGAGAGAGCGGGGAATAAAGAGGCAGGAATGATTGTGAAGCAGAGTTATATAACATTATTGGGAATATATTACATTTATGCAAAAAAAGGCAAGTCACTCTCAACTGTATCTCCATTGTAACAGAGCTCACCATCAGATTTAGATTTGTTCATGTTCATTATTAAAGGTATAATTATCGGTCGGCTGTGTTCTTGTCTACTCACCTTGCAATAAGGACGTATTCTAATGCTAATGTGCAGCTCAGTCTTACAAAGCCAAATGGATGTTGGCGCAGAAATGCCAGCTGCTGCACATTCCCATAGTGGGGAATTGAATAAATGGGACTGATTCATGTTGTGATGTGAGAGTTGCAAAGAAAATGCATAAAAACACAATCAATTCCAAGTCATTTATTGGTCCGTGCATAAATATCAGACAGTTTGATGTCGCGCTGCAGTAAGGGGGCTGCTCTCTTGGCATTCACCGCGTGCCTTAATTGTATATCTATTAAATCAAGGTCCGCCGTGAACACGAGGAGTGGCAACCCTTTCTCTTTTTTTCTCCTTTTTTTTTTTTTAACCAGTGCAGCTACCGGCAATAGGCCTCTGACAGGAGAGAAAGCACAAAGACATCACAGGCCACGCCACATACAAGCATTCGAATAAATCAACGCGCGCCTTACAACCACAACCGCGTCTTATAGATTTCATGTTTCAGCTTTGAGAATAACAGAAGACAGCGTGGAATAGGTAGAAATCACGTCCCGTCAATCATCTCTGTTCTCTTCGCAGCTTTGTATCGTCTTCATCCTGCAACAGCCGCGCGCAGACCGATGCGTGTGTCGCTATTGTCCGGTGTTGTCCCTATACGCGCGTGCAAAGGAGACCCCCCCGTTCCCCCTATAATAATAAACGGTGTTATTTCATTATCCCGCTCCAGACCGCGATTGTCCTGGTTCGGGGTGACGGACGGCGGGCGCCTTCAGCCTCCTCTCGTCCCGTTGTTAAAATGTCTTTACAGCGGAATCTTTGCGTGTGGCGTGAGCACAGCAGCGCGATGACGTGTAGGAGCTGTCCCCGGTGCTGAAGATGGACCCGAGCTGCGCGTGCACGTGGCGGGCGCGTGCGCCGAGTGGAGTGTAAAGTATAGTAGTGTGCAAGGTAAGGCAAGTTTGTTTGAATAGCCCAGAACATGCACAAGGCACCTCAAAGTGCTTAACAAAACGAGAATAGAGACGTTAACATCACACAAGGCATTAAAATAAAAAATGACAATACAATCCTTATATGCACAGCGAAAACAGAACTAGTTTTAACCTAGAGGCTTCAAACTCCTCAGAGCACAATGTTTTGAAATGTTTGTATATATGTATGTATGTCGAGGTGTGTTTGTGTTTATGTATGCATGTCGGTGCGTATGTGTATATGTATGTACTGTATGTGTGTATGAGTTTATCTATGGTATATATGTATGTATGTGTGTGTGTGTGTGTGTGTGTGTGTGTGTGTGTGTGTGTGTATATATATATATGTATCTGTATGTATGTATGTGTTTATGCATGTGTTTGTATGTATATATGTAAGTGTACGTAAGTATGTGTACGTCTGTGTTTATCTATTTGTGTGCGTATGTCTATATGTATAGAGGAGATTGGGATTATACGATGTGTTGATCCCACCTCTTTTCAAACCTTGTACTTGTTCATTTTATCTAAATGTAGTGTCTTTGTGTATGTGCAGTATGAGTGTATGTATACATGCAGGTGTGTGTGCGTGTGTGTGCGTGTACACATAAATACACACACACTGTACAAACATGTATGAACGTACACATACGTTCATACTACTACATCTTGTACACACACACACACCTATACACACACTGCCAAGGCATACTGTGTATACACACACACACACACACATGCATTTGGACTAGATAATTTTCAGACAAAGTGTAATTACAACTTTCATGTGAGAAAAACGTAATAAAATACCAATCCTACCATACAGATATATACACACACGCATACATGCACACACACATAACTAAACACTTAATTGTAAAACCTTTTGTGTGAACTTGGTCTGTGAAATGCACATAAATGCTTAAATACACACACCCAGACATAAGATTAGATTGTTTATTTCAAACCTGCATAATTTTCACATGTATCGACACACCCACAGATACACAAGGTTCGAAAGGGAGTTGGAAGAAGCAAATGCTTAAAATTACAATTCAGTCCATACACACACACACACACACTGTGCAAACACAAGCACACATAAACATATACACACACATACATACATAAATACATACACACACAGAGAAGGAGGCTGGTGTGTCTTGTTTAAGGACACAAAAGTTCAGTTTCTCAGCAGGGCCACTTTGGTGTTCTCGTGGTCCATCCATAGCTTTTGCAATCAGGCATTGTGAGTGGTTTGACCACAGTCAATAAAGTTTTGACATAATTCCCTCAAGAAAATATGAGGGTATAACATGTAAAATATTTAGTGACAAATAGCAGCTTGTTGCGTAATTATGACTTGGATTAAACATAAAGTGGCTCTGCTCTCCTAAGTCTCCATAAAGACCAGTGGTCCAGAGGTGGTCCAGTGGTGGTCCAGTGGTCAGATGACAGTGACTGGGCTGTAGCTATGCTGGTCCAGGCGTTGAGCATCTGCAAAAACCAAGTAAACTCCCAAACCGCAGGAGTTTATCAAAGCAAAGAGAGAGAAGACTGGTGCCCAGGTCTGCGTCACTTCAATCAGGTATCCAGACAGAGACACGGTCACCACTCCTGAAACAGACACGCCCATTAGAGCATGAAGAGGTTTTATAAAGCGCTTTTTTGGACACACAACAACGCTTCACTTAGCACTATTCTTGCACTCCATACACAGAGGTGGTAAACTACTACCTCAGCCACAGCAGCCCTGGGGCAGATTGACAGAAGCAAGTCAAGTATGTGCCAGAGGGCCCCTCCGACCACCACCAATCACTGCTGAGTTTGAGAGGTCTGGCGGGATCTGGTTTTCACATTAAGGTGGCGCCAGAATTGAGTTTAAAAAGTATTTCAAATCACCAACAAATAGTGTTTGCTCTCTTGGTGCATTGCATTGACTTTGTTTTAGTCAAATTTATAACAAAACAAAAAAAAACCTTATTCGTCTGATCTCAGCAACTAATTGATTCAGTTAGTATTCAATAATAATCAGCCAACAATCATTAGTTAAAGCCCTAATGTAAATCACTGATGCAACACTGGGCACAAAGACTGGAGCAGAAAGGTCAAAACAAGCAATAAAATGAACATATACACGCGTCCACTGACCTGATAAAGCCCCCATCATGTTCATAAAACCTATGGAGAAAAGAATGAGAAGAACTCCAGCTCAAAATGTGACTGACAACTGTAGAAAAGAGCGCAATGAGCAGAGACTGACCATAGAGGGCGCCAGCACACGACGGAGTGAGATCGTGCACGTTCACAGACACACCTCTGCAAAAACACACACACATTTACAGAACACGTGCATAAACAAGGACAGTGGACGTGCTCGGACACGCACCCACTGGAGAAGGTGGTCGCTGCTATGGCCACAGTGGACAGCGTCACTGCAGTGGGTAAGTGGGCAGTGTTGGACATGGGTAAAATGAAAAGGACTGGGATTCCCATCGCAATAACCTGAAAAATAACACAAAACTCTGAACAAGATATGCCTAAAAAATAACTGAATGCAGACGAGATTAGATTAGATTCAACTTTATTGTCATCAAAAGTCAGAAGTTTGTGTTTTGAGTTGTTTTTACATTATTTGGATAGTTACATGTTTCAAATGCAATGTAGAAATGTTTATATTTATATTATTCTATTTTTTCTGCTGCCAATAAAGTTGCCGTGTGTGTGTATCGTTACTGTGCATGCTTGTTAAAACGTTATTGTTGAAGCAGTTTGTTGTGTGCATTAATTTTTGTGACATTGATGAGTATATAGATCCCAGAAAGAATAGCTGCTGTATATTTCAGAAGCTAATCGGAATAAAAACAAACAAACAGTGCAACAAAATGCAGTTTAGCTTCTAACCAGTAGCGCAATAAGTATAGGATAATTGACCGGTATTTTATTATGTATTTTAATAATTTGCACTTTTTAAGTGAACTGCATGTTTAAAGGTATATAGGAGGATATTCAAACATTTTAGGAAAGAACTGCCCTCCCCTCTTTTTGAACAAAACTCTCTGGTCTTATTTAACGAGCACGTATCACCAGAATGATTGACAAATGGGAGGACCAATAGTTTTGATGATCCACCCGGAAGTATAAAATCCTCCTATATCCCTTCAATATGTAAGTATGTTATTATGCAAGTTATATGATTGTATTGTCAAGGACTACAGGTGGAAAGTAGCATGGTGCTAAGTCTGGTGCAGCCATCTTTTTAATGTAACTGCACATAGTCCTTAATAAATAAAACTGAAAAACTAAACTAAGAATAATTACAACACAGATAAAAATATAAATAGGAATGTGAGACTGTACAAAGCTGCTATTGCTAGTAAATACATTAATTATATTACATCACATTAAAGTGTATCTAATGGGCTTAATAAACAGGTTGAGAGTTCAGGATTGTGACTGCTCTGTGATAAAAACTGTCTCTTGATCTACTCGCCTTGGCCTGGAGGCTCTTCTATAGCGGAGACTACAGAAATCAATGGGTAAATCTGAAATACTAATGTGGAGTACTTCTTGCCAAACTCCTGCAGTATCGTGCTGCACTGATGTCAGCGTGGCTCTTACTGTGGTTTCCCGGCTGCTCTGAGGCCTGTGATTACATGTTTCACTGACTGCAGAATTCCAAAGACACTCCCACATTAACCACGCACCCAACAATATTGCTTTCACAGTTTTTCCCTTCGTTTTCTAATACTATTCTATTCTCACTTAAAAATAAAGTAAAATAAAAGCTTGGGTTTCTTTACCTACTGACGCCAATACAACTATGATTGACTTTTTCCCATTTCCATTACCTGCATGACCTTTCTCACGTTCACCACTGGGTATCCTGCAAAGACAAAGGCATTCAATTCAATGTATTTTTGTATAGCTCTAAATCACAACAGCAGTCGTCTCAGAGAACATTTCACCAACAGCAGATCAGAGAATAAAACAATTCGAACGCAAGAAATGCAATAATAATGTGTCAGACAGCTCCCACTAAACCAACGCACATCCATCATTCATCACGGTTCCTTCTGCCGTTTTTTGAGAATAGAGAGCCAAGACATTGTTTGGGGAGGCAGCATTTCAGATTCATGCAGCTAAAATCTGAAAAAAATCTTTCTGAAAATGTGAGACAGGCTTCTACTCTGACAATGTTTAAAACCAGGTTAAAAACAGTTCTGTTTAGCTGTGCATACAACTGAGGGATTTTTAGATTTTTATCTTTTTTAATATACTGTGATTATTTATGATTTTAATGCCTTACTTTATTAAGCTTTTTGAGTTGCCTTGTGTATGAATTGTACCATACAAATAAACTTGCCTTGCCTACATCCTTTCGTCTAATCAGTAACAAGGGTATCGAGCAGTAACAGTTGGCTGCGCATGGACCTTCACCAGGATTATCTATTATTATGAAGTATTCTACCTTTAGCAATGAGGAAATCCGAGGCCCAGCCCCCCACCAGACTGGCCGGGATGGCAGCCAACCATGGGACAGTGTTGTAGACTCCTCCCTGTGGAAAAGCCCATCAGTGACCATTAGTGACCATCAGAGATCATCAGAGACCATCAGAGACCATCAGAGACCATCAGTGACCATCAGTGACCATCAGAGACCATCAGTGACCATCAGGGACCATCAGAGACCCTCACCTTTGCGTTTGGAAAGGATTCTTCAAAGTAGGTGGGCAGCCAGGACAACAGTGTGTAGAAGGTGGAGGCCGAGCACGTGTGAGCGACCACCATGGCCCTGGAGCAGAAACACCACTGTCAGATACTGGGGGGAGGGGGGGGGGGGGGGGCGGGGTAATCAGAGCTGCACCAAATTCACAGAGCACCAGCCCCTCACTGCTCCTCCTGCAGGTGGAGAGGAGGATGGCTGCTCTAGGGGTATCAGGCAAAATTGGGTTAAGTGACTTGCCCAAGGACACAACAACAGCAGACATCAGTGAGTCAGAGTCGGTGGAAAAGGCTCAAAGGCCAATGCGTAGTAGTATAGACATAGTATTAGAGTACTAGTATAGAGTATTAGAGTAACAGAATAAGTAAAGGTATAGAGAGTGAGGAGAGCAGACTGTACCAGACTGGGGGCTTCTTTATGAGACTCAGCCATCTCAGGTTTGACTTGCGCGGCTTCTGTCTGACCATCTCCTTTCCTACAAAACCAAACGGTCCAGGTGTTGTTGAGAATACACAAAGTAAAGTAATCTGTTTCTCAAATCACAACACGATAAAGATAAGAATCACGGCATCCTTTATTCGTCCTGCACTGGGGACATTCCAGGGTTGCATCACAATTTACAGAACAGTTGGAATGAGGAGCACACACACACGTGAATATTAAGTATAGCACAACTGTGTGTATAAAAAGGAAATCTCTATATTTAGCTTAATAAAGAAAGTATAAAAAGTACAAGGTATATACTTATACTAATATATATATACCTGTAAATCTGTAGATTTATCTGTAATATTGAAGTAATGTGTCATTGTCTCTGAAGGTTCAAGTATTCACAGTGATGATACTACTGTACGTGTGTTAGCAAGTGACTAAATGAAGTGACAGTGGAAACATGGGATTATGTATTGCCCATCCTGACATCATTGCACAACATTAAGATAAGTGTCGTGAAGTGAACAAGTGTGGAAATTTCAATGTTGCAGCGCACATACAGGACAGTAGTATGAGCACACAGGGAGCACACAGAATATGCAAAATAATTAGCTGCTATGTTTCTTAGCTAGCTGTAAACGCTTCAATATCAATCTATCTCTATCTACTGTATATATTTAGTGTAAAGTTATATACATAGAGGGCAGGATAATGAGTAGATGAAGCGACATTCAGTAAACACTCTGAGAGTATGCAGTATTGCACATGATACCAGTATTTACTAATATCACTCAGATGCATGACATGTGAGATATGTACCTTTCACCAAAGAATACCAGATGAAAAGCGCCCAGAGGCAGCTGACAAAACCAATGCAGTAAAACAGATATTCCCATCCATAGTTCTGCAGCATGACGGAGCCCAGACCCCCGGCCACCAGCGTCCTGGGACAAACAAACACACATGTCATCACAGATACAAGGACAGGGATAATTAACAACAATATACCATCCCAATTCAAATCCAAATGCACTCAAAAAAGTATGATATTGTTATTATATGGTCATGTGTCACTTATATGTATGTCTAGTTTACAATGAGAAAATAAGGAAGAAGGACCTAAGGGCAGTGATGCTTCAGGGTATGTCCTGGTCTGGACTTTTTAATTACTTTTACCTGGTTTAATTTTGATGTATTGGTTCTCTTGAGTGTTCATGTCTGTTCAGTTGATTGCCTGTCCCTATTGTGTGTCCCTGTGTGTATTTAAACCCTGTGCTCCTCTCCCATTGTTGTTGGTCCATTGTGTTTTTGTCCCTGTGTCGTCATGGTTTAGGGTTTGGAGTTCTGCTATAGCCTGGATTAGTCATTTTTGTGTTTTGTTAATCAAATCTTTATCTTTTTGGCTTGCATTTTGAGTCATTGTGTTATCACCACGCAACTGGGCAGATATGAACATTTAAAGATTTTGGTCGTCCCGCTCTCTATGAACCAATGGCTCCTATGTGTGTGTTTTATTATTGCATTTGGCTGGATTCTCTCTTCAGTGGTCCGTTTTACAGCCATTTGATTAGTACACAATCTTAACAGACCCTTTCCAGCCATGATTTAACACGCTTTTCTCTAAACCTAATATTGTTCAAATATTATTGTCGAGATCATCAAATATATACAGTCATTTTAGGTCTATTATATACAGAGCAGACCTAATAACTTTGTTCATGATAATGTGATAAAACAGATAGATAAAAAGACTTCTTCACCGACAGATTTCAAGTGAATTATTTTCTCATGTACTTACCCCAGATAAGTGCCACTGTTTAAAATGCTCATCAAAAAGCCTCTTTCGGCTTTGACCACCCGATACGAGCACATGCTGGCCAGAGACGGGAAGAAAACCCCTGGGAGAACATGCAACACACACACTTTATTATTGGGATGGGGCAAACATATCGAGTCATGAGACAAAGCTGAACATGATCGAAAGAGAGTTTTTAATCAGTATTTTTCTGATTTCTCATTATGACATACAATAGATTAGATTAGACATACATTGGGCAACTTGTTTAACCTAAATATCATTTTTTTCAAGCAAGAATGTTTTACCAATTCATTTTATGAGCAAATTTAGATTGTCTATAGTTCAGAAATGTCTTCAAACCAGTGGAATATTCCGGTAAATCTATATGGGCTGAAATATAGAACAATGTTAATCCTATGGTATATGACATTTTCTGCAGAGTGAATTGAGATTGTGTGTGAGTAACAGCAGAATAAGTGTAGGCTGATGTAAAACTTCTGGTCATAAAACTATTTATAGATTTCCTCTGAAGTTCCTCATGTCGTGTTTGCATAAAGAAATGTTTGTTTGCGTCAATGGCCTCACAGTTCATTCTAGGAGCAGACTTCCCTTTTGTAATCACCCGTTGTTAAGTATAATGTTTATACTTTTGAAGAATATATTTTAACACAGGGATTACCAAGATGTAAAGAGGCATAAAATACTAATAATATAATATACATTTTCAGTCGGGATGCAAGCGTCTGTCAAACTATAAAACTCATTGGGTCGTGTTCATGTGGAAGAATTTCAGTTTTAGGCAGGAAACAAAACAACTGTGAGGTTTAAGGATTTCTTTTTTTTTAGAAATGGAAAAGAAAATGTTTAGATTCTCAAAGTTGGAGGCCGAACATGTGTGAGCGAACATCGAGGCCCTGAGTCAGAAACACTGCTGTCAGGTATGAGCAGTGCTAATTATTATAATGACTGTATATTAGACTAAAGAGACTATAGAGAGACAACTGGGCCACACTGGGCTGTCCCACACTGGACTGTCCCACACTGGACTGTACCACACTGGACTGTACCACTGTCACACCGGGTCTCACGCACGTGCACAAAGGGGCTCGGCCGCGCTCTGACCGATCAGAGCAGTTCATCAGAGCGGGAGTTAGAGCGAGAGCCAGACGAGCAGAGTTTGTGGCAGTAAAGTGTGGATTTAAACAAAACAGAAGGATTTAAGAAGAAAAAAAGTTCAGGATGACAAGGGACACTAAATTCCCCACAAAACCCGACCTTTATGAAAGCTGTAGGTTCTCTGTCAGCTTAGGTTGAGCTGTTTTAGTTTACATTGAGTTCTGTGGGGAAAACTTCTGGTTAGGCCGCGTGAATTTAGTCTGGTTTAGTCTGCAGTACCGCAAAAATCCCGCAAGCACACGAGTTCTTCATGAAAACATAAAAATGGTATGCCATCCATCCATCCATCCATTTTCTACCCTTTAATCCATTTCTGGGTCAGGGGGGTGGCAGTCAGAGATGCCACCCAGTGGGGGCTTTTGGGCAAAGTGGGGTTAAGTGTCTTGCCCAAGGACACAACGACATCAGTCATCAGTGGGAGTCGGTGGAGAAGGTGTAGAGGTGGGAATTGAACCCCCGACCTTCAGGCCTGAAGGCCAATGCTCTACCAACTGAGCTACCGTCGCCCCTAAAAATGGTATGATAACATAAAAAAATAATTGATGTTGCCGTGACAACAGTCCTTATCTAATCCACTTCCCTTTAACACTGTGTTCTGACTGTTTCATGCACTGGTTATTACAGGCACAAATGTAACAGAATCTCTCAATATTTGCTACAAAATCTATTCTCATCCTTGTCGACCAAAATATGTATAAGGCAACTTATACAACTAACTATTTCGTTCATAAACTTGTCATTTTAATGCTTTGGCTGAAAATCACCACTGTTTATTTTTGTTTACCTATGTTAACAGACAGAGAAGACCTTTGCATATGACATGAAGCATAAAACCAGGATGGATGTTTGCATTTACACCATTTTTTGTAAATTGACGTTGCTACAGAGTTCTTGAGTTCCCTTCAGCTCAGTTTTGAAGTGAATTTCAAAATGTATTGAAATCCTGAGGTTTAAACGTTCTCCTCCAAAAAACAATACAACATATTATTGTTGAAAAACACTTACAGTACGGTGTCCCATGGTAAGAAATATACATTCATTTAAAAATGAAATACAATTTCGGGTTGCTGATTTTTTAGCATAGAATGTAGAATGTTAAAGGGCCAGACTCGGGTCAGTTCTCGAGTGTGCTCCTGACCGCGCATCTCTCATGTAAATTGGGTTGTGTATAAAAGGCAGGGCAGCGTGTGGTGTGTAGTTTTGCGTGTGTTTTCAGAGCTCACCTTGCAGCAAGCCCATGAGGAAGCGAGCAGCTGTCATGAGGAACAGGGCGTGAGACGAGGCCCGGGACATCAGAGGAGTCACGGCCGCAACCAGGCCCCAGGACACGGCGGACATCAGGAGGACCCGCTCTCCACCCACCCTGAGGCAAGACCAAGTTCAAGATCAGGCACCAAGGATTTTAATAATAATAATAATAATAATAATAATAATAATAATAATGGACAGCACGACAACAAAAACCGTGACGTCGCCCGGCATGGCGCAGCCGGGGCCCCACCCTGGAGCCAGGCCTGGGGTCGGGGCTCGCAAGCGAGCGCCTGGTGGCCGGGCCTTAGCCCACGGGGCCCGGCCGGGCTCAGCCCGAAGGGATGACGTGGGCAGTCCCTCCTGTGGGCTCACCACCTGCAGAGGGGTCCGTGGTGGCGAGGTGCAGAGAGGACTGGGCAGCAGTCGAAGGCGGAGACCTCGACGACCCAGTCCACACACCCAACATCTGGCTCTTGGGACGTGGAACGTCACCTCACTGGGGGGGAAGGAGCCCGAGCTTGTGGGGGAGGTTGAGCGATACCGACTAGAGATAGTCGGCCTCACCTCCACACACAGCTTGGGCTCTGGAACCCAACTCCTTGAGAGGGGTTGGACGCTCCACTTTTCTGGTGTTTCCCGCGGGGAGAGGCGGCGAGCTGGGGTGGCCATACTCATTGCCCCCCATCTCAGCCGCCACGTGTTGGAGTTCTCCCCGGTGAATGAGAGGGTCGCGTCCCTCCGCCTCCGGGTGGGGGACAAGTCTCTCACTGTTGTGACGGCCTACGGGCCTAACGGTAGTGCAGAGTACCCGGCCTTCTTGGAGTCCTTGGGAGGGGTACTGGACAGTGCACCGCCCGGGGACTCCGTTATTCTCCTGGGGGACTTCAACGCCCATGTGGGAAATGCCAGTGACACTTGGAGAGGGGTGATCGGGAAGAGCGGCCCCCCTGATCTGAACCCGAGCGGTGTTCAGTTGTTGGACTTCTGTGCCAGTCACGGCCTGTCCATCACGAACACCATGTTCGAGCACAAGGGTGTCCATCAGTGCACGTGGCACCAGGACACCCTAGGCCGGAGGTCGATGATCGACTTTGTAGTCGTATCATCTGACCTTCGACCGCGTGTCTCGGACACTCGGGTGAAGAGAGGGGCGGAGCTGTCAACCGATCATCACCTGGTCGTGAGTTGGATCCGCTGGCAGGGGGCAGGAGGCCGGTCAGACCTGGCAGGCCCAAGCGTGTAGTGAGGGTTTGCTGGGAACGTCTCGCTGAGCCCCCTGTCAGACGGACTTTCAACTCACACCTCCGGGAGAGCTTCTCCCAGGTCCCGGCAGAGGAGGGGGACATCGAGTCCGAGTGGACCATGTTCTCTTCCTCTATCGCCAATGCGGCGGCTCGTAGCTGTGGTCGCAAGGTCTCTGGTGCTGGTCCCGGCGGCAATCCCCGAACCCGGTGGTGGACACCGGCAGTAAGGGATGCCGTCAGGCTGAAGAAGGAGTCCTATCGAGCAATGATGGTTCGTGGGACTCCTGAGGCAGCTGTCCAGTACCGGCAGGCCAAACGTGCCGCGGCCCGGGCTGTTGCAGAGGCAAAAACCCGGGACTGGGAGGAGTTCGGAGAGTCCATGGAGCATGACTATCGGTCGGCCTCGAAGAGGTTCTGGCAAACCGTCCGGCGCCTCAGGAGGGGGAAGCAGTTCTTTGCCAACACCGTGTATGGTGCGGGTGGAGGGCTGCTGACCTCGACTGGGGATATTGTCGGGCGGTGGAAGGAATACTTCGAGGTTCTCCTCAATCCCCCCGTCACGTCCCCCGTCCAGGAGGCAGAGGCTGAGGATGTTGGGGCGGATACTTCCATCTCCCTGGCCGAGGTCACCAAGGTGGTTGGCAGCCTCCATGGTGGCAAGGCGCCGGGAGTGGATGAGATCCGTCCTGACTATCTAAAGTCTCTGGATGTTGTAGGACTGTCTTGGCTGACACGTCTCTGCAACATCGCGTGGCGATCGGGGGCGGTGCCAATGGAGTGGCAGACCGGGGTGGTGGTCCCTCTCTACAAGAAGGGGGACCGGAGGGTGTGTTCCAATTATCGTGGGATCACACTCCTCAGCCTCCCCGGTAAGGTCTACTCCAAGGTACTGGAGAGGAGGCTTCGTCCGATGGTCGAATCTCGGATTCAGGAGGAGCAGTGTGGTTTTCGTCCCGGTCGCGGAACACTGGACCAGCTCTATACTCTCCATCGGATACTCGAGGGTTCATGGGAGTTCGCCCAACCTGTCCACATGTGCTTTGTGGATTTGGAGAAGGCGTTCGACCGCGTTCCCCGGGGTGTCCTTTGGGGGGTCCTCCGGGAGTACGGGGTCCGGGGTCCTCTGCTGAGGGCTGTTCGGTCCCTGTATGACCGGAGCCAGAGCTGTGTTCGCATTGCTGGCAGTAAGTCAGACCTGTTCCCGGTGCATGTTGGCCTCCGCCAAGGCTGCCCTTTGTCACCGGTTCTGTTCACTGTATTTATGGACAGAATCTCTAGGCGCAGCCAGGGGCCGGAGGGGGTCCGGTTCGGGAACCACAGGATTTCATCTCTACTTTTTGCGGATGATGTCGTCCTGCTGGCTCCAACGAACCAGGACCTGCAACATGCACTGGGACGGTTTGCAGCCGAGTGTGAAGCGGCTGGGATGAGAATCAGCACCTCCAAATCCGAGGCCATGGTGCTTGACCGGAAAAAGGTGCCTTGCCCTCTCCAGGTGGGTGGAGAGGTCCTTCCTCAAGTGGAGGAGTTCAAGTATCTCGGGGTCTTGTTCACGAGTGAGGGGAGGATGGAGCGTGAGATTGACAGGCGGATCGGTGCAGCGTGCGCAGTGATGCGGTCTCTGTATCGGACCGTTGTGGTAAAGAGGGAGCTGAGCCGAAAGGCAAAGCTCTCGATTTACCGGTCAATCTTCGTTCCCTCCCTCACCTATGGTCATGAGCTGTGGGTAATGACCGAAAGAACGAGATCGCGGATACAAGCGGTCGAAATGAGCTTCCTCCGCAGAGTGGCTGGGCGCTCCCTTAGAGATAGGGTGAGGAGCTCGGTCACACGGGAGGAGCTCGGAGTAGAGCCGCTGCTTCTCCACGTCGAGAGGAACCAGTTGAGGTGGCTCGGGCATCTGTTCAGGATGCCTCCTGGACGCCTTCCTGGGGAGGTGTTCCGGGCACGTCCCACCGGGAGGAGGCCCCGGGGAAGACCCAGGACACGCTGGAGAGACTATGTCTCTCAGCTGGCCTGGGAACACCTAGGGGTCCCCCCGGACGAGCTTGAGGAGGTGTGTGTGGATAGGGAAGTCTGGGCGTCTCTGCTTAGACTGCTGCCCCCGCGACCCGGCAACGGATAAAGCGGAAGAAAATGGATGGATGGATGGATGGATAATAATAATAAAAATAATGCATTGGTTCTATATAGCGCTTTTCAGGACACTCAGATGCTTCACATTGTCATCATTCTTTCACTCCAAACACAACCAACCATTCACACAAACACACACATACACACCAGACTCATTCTAGGCAATGTGGGTGAAGTGTCTTGCCTAAGGACACAACAGTTTGGCACTATACAGCCGCATCCGCCCCACTGTGGCACCTGGTGTTCCCAGAGGTCTCCCATCCCAGTACTAACCAAGCCCTGCAGTGCACAGCTTCAGAGGTCTGACAGGATTTTGATTTTACCTGAAAGTATCAAAATCAAAGTTGAATCTAATCTAAACATGGTCATTAAAGAAAAAACATGTGCATGATCATTTAATGGACAGGGATGCATCGAACTCAACGACATTGTAAGTAAGTATTATTTAATTATATAGCACATTTTACAGATCAAGGTCACCCAAAGCGCTTTACAATGTTCAGGAATCAGATATTTTTCCCATCCACACACGGTGATGACAGAAGCGAGACACCGAACACACTGGTGCATCAAAGCCTCCAACCAACACCATCCATTCACTCACTCATTACATTCAGACCTTTTATACATGTTTTTAGTGGTTGGGGAAACCGGAGCACCTGGAGGAAACCTACACAGGCACGGAGAAAACATGTCAACTCCACTCAGAAAGGCCCTGACCAGAATCCAGGACCTTTTTGCTGAGAATGAGAATGCTGCACTTGGGACTTGCCTGTGCAATTTTTTTAAATCTGTTTATCCATTCATTTATCTATCTATTTATTATCTATTATTTATGGGTGGATACTCTCTTTTTCTTGGGGGTCCTGTCCATCCGTTTGCTTTGTCAGACGAGTATAAAACAAAGTGTACATACATAGCCAACCACAGAAGAACAAAAGCATGCTCCCACAATAACATTGGACATGTTATTTCAAAAATTACATGTATTACCAAATCTTATCCTTAATCCTCACTTCTACAGAGTAATTTTAATGTTTAGATTTTATTGCGTCGTGTGATTCGAATGTTTCTCTTCTTGTATTGTTAATCACTTTGAGTTGCCTTGGGAATGAACTATGCTATACAAAACGTGCCTATTGTATATATACATAAGTAGTATCTAAAAAGGGCTGATTTCCCTCACTTTCTTATTAGGAATTTGTCTTTTTTAATGAAAGAACAATGGGCCTCATTCACGAACGGTTCTTAGGAACAGATTTGTACGTAAATCCTACTTACGCAGTTTTTACGAAGAAAGTGGCATTCACGAATATTTCTCGTAACCAGAATTTCTCTTGGGCAAGTACAAATCCTACGAGTCCTCAGGAGCACTCGTACGCATTCAGTGCCGACATGTTCACACGCCGGGGTTGTCCTCTTTGGTGAAGTTGAATAAAAATACAACATTCCAGTGATATGTCCGTCATATCGATGTATGTATTTATTTATTTGTAGTAATCTTTATTAGTAATCTTTATTTATATACCGCCTTTTTCACTGCAGATCTGGCCTACTTTTTAATTCATTTTGAAATGAAATGTGCCAACGCTTTATCAAATACATTGGAAATCTTGCCGTGTATTAGTGACCCCTTCCTATTTATAGGGGGCATTTCTTTATCCACGGGCCACAGAACAACGGCATATATACTGCTGCTGCAGGAGGCTGCGGGGTCCGCGCTGAGTCTCTGCGCTGGTCTCTCCTATGGATCTATACGGGTCTGCACTGGTCTCTCCCATATACGGGTCTGCACTGGTCTCTCCCATGGATCTATACTGGTCTGCACTGGTCTCTCCCATATACGGGTCTGCACTGGTCTCTCCTATGGATCTATACTGGTCTGCACTGGTCTCTCCCATGGATCTATACGGGTCTGCACTGGTCTCTCCCATATACGGGTCCGTGCTGCATGCTCCTGGATCCATATGGGTCCGCGCTGGTCTCTCAAGTCTGGTCTATGCGGTCTCTCTTCGGTCCGCGCTGGTCTCTGCGCACCGGTCTCTCCAGTCAGGTCACTCCAGTCTATGCGGTCTCTCCTATAGGTCCGCGCTGGTTTCTGTGTGCTGGTCACTCCAGTCTCTCCTCGGGTCTGCATTGGTCTCAGCGCTGGGCCGCGCTGGATCTCCTCCCAGGGTCCAAAATATTTTGAGATTAATCTCAAAACATTTCGAGATTCATCTTTAAAATAATACATAATATATTTTTAAATTAAGCTCATAACATTTTGAGATTAATCTCATCATATTCTTAGATTAATCTCATAATTTTGCTAGTTCGACTTTATTATCATAATATTTCGACTTTTAAGTCAACATTTTATAACTTTATTCTCAGTCTGGTAAAAGAAGAAAAAAGGGTGACTCTTTTGCTCCGTGTAATTTGCTTTAGGCCTGTTGCTGTTTCCTCTGCCGTCTGCACACGGCCCTGCAGTCCCTTATATGGGCATTAGTGGGCGGTTACTTATGCTAAGTACCTATGCTAATGAAGCACCTGGCACGCGCGCTGTACTTACGAGGAAATGGGATTCATCAATCTGAGAGAACAGCTGCGAACAATTCAGCGGCTTACGAGTGCGTTGATGAATCCCACGTGGGGACTTCTTAGAAATCTACTTAAGGACAACTTGAGAAGAAAGTTGAGTAGTTTCTTACGAAGTTATTCGTGAATGAGGCCCAATGTCTGCTAATTTTTTCTTGATTAAAACACAGTCAAATCAAAGGAAATGTATTGGAAAACCTCTTCTGGAAATGGTTTGCGTGTTTGTGGTCATAGACTCAGCTAATGTAAGGTTTCATTTCATAATTAAAGGCTCAACATTAGATCGGTTTGTGAATTATCTGCAAGTAACATCTGTGTGAATGAACTTATGTGAAAGGGTTTATGAAGACAATCACCAACAGGAAACGTATTTTGTAAACAAAACTCAACGCAACCTGGACTAGACTGATTACACTGCAAAAAATTCTATAATGTAATAATTATTTTTTTATCTTATTTGAGTATAACTGTTGCTTTTTTTGTCTCATTTCAAGGAAGACATTTCTTATATCTTTTGAGAACAAGATCAAAGTTCTTGTCCTTTTGGCAAATCCTGTTTTAATGCAGTCAAACTGTGCTCAAAATAAGTAACATTTAGAAACATTTGAGCAATTTTTGACTTTTTTTTTCATCACCTTTTGCAGTGTATTGCTATTTTTCTCAGCCCTGTGGATTATATTTGGTCTTAAGGGAAGATGTTAGTAAGCAATATTAAAATTCCATGTTATCCCACAAAGTCTACAATGGCAGAAACATCGATCATTTATATATCCGTCCAATGATTGTTGCCAACGTTTTTTTTGTAATTCAACTTGACTAAATCTAACTTTCAAACTTGACTTTCAAAAATGAAGTAAGAAAGTAATCTTATTTATATACCGCCTTTCACAGACCAGAGTCACAAAGTGGTTTACAATTGTTATTTTTTGGGCATTTGTCTCTCACTCCACACAGAGATGAGAGCGGGGTCGCCAGTACAGAAGGCACATACCAGACCTATTGTACATGTTTTTAGTGGTAGGGGAAACCGGAGTACCTGGAGAAAACCTACATAGACATGGGGAGAATATGCAAACTCCACTCAGAAAGGCCCTGTTCCGGACAGGATTCAAACCCAGGACCTTCTTTCTGAGAAGCGAGAGTGCTATTCATTCAGCTACTGTGCCGATGTAATGTAAGTAATGAAATCTAAAAGGTCCTCACTCTGAAAACGGTTTGTTTTTTAGGCCTCTGTCACATGTTTAAATAAGCTTTTTCGCACAAAAACAGTGAAAAAGAGAGGACCCCCCTCACTGACTCTAGGAACTGTTTAGTGGTGGCACCAGTCTCCTTCACAGACACACGGCTGGAGCTGTCGTTTATAAGCTTGTCTGTATATTGTTGCTTTTTGTTACACGAGTCATGTCTTTCGGTGGCCATGTGTGATTCTAGGACTAACTAAAAGGACATTGGTGATGATACATTCAACAACATATTTATGGACATTGGTCATCTGCTCCTTATGGGCTTTTTGTGTTTTCTATCATTGCAGTTCTTGTCTTTGAACGGTTTGATTCTCTGATTTGTGTTGGCGAATTCAACAGATGTCTATAGTCCTCAGAGATAACTACTGATATCTCAGAGGAGACGGCCTATACAAGAATAACTTGAATTTAATTGAATAGATTCTTGTTCTAGTGTGGACCAAGAGTCTGAATAGATACAATGATTATGAAACACACCCTATCAGCTCTCAGCCAAAAGTGACAACTAGTGACTCACTGGGCTCTTTGTGTGAATTTTGTTCAAATAACATGAAGACAGTCTGATTTGTTGATGTTTTAGTTGTTGAGATAAACAACATGTATTTTATATGATTTGTAAAAGTTACCCCAGCTTTAAATAAACTGGAAATGTTAAGTATCTTGACAGAACAAAACATCTGCATATAAACTTACTCCACCCATTCATCACAGAGGCAAGACGTTTTGGATGAAAAAGGGTAAACGATACACAAACAGAACAAGAGAACAGAAACACAAAAGACCAGAAACAACACACACACACACACACACACACACACACACAATACCAATCCTATGGTCTATATCCACCCACTCATCACTGACGTGTCCTCCCAGGATCTGAGTGATGCAGTAGCCCCAGAAGAAGCTCCCGAGCACGACCCCGGTGTCGGTCTTGGTCCAGTGGAAGGTGGTGGCCATGGTGACGGCACAGATTGGCATGGCCATCCTCGCACAGTACAGCAGGCAGGTGCCCAGGAACAGACCCACGAACCATTTTCGAGCCAAAGGTCTGCAGCGGGAAGAGCAAAAGAAGTCATGCTAAAAATGATTCCAAAGGATGATTATCAGATATGTGTGTGAGACATGAATGACCTTGTTTTTGATGTACAACTAGTTATTCTATTTTAATTATTTTTTTTATTATGTGCATATGTTGAGTGATCATTTTTAATAATAAAGGCCTTTTTCTGAATTTGGGAAAAGCTTAAATGTTGTACACGGAACAGCCTAGTGTAGGGATGTCATAGTCAAATACATCCGAGGGCCAAAAAACAAATTTGCTACAAGGTTCGGACTGGTTCAAAGTTTATTAAAACATATTAAAATGATTGCATAGAAACTATCTAACCAAGACCTAACACAGTGTACTGTATTTTATCTAATGATTTAATTAATAATACAATATTTTTGTAAGGCTCTGTTGATAATTTAAGTGAAAGTGAAAACAGATTTCAACAGGCTCACAGAGAAAAACAAACTTCCTTCAAAGAGAAAACACATGTCCTGAACATTTAATGAATAATCCATTATTTTCTCATGGTTCTGTGCGGCCGGTTCAGATACTAATCAAATATCATCCCGGGGCCAAGATCCTTCATTCGGGCTTGACTTTGACGCCCATGGCCTTGTACAATCCTATGCTTTTAATCATTATCATAATCCATCTCATATGTCTCCCTTTATGTTCTGTAATCTGGTATAATCTAAACATTTTAAGGTTTTTTAAGACTTTATTTTCAAGATATCTCTGTCTTTGACTTTCTCTGGACGTTTGTAATTAAGACTTAAAGTGATTATTGCATGAACTGAGCTGCTCCAGGTTCAAAGACAGTTGTGTTTAGTTGTGCATGCAACTGATGGCTTGTATCTTCATTCTTTTTGTGGCACTGTGATTATCACTGATTATTCAACGCTTTGAGTCTGATCATTTCTTGTTTTGTTAAGTTTCCTTCTGTATGAGCTGTGCAATACAAACACACTTGCCTTGCTGCTGTTTACCTTTTATAATCTATTTGCCGTGGCATTTGTATAAAAGCAAATATAGTACATCTGTGTTGCTGCTTGGAATTCTTACTGTTATAACAATCACCAAAATGGCAATACGGTAAGTAAAATATGCCTTTAAAAATATGTAAATACAAATTGAAAATGACTTTCATGGCAACAGTATAGAAAAGCGATTCAGTCAAATAGACAAGTTCAAAACTAAAGCATTTTCACTTTTATTTTATGCAGCTCTGCCGGTGAACAAGTTTATCCATGGCCTTGCACCAAAGTACATCTGAGACATGTCAGTGCCATATGAACCAACTTGGATTCTGAGAAGCACAGGGACTGGTCTACTGCTGGGATTCTGAGGAGCACAGGGACTGGTCTACTGCTGGGATTCTGAGGAGCACAGGGACTGGTCTACTGCTGGGATTCTGAGAAGCACAGGGACTGGTCTACTGCTGGGATTCTGAGGAGCACAGGGACTGGTCTACTGCTGGGATTCTGAGGAGCACAGGGACTGGTCTACTGCTGGGATTCTGAGGAGTCAGGAGGACTAAACATGGGGAGGCAGCCTTTCAGATTTATGCACCTACAATCTAGAACAGTCTTCCTAAAAATGTGAGACAGGCTTCGACTCAGACAATGTTCAAATCCAGGTTAAAAACAGTTGTTAAAAATAGCTGTGCTTACAACTCTAGGATTGTATGTTCATTCTTTCTCACGTTCTATAATTATTTAAGATCGTTTCTATCATGAGCACATCACGCATTTTGAGTTTCCTTGTGTATGAAAAACTGCGCAATAGAAATAAACTTGCCTTGATTACTAACAACCATCATCCTTGTTTCTTATTCCTTTGACCACATACTTTTTAAAAACACATTATACACACTTCTAACAGTGCCACATACACACGCAGCCAACCTCTTTGAAATAACTTCTGTCGCTCTCACCTGGGCCACAAAGTTGCATCCTCTAGTGACGATCCTGTTCCCAAAGCGTCTGTCTTCAAATAAAAGTGATTTAATCCATGTTTGTGTCCGTTTTGCGCAGATGGGACAGCCATAGAGAGTCCGTGGCGCTCTCAGCCCACTCTCGGTCCCGGACTGCACATCCTCTCCGCAGGCAAACAGGACAGACAGGTCCGACGTGTTACAACAGGGTCCCGAAAACTGATTTGCAAAACACAGACGCGTTTTCTTCCGATTATATTGTGTTTATTCAACGCGTGGGAATAATAAGTGTATTCAACTAAAACTTCTGATGAAAACATTTACGTCTTGTTGGAGGATTTTACTAACTAAAGATGTTACATTTTCAGCTGCTGTGACGTATGTGAGATTTCATGCAACTTCTTCCTTCCTTGCGTTTCCTTCTTCATAAAACGTGACCTTTTTGGGAGACAATTGCAGTTTTAGAGTTGATTAAGAGAAAATCAAAGTGTTGATGTTTTTGAGGTGTAAAATAATGTCATAAAGGTGAATGAAAAGAAAAAGGAAGTTCACGAAGGATATGGAAGAAGGCATTTTATATGAATTCGGATGTGGCCTCAGAGAAGAGCGCGACTTCCCCATTTTTTCTATCAACTCCTCCCATTTCCAAGTTACACATATCCCTAGGCAAAAACCCGTGCGTTCCCCTAGTCATGTCTGATGAAGGGCCTCAGCCTGAAACCTCACTATCGTGGTCTGTAAAGAAATGACACTTTGGAGCAACATAGCTGTGCAGATTTTTCTCTAATTTGTTTTCATATTTTGCACCTTTTTAAATCTTGCACGCTAGTTCTGGCTACTAGGATCTGCAACCTTATTTTAAACCTAATAATATTAGTAAACAAGGGGTTAAGAGCGGCAATAAATACAACTTTAACATTTGAGTCATAATTAGTGACAGGACTTTGTATCTATTCTTAGTTTGGAAACTCCCACCAATCCCACAGATATCCAGTTATACTTGTTTCATTGGTTCATGATTTTTTGAACACACATGTTGTTAAAATGACAGGTGGTGAAGTGAAGGATACAAGTATACAAAAAGAATGGACTGACACACTGGCCTTGTGTTTCTTTGTGCATTAGAAATACAAACGAACCAATGCCACAGGATAATACACTTTAGTACATTTTGAAATAAGTTAGCTTGGTCTGAGGTGAAAGGAACGATCCACACATCCGTTAACCTGTTTATTGTGCCAGTATTTGTACGCTCCCCTTATATCTTGCACCATAAGACTTAAGGCTTCAGTGGAGCAATGGGACTTTAACTGGTCTGTAAGCGTGGCTTTATTGATATTATTACTACAATAAATCCATTCAGCTATAATAGTATGAGATAGTCCAGTTCCTTGTTAATATTGAGTCAATTCAATTTATTTTTGTTTAAGCCCTAAATCACTACATTTGTCTCAGAGGACTCTACAAAGTTGTCGATTCACCAACACAGATCAGTGAACCAAACACAGAAATGCAATAATAACAAAACAAACCTGTGATTGTCGGGTAACTTGATCCTCAAACCAAAGTACCCTCATTTGTAAAGGATCTGAAAAAGCTGGATCCAAAATTATAATTAGATAATGCAGTGTAACTATTCCCACTGATTCACTTTTGGTTGTAATTACTAATTTGTGATAAGAATAAGTTTGGAAATGCAGCCTTGTGGACACCTTTCCATGGTGGAGATTGGTTTATATGTTTGCAGGGGCTCAATGCCGCTGTAATGTCTTCCAGGTCAAACAGGCCATAGAACTAGAATACAAATCTCCCTCACCAAACCCTTCATTTGTCTTTTGAACAGTTGTTTGGAGCATGACCCCTTTGAATGAGGCAGATTATGATCGGATTGACGTTATTATATACTGTATTTCTGCACTTTTTCTTGTATTATTGTGTTTGTGTGTTTTCCCACTGGCGCTCTGTCTGCTAATGAAGTTGCTCATCAATAAATAGAAAAATAATATAATTCAACTGTATTTAAATTCACAATATAAAGCTGGTGGAGGATGTGGAGTAAGCTGCTGCACTTCCCACTCATCACCTGTAGAGGGCCCCATTCAAAGCAGTAGAAAACATGATGTATTTAGAAATGACACAGTACTACTTTTATCATTCATTAATTGTTATTTTAATAATAGTAAATTTTATCTTAAAAATGTTCATTAATAAAAGAGATGTAAGCTCTCAGAAATATTTTACATAGCAATTGAAAACAAAACAACTAGCAGCAAGTTTCTCAACAAAAATAAAACAAAATTCAAAAGAAGGCTTATACCTTACTCAAAGTATACATGCAACATAAAGTGAAAAATGCAAACAATCTGGAAAACTTAATTCACAAATGAATTCCTTTCAAACTTTTACACTTAAAACGTGAAAATATGAAATAATGAAGTATCATGAATTGAAGCCTTTGCTGGTTTAGATTTCGGCAACTCATCTTTGTGGAAACTACTGTAAAGGCTCAAAACTGAAGAAAAAAAATGTTTGAAAGCTCATTGATAAACTGATATGAAGCATGATGGCTCTCTTTAAATGTAAATCATCTTCTATGAAAAATATTGAACATAGGACTTTGTATTCAACTTTTTTCTGGTCATTCCTGACATTGTGCGACACAAGGTGCACTACTTCTTATGTGTTCATATATTTGGAAACAGCATCGGACTTGATTGTGGAAAAAATGTGGTAGTGTTAAATATCCTCCATAAACCGCTCTGGTGCAAGCTGGGAAAGACGAGGGCAAAGAATCAAAAAGGACATAAGTGACGTTTTCTTAAAAATATCTGCCTAAATATAGTTATTTACAACAAACCTATTCAATCTTATGTACAACAGGAGTTCTCAGTTCATTAACGAATCTATAGTAATGCTCATCCTTTATTATTATGACTATTAAATATATGATCAATAATATAAACTAGGGTTGTGCCAAATATCACAGATCAAAACTTTTCTCAATCTCGATAATGGACCTTTGCATTAAAATGAAGAGACACCATCCTGAGGCTGAAGGAGGACAGGTCATTTCTCCGAGGCTCACTTTAGGAGACAGACCATCTTCATTCATTTGCCTTTCACAACGTTCGTGTCAAAGATGCAGTTTCATTCAATACGTTATGTTTTTTGTTTCCTGTCTAATATATATATATATATATATATAAACATATTGAATTTCTCCAAAACTCAATTACGTCAAAATCAATGAGTCATGCATTTTTGTTCAGCGTGTCCACCAGCCCTCGTATAAACCCAACCACCGTTTAGACGTTTTAGTTGAAAATATCTTTTTGGAAGTGAATCTGTAAACTGCTTCTACTAGAACCACTTATAAACATTTTGATTCCCAGCCCTCGTGTATCAAATTCTGTTCCAGATTTCAGAGTTTCCAGAATGATTGGATATTTACTACATTTGTATCACAAAATGGTGATTTTATCTGAATGGGATACCTCTAATGAAGGATATATATAAAACAACAGGTTTATACACGTTACCTTGTTGCCACAGAGTCACTGACGGATCATAAATTATGAAAACAATCACAGGTGTTCACTTGGGGTCCTCGATGGTGCCTGTGCTAAGGTCAGTCATTTTGGGATATTTCACTTTCTTCTGATCCAGCTCGTTCTGTGCCCACAGCAGTAACTTCAGAAGCTTCGCCAGCTTCGGCGTGGACTCCCGGTTTTCATAATCCAGCACGGCTTGGTTCACCTCACTCCAAACCTGCAATTGAATGACAGTCAGTCAAACATCGCTAAGTTGAAATGAACCGGCAGATACAGAATACACTGCATGCCTTCTGCCGCTGCATCATGTTGAGCAGGTCTCCGAAAGGGGAGTCCTCTGGGTTGTCGAAAGCCAAGAGCGCGAGAGTACGCTCCATCTCTGTGAGGCATTCACGGCTCTCCTCTCCCTGCTCCGCCAGCTGCGTTTGGGCAAACTCCAGTGCAGATTCAGTTTCTCTTAGACGGATCAACTCTATCAAATGTTGCTGCTGCAGAAACAAGAACGTTGCAAACATACCAGAAATGGGTCATCATTTGTTTTTTAAAATAGTAGTGAACTGTATGGATTATAATTTTCATAAGACTGTCATAGTGGACTGTGGCCAGTACAAACACACCTGCAGATGGAAATACAAGTATCGGTTTGTGTCCAGCAGCTCTGGGTGCAGACTGTTGATGAGAGCAATGGCCTCCTGTATTTGCCCCTTTAGGATCATTTCTCTTATTTTTATCCTTTCATCTAACGAGTCCAAATCCACACTCGGCTCAATCCCAGATTCCATCCTAAACTTCTCTGCAGCCTCTTTGAAGCCCTCTGAAAACAGGAAAGAATTAACATGGGACAATGTGAAGAATAAATAAAAACATGAATAAGACGATGGTACCTGTCACCAAGTAATTCATGATGAGCCTGTTCATATCAGCCCGCTGTATGTGCACATTGTTCAGTTTGTCCATCCACTCCTCTTTTGTGATGTCCTCTGGTTTTTCAGCATAACTCATCATTAGGAGCCTGCAGACAAACGTGCAGCAGATAAACAAAAGCAAGACTGACACGGCTTGGCCATGTTTTGTATTTGCACGCACAGAAGATACAGATGTGCAAAGAACTGAAGATCAGAAGAAACTAGTCACAAGGAGCGTGTTTCACACAGACAGGACAATCATTTTAGACACATTACACATGTCACTGCAGTATTTAATGTGTCATTTAAAAAGCTGTCACCGCTTCAAAACAAATGCATGTCCTGAGCCCTGGTAGCGGCTAACACCGACTCTCACCTGCGCACAGATCCTCCAGAGCGCCTTGGGACGGGTCTGGGCCTGAACTAACAAGTGTGCACTTTAACGGGGCTTTTGTCTAAAGTGTAAATAGAAATCTGTACACAGACTATTCAACCTTATGGAGGTTAGCTAACTAGCAAAACTAGCACGGGCATCTCGCGAGAATAGGTTTGTTATGAGCTCTGTGATTGGCTGTGGGGATGACGTCACCGTTGCTGAGGAATCTCTGCTCCACTCTTGGTTTAATTCAGACACACATATGTGATGTATTATAAATGTATATATGAATTTATACAACTTTTTTGTGTATATACTGGCGTGAGTGTGTGTTTTTCGTGTGTCTGAGCGTGTGCGTGTGTGTGTGTGCGTGTGAGAGAGAGAGAAAGTGCGAGAAAGAGTCATGGAGATGTTAGATAGAATAACTTACAATTTAATTTAATAATTTCAATGATCAATGTAAGTGTAAGTATTGCGGCTCAGTTAAATTAGTGATAATATAATACATCCTTCACATGGAGTGTACACTTGTATCCACACACAAAATATAGTTCCGAGGGTGAACTCAATTCATATAACGCTTGTATTGTTTAATAAGTTATACTTTACTTTACTACTAATTTCCTTTTACTCCACAACAATCTGTGCATCGAAGCCTCCGACCAGATTCAGATTCAGTTTATTTGCCATTTGGAATACATCTGCAAAAGTGTGCATCAGACAAGTACATACAAAAATAAGCTAAAAAGTACAATAAACAATTGGCACTGCGAAACCAATTAACAAAAATACTTGTTGCAAGTGCAAAATCATTAAAGTGATCTACTCAGACTGATAACTTTTGTGACTTCTTCACACAAGTTATCAGTCTGAACAGATCACTTTAATGTTTGCATATCAAGATGTCTTGCATCTAGGCCAACGATATCTTCTACCGGAGGGAATAAGCTGGAACATGGCTTTTCCAGAGTGGCCGTAAATCATTGATTATTTTAAGAGCTCTCTTTAAGAACTCAGAAATCTGAGCACCCAGAGGAAACCTATGCAGACACAGGCAGAACATGCATACTCCACAAAGACCTGGAGGTGGAGCACAAGCACTTATGATAATAATAACAATGATAATAATTACAATAATGATAATCAATCAAGTTAATTATAGTTAATAATCACACTTAAAGATATTTTATTGGGAGACAAATAACAAACTATATTAAAAGGCAAGACCTTGTATGGCACAATGCATACACACAAGGCAACTCAAGAAACAGCTCAAGGGACAGGAGTGGATAATTAGCATTAGCTACACACTCTGCATGTGTCGCATCAGTTGCAACTTTCCTGCTGTAACTATGACTATATTGTCCCTGTCAAATAAATACATAAATAAACAAACACAAGGCATTAAAAGCATAAATTATCCCAGTACATTAAAACAAGTGAAGATACAATCCTTCAGTTGAATGCACAGCTAAACAGAACTGTTCTAACTTGGATTTGAACATTGCCAGAGTAGAAGCCTGTCTCACATTTTCAGGATGACTGTTCCAGATTTTTTGCTGCATAAATCTGAAACACTGCCTCACCATGTTCAGTCCTGACTCCAGGCACCAGCAGGAGGTCAGTTCGTAGGTTCACATGGCTCAAACATGTCACAGATTACTTTAGTGCGAGGCCATAGATCCATGGTACAGAGGCAGAGCTGATTTATCTTCCTAAACAACATAAACAAGATATTTTCTTTTTATAAATAAATTAATCTTCTCAAAGCAGGAGAGAGCATCACCACACTTGCCACATTCACCTGAAAAAACAAACACACTAATTGCGTACTGGTCTCACAGAATCCCGGCAGCGTCAGGAGCGCGCACGCTGGTTCTCGGGGGCGCGCACTGCCTCTCACTGCAGCAGCTGTCCATGGTAGAGTAGAGGCTCCGTGCGCGATGCGGCCATAGTCACGCTTCTCTGTCACACACACACACGCAGAGCTGCTGGGATCTTTACTTCATACGTGACGGAGTAAAGGTGAGCCCCCTTGCGCTTTCATTTGCACCATTTTATTGCGCAAAAACACGAACCGCTGTCCTTGAGAATCACGGCTGACGCCCCTTGTAGTGTGTGACATCCATCGCAGGCCATGGACCAAACCAACATGGATGCTGCGAGCGAGATACGCTGATGAGGCTGCTGCTGATGCTGATGATCGCTGAGATTACTATTGTCGCTTGTCTTGTTCAATCCTGTATTCTGACGTTGATATAAAATAATCCATTCACGTAGATGTCAAAGCATGCAATTGAGCTATGGATTGACTCGGCTTCACTAAATCGTAGGCTATCGTTTGTCCATAGTGACAGCCCTAATGAAATATGTCAATAAGGGTTTTTTCCCTCCACTAAAGCAGTCGACATGTGTAGACGTTCTTTTCTTTTTCCAATAGTTCTCATAGTCAATATACAAGATTAGACTATTTAGCACAATCACAACCCACAACCCAACCCAAGTAGGCCTGTGCAACTTGAAGACAGCCTTGCACAATAGTACATCGCAGTGTGTTTGATTGTACGTGCAAGTCGAGGCTAGATTATTTTGTATAGCACAGTTCATACACAAGGCAACTTAAAGTGCTTAACAAAAATAAACATTACACAAGACATTAAAATCACAGTGCAATAAAAACACACAATCCTTCAGATGTATGCTCAGCTAAACAAAACTGTTTTTAACCTGGATTTGAATGTCGTCAGAGATGCCTGTCTCACATTTTCAGGAGTGTTCCAGATTTTAGCTGCATCAATCTGAAATGCTGCTTCCCCATGTTTAGTCCTGACTCTGGGCACCAGCAGGAGGACAGTCCCTGTGCTCCTTAGAGTCACAGATGTACTTTGGTGCGAGACCATGGAGAGACTTATACACGAGTAGAGCTCTGAGCCACGGGAAGAAAGTGCAGAGACCTGAGAACTAGACTAATAAGTTTGTACCTCAAGGGTCTAGCCAGGACTTGAGCTTCAGCTTTTTAATTATACTTTGCATATGTTGAACCATTTTAACATGTGCAAAGCAATGATTAGGCCAATTCTCTCTACCCAAATAACCACAGGCTTGAAAACAGCCTTTCATGTTTTTCCATATTTCCCCTGGACAAACTAAGTGAACACACGTGCCCTATTCCCTATACCATTCAGCCAGAGCATATATTTTGACCTATTGTTTCAGAAGCGTGCCTTCACTGACCTACCACCCTTCCTCCGTCTCCAACTGTTGCATAACCTGTCCATCACTGTGTTGCTGTGCTCAGTTTGGGTGAGACATCATGGCTGCCGACCACCACCAGAGACAGCGGTCGCTCTCCACGGCCGGAGAGTCTCTGTACGTGGTTCTCGGAGTAGAGAAGGTGGCCACGAATGACGACATCAAGAAATCCTACAGGTATAGTGCCTCTCAACAAGTGCATATGATCGGTGTAGAGATTGTATTTTATTGTAGTATAGTTATTGTTGATTTATCTTGTGCTGGTGCTCTTCATTTCTAGTGGTTTAAATGATACATGATAGTTTTACACCAATGAAGCCCCAGTTTGTGAAGGAAAAAATGGAAAAGAGAAGTAGAGGGAAGAACATCTGAATTTGATATAAAACGTAGTATAACGTGTAATCTGCAATAATATTAATTTTCAATAAATAACATGTAATCAATTACTCAATACATATATGATCTTATAATGAAACTAGGGAAATTACAATTGTGATGCACATTCGAGCTGGTTAGGACCAAGATAGATGGTTGCTTGGTAACATCTCCTACATAACGTCACCATCACCAACCAGGAAGTAAAATTGTTCATCGCAAATAATAACTGGTGTAACATTTCAAACATGTCACTAAATGATTCATCCTTGTGCTTTCTAAAACTGTATTTAAGTAAAAGTGTTTTTGTGTTTTTCTCTGTAGGAAACTGGCCTTAAAGTATCACCCTGACAAAAACCCTGACAATCCAGAAGCAGTGGACAAATTCAAAGAGATCAACAATGCCCACGCGATTCTCAACGACCCGACCAAACGGAACATTTACGACAAATACGGCTCGCTCGGTCTTTATGTGGCTGAGCAGTTTGGAGAAGAAAACGTCAACACATACTTTGTCCTGTCCAGCTGGTGGGCAAAGGTAAGTCTTATGATATAGGAATATGAGAAAAATCAGGGCAGTTTAAGTCAGGGTACAAATACATTCTGACAATCACTAAAGAAGGCAATAAATGTGGCACATGTTTTAATTTATGTGTGTTTCATAATTGAAAAGACGCATAGATCTACTACATATTGTGAGCTGCACACCATCTCTGTAAACGATAGCAGGCAACTTTTAATGGACAAATGATAGTTTATTTTATCATTGATTATTATTCTTAGAGCAGTTGTGTCCAAGCCTTCTCAGTGGAAGAAAACACTTTCATTCACTTCGTACACAGTGGTGATTAACTACTACTGTCGCCACAGCACACTGACAGAAGCGAGACAATCAGTGCCACTGGCCCCTTCGACCACCACCAACTATTCACGCACACAACAGACTCATTAGTGGCAATGTTGGCAACAGTTTGGCACTTAACAGCCGCAGCCGCCCCACTGTGGCACCTGGTGTTCAGTCGGCAATCTCACTTTCAAATTAGTTTTAGACTAATAAGTCCTTTAGTGACTGGTTTAGTTTTAGGTGTCTGAGTAAGATGGTTAAGGGTGGGTTTGGGGTTATTCTATGGCAATGGCTGGTCAAGTTTAGGCATGGATCCAATAGTTTGGGTAGTTGGCTATATTCACTTCCGCTTCCGTCCCGATTCGGTGTATGATCTAGTGTTCCCAGAGGTCTCCCATCACAGTAGAAACCAGACCCTGTCCTGCTTAGCTTCAGAGATCTAACAGAATGCTGTTGGTGCTACATTTTTAAAATCCAATGAAACTATCCCTTATAGACTCCTTTGGCCCCACTGACCTATGAATATTGATTTATTCTGCTCAGCTTTTGACACATAATCTTAACTTAATCCTTTTTTTGTCTTTTTTTTTATATCAATAAAGGCTACTCAAGACTGATATAAAATATTAAAACAAAGGCCACACACAAAAATGGTTCAACGCTTTTTCAGAACGGTCTTTGTGGTTGAATGTGCGCAGGCTCTGTTCGTGCTGTGCGGAGTGGCCACAGGCTGCTACTTCTGCTGCTGTCTGTGCTGCTGCTGCAATTGCTGCTGCGGGAAGTGTAAACCGCGGCCCAGAGAGGCTCCGGACCAGGAGTTCTACATGAGTCCTGAAGACCTGGAGGCGCAGCTGCAGTCTGATGAGAGAGGTGAGAAGACCGTCCTGAACCACCGCACCAGATGGCTGATTTAGAAAGAGGGTCGCTGGTTTGTGGAAGACCTGAGCGCTCACAGAACAGGCAAAAAAGATAAAGAGGCTCACGTAGTAAAGCTTTTTGTGCTCGTGTGTTGCCACAGGTGAAGTGTTGTTGATAAAGCTGGAAAAATCTTGAAAAAATATATTGAACCACCTCACTCCAGCCACTTTAGTTTTAGTAACTTTGTTCTGATTCATGAACCAAGTACCTCTTTCCTGTCATCAGTTGGTTGAAACCACAAATATTATTATCACTTGATAACTTCGGGGGTGATTTTTAAAAATACACCAGGCTTCTGCAACCATATTACCAGCACAGGATGTTTAAGAAGTGAAATGTGAGACCTTTATAACAGCGGTCCCCACCAAGGACCAGGGAGGAAGTATTTTCTAGTAGCTTTTATGGTGTTCTTTAAAATCTAATTTCCAGGTGTAACAAGCATAACATAATTAGCAAACACCCCTCAAAATGATATTACAAATACTGTTTATCCACAGCCTACGAGTTTCAATGTTTTTTTTAGTTTGTTTATTACAACATTAACATTTTACCGCTACTAATGATCTCTGACTTAAAAAGGAAGCAAAGACTCGTTATATAAGGTAAGGCACACTTTATTTATCTCCGTACAGCTCTGGTGGTTTTGATTTCAGCACTGGTGGTCAATGCTGGTTGTCTTGGACCTGGACCCGACCCCGATGGTCTCGGACCTGGTCTCGGCCCAGGTTGTCTCGGCTCTGGTCTCGGCTCTGGTCTCGGCTCTGGTCTCGGCTCTGGTCTCGGCCCTGGTCTCGGCCCCAATGGTGTAGATACTGGTCTCGACCCCAGTGGTCTCGATCCTGATATTGTTCCTGATCTCGGTCCTGGTCTCCGCCCCGTTGGTACCGGCTCCGGTGATCTCGGACCTGGTTTCGGTCCTGGTTTCGGTCCTGGTCTCGGCCCTGGTCTCGGTCCTGGTTTCGGTCCTGGTCTCGGTCCTGGTGGTCTCCACGCTGGTTGTCACGGCCCTGGTCCCAGCTCTCATTGCTGTGCCGGCCCTGGTCCAGACCCCAGCCCTGGTCTCGGCTCTCATCGCCCTGGTCCTGGCTCTCAGCGCCGTCGCTGTCCTGGTCCTGGCTCTCATCGCCGTCGCTGTCCTGGTCCCGGCTCTCATCGCCCTGGTCCTGGCGCTCGTCTCCTTGTCGTTCCCGTGGCTGGTCTCTGCTCCCAATGTGCTCTTGTCCTGAGGCAAGCTTATTTGCAGTAGGAGTTTAACAGGAACACAATGCTTACTTTAATGTGTATCACACATTATATATCCTCAAATCAGACCAAACTCCGCCTTCTTTGGTCTCAGGCGCCTCGCGCAGTCCCGGTCCTGGCTCTCGACGGCGTCTTGGTGCTGGCTCTCATCGCCGTAACTGCCCGGTGCCGGTCGGCGCCCTGGCCCTGGCTCTCGTTGCTGTGTCTTTCTCGTGCTGGCCCCTGCAGGCCCCCATTACGCGCCCAATGCCTTGCCGGCGCTGGTCCTGACTCTTATTGCAGTGTTAGCATTGGTCCTGGTCTTTGCTCTTGTCTCTGTGCGTTTTCTGGACCTGGCGGCCGTCTTCGTGTCATTTCTGTGCTAGGCACCCATTGCGCTCGCAACGCGCGTTGCTGCTGGCTCTCATCACCCTGGTCCTGGCCCCAGCCCTCGCTCTCACTCTCATCGCCGTGCTGATCTCTAGATACCGTGCCAGGGCTGGTCCCGGCTGTTGTTGCAGTGCTAGCCCTGGTCTTCATTGCCGTTCCAGCCTTGGTCCTGGTCTTTTCTCTCGTCGCAGTGCCGCTCCTGGACCCAGTTCTGGCGCGCGTCCCTGTGTTGTTCTCCTGAGGCAAGCTAATGTGCAGTAGGAGCTGGGTATGAGACTGAACCTGCACCGGCATGTTCCAAACCAGTTCTGGCACCTCTGCACATGTTGGAGATCACTCTCAAAACCACTGCATGCAAGCTTACGCATTGCTTAGAGTGTCCCAACAGAACACGTGACCAAGACAATTTAAATAGGGTGTCTTTGGTTTAGCGTCCTCGGTTATGGTTGGTAAAAATAAATAAAATGGCCTATTATTCATTTGGTCTAAATCATCTATTCAAAATGTTGCTTGAGTATTTTGCATTAGGCCAACTTGCTTCTTATTTACTCACAAAATGAATCTTCAAATGATAGGATCATTTATATTTTGCTCTGCAGTGCATTCTGGGTAGCTGCTTTGGTTTACCTCACATACGTCACTTCCTCCTTCTCCTCCTTCTCTGGTTTCAGCTCTGAGCTCAGCTTTGATCTCTGCTCTCGTCTAGGCAAGGCAAGGCAAGGCAAGTTTATTTGTATAGCACAATTCATACACAAGGCAATTCAAAGTGCTGAACAGAACAAGACAGCATTAAAATCATAAATAATCACAGTACATTAAAAAAAGATAAAAATATAAAATTCCTCAGTTGTATGCACAGCTAAACAGAACCGTCTTTAACCTGGTTTTAAACATTGTCAGAGAGGAGGCCTGTCTCACATCTTCAGGAAGACTGTTCCAGATTTTAGCAGCATGAATCTGAAAAGCAGCCTCCCCATGTTTAGTTCTGACTCTGGGCACTAACAGGAGTCCAGTCCCTGTGCTCCTCAGAGTCCGGGCTGGTTCATATGGGACTAACATGTCACTAATATAGTTTGGTGCGAGGCCATGGAGAGACTTGTACACAAGCAGAGCTGTTTTAAAGTCTATTCTCTGAGCCACAGGAAGCCAGTGCAGAGACCTGAGGACCGGACTAATATGGTCGTACTTCCTGGTTCTAGTCAGGACTCGAGCTGCTGCATTTTGAATGTACTGCAGCTGTTTTACAGCCTGTTTGGACAGACCTGTGAGCAGGCCATTGCAGTAGTCTAACCTACTGGAGACAAATGCATGGATAAGAATCTCCAGGTCTGCTTTAGACACTATGTTTTTGATCCTGGCAATGTTTTTTAGATGGTAAAAATCGCTTGGTCTCTGGTTTGGTCTCTGGTCTCGGCCATGCTGCTCTCAGCCATGATGGTCTCGGCCCTGGTGGTCTCAATGCTGATGGTCTCAACGCTGGTGATCTCGGCCCTGGGGGTCTCGGCCATGGTGGTCTTGGTGGTCTTGACCCCGGTGGTCTCAACGCTGGTGGTCTCGGCCATAGTGGTCTTGGTGGTCTTGACCCCGGTGGTCTCAAAGCTGGTGGTCTCGGCCATGGTGGTCTTGGCCCCAGTGGTCTCTGCCCTGGGCGTCTCAACACTGGTGGTCTCGGCCATGGTGGTCTTGGTGGTCTCAACGCCGGTGGTCTCGGCCCCGGTGGTCTCAATGCTGATGGTCTCAACGCTGGTGATCTCGGGCCCGGTGGTCTTGGCCCTGGTGGTCTCGGCCCTGGGCGTCTCAACGCTGTGGTCTCGGCCATGGTGGTCTCGGGCATGGTGGTCTCAACGCCGGTGGTCTCGGCCCTGGTGGTCTCGGCCCTGGTGGTCTCCGCCATGGTGGTCTTGGTGGTCTTGACCCCGGTGGTCTCAACGCTGGTGGTCTCGGCCATGGTGGTCTTGGTGGTCTTGACCCTGGTGGTCTCAAAGCTGGTGGTCTCGGCCATGGTGGTCTCGGCCATGGTGGTCTTGGTGGTCTTGACCCCGGTGGTCTCTACGCTGGTGGTCTCGGCCATGGTGGTCTTGGCCCCAGTGGTCTCTGCCCTGGGCGTCTCAACGCTGTGTTCTCGGTCTTGGTGGTCTCAACGCCGGTGGTCTCGGCCCCGGTGGTCTCAATGCTGATGGTCTCAACGCTGGTGATCTCGGCCCCGGTGGTCTTGGCCCTGGTGGTCTTGGCCCTGGTGGTCTCGGCCCTGGGCGTCTCAACGCTGTGGTCTCGGCCATGGTGGTCTCAGCCATGGTGGTCTTGGTGGTCTTGACCCCGGTGGTCTCAATGCTGGTGGTCTCAGACATGGTGGTCTTGGTGGTCTTGACCCCGGTGGTCTCAAAGCTGGTGGTCTCGGCCATGGTGGTCTTGGTGGTCTCGGCCATGGTGGTCTTGGTGGTCTCGGCCCCGGTGGTCTCAGCCATGGTGGTCTTGGCGGGCCCCGGTGGTCTCGGCGGGCCCCGGTGATCTTAGCCATGGTGGTCTCGGCCCTGGTGGTCTCAGCCATGGTGGTCTTGGTGGTCTTGACCCCGGTGGTCTCGGCCATGGTGGTCTCAACGCTGGTGGTCTCGGCCATGGTGGTCTTGGCCCCAGTGGTCTCTGCCCTGGGCGTCTCAACACTGGTGGTCTCGGCCATGGTGGTCTTGGTGGTCTCAACGCCGGTGGTCTCGGCCCCGGTGGTCTCGGCCTCGGTGGTCTCGGCCCTGGTGGTCTTGGCCCCGGTGGTCTCAGCCATGGTGGTCTTGGTGGTCTTGACCCCGGTGGTCTCAACGCTGGTTGTCTCGGCCATGGTGGTCTTGGCCCCAGTGGTCTTGGCCCCAGTGGTTGGTGGTCTTGGTGGTCTCAACGCCGGTGGTCTCGGCCACGGTGGTCTCGGTGTTCTCGGCCCTGGTGGTCTCGGCCTCGGTGTTCTCGGCCCTGGTGGTCTCGGCCCCAGTGGTCTCGGCCCTGGTGATTTGTGAGCTCACCATTTCACCATATGTTGACCTCATTTATACATTTATCTTATCTCAGTCTGAAATTACAACTGGTTTAGATTTGACTCTATGACTATGCCATTAAACATATTGATGAAGACATTTCCGTACAGCTCAAAGGACATACTTTATAGTCACTTTACCACACGTTGCTTCCTCCTTTGGGTTAGTCCTCATTCCTGATGTTTGTTTTAAGATGGAGCTTCGCGAAGGTTCACTCTGGTAGACTGATTGCCAAAGCTATCCCCTCCAAGCCTGCCTCTCATCCTCGGCCTATCGCACAGCAAACGCCCATTCCCAGCCAACCTATGCAGGCCAGGCAAGCAGCTTAAAAGCGGAGACTCCCACTTCACGGCCTTCTCAAGCCTCGCAAACCACCGCCTCCCCTCCTCCGCCTCTCTCTCCTTGCTCGAGCGTGCGCTCTTTCCTGCTGCCCTAATGCCACCACCAGTTCTTGGCCTCGGGGGGATCGGGCGCGCACTCAGCAGGAGCCTCGCTGGCCCTAATTGCTGCATGGGGGCCTAGGACGCCAAACTACCTATCAATAAAAACATTCAAACTGCATTTTGTCTTCTGAGTCTCTCCAGATTGAACTTAAATGTGATGGTTTTTTTCTGAGCTATAGTGATACTGGAGCTCCTTTTACATCTGTGACGGGCGTATGTATGGGCCAACTCGGACTCTGCAGGGACTACCCTCCAGCTGGGATTCTGAGGAGCACGGGGCCTTTTGGGATTTTAATTTTCTCTTGTTATCTTGTTTTGTTTAGTATATTAAATTCCCATGTGTATGAACCAACAGGGGCAGGTACTGGCACAAAACGGTCTCCTTGCCGCTGGTGGCGTATCTAAAAACACAATTACTCAAGGAATTCGGCCAGAAAACGGCTTTACAGCCTGGTCCAAAAGTCGGCTCTTGGCCCAACGCTACGTTCCAGATGCGTGTCAATGCTGAGGGGGTAGTACTTTTTGGACCAGCTGAGTTTAGCCGCTGTGGACTTTTGAATGCACTCGTTAAATGAATGTGGTAAACTAAAACGAAATGCGGGTTACAAATGGCATGTGTGCTGGCTAACACATGCGGTTTTTTTCACATTTTCCTGCGGGAGGGGCTCCTCGCTGATCTTTTCAATCTGCCCATGTTGGTCACACATACATTTCAACGGAGGAAATAGGCGTCACTATGTCCGTTAATATTTACAGTCTATGGTATGAACTGTGCTATACAAATACATTTGCCTTGCCTGATAATAAATGCTGTTGTGTATGTTTAAACAGAGGCCGGCGGGGACCCCATAATGCTGCAGCCCTCAGCGACAGAAACTACGCAGCTCACATCGGACGGCCACTACTCTTACCACACCGACACCGGCTTCAACTAACCCACTGTCCCCTCGACAACCTCCACCCTGGCCCTGCCTGTGTCCCTGCTGTCTCCCGGTCAGAGGCAACGCATTCTACACGTCACAAAGAAAGCCATACGGAAGAGGGAACAAGACCGCAGCATGGCTTAAAAAACACAAACTCTCGCAGACATCTCCTTCACCTGCGCAACACACACGATTGGTCATTTTTCATACAATTCAAACGGCAAAAACAACAACATTAATTCACATGTTGCGTCAGGTAGTAGCATGCACTCCCGGTTTATCAGAAAGTCATTACATTACTATGGCAACGACTCACTTTGCAAATGTGTTTTAAACAGATTGATATAACGGAGAGTTGATGTGAAACAGGGATGTCAAACTGGTTCCAGAAAGGGCCGGTGTGACTGCAGGTTTTCATTCCAACCAAGCAGGAGCCCACTAGACTCCATCCATTCCCCCTGGACTCACTTGAGGAAATGGGTAGAGTCTGGTGTGCTCCTGGTTGGTTGGAATGAAAACCTGCAGCCACACCGGCCCCCTGAGGACCGGTTTGACAGCGCTGATATAAAGAATAGATTTATTATAGAAAGCTGTGGCTCAGGGAGGTGCCACATCATAAAATATGTGTGTCTGTAGTGAGTTTGTGACACCAGCTGTCTTCTCGTCATATGAAATGGACTCATATCGATATCCCAGTTTGTTCAGTGGATTTCAAGTGTTTTATGGTGTGATTGCAAACAGAAACTATGAACTGTATCAGCGTTAAGCCAAGGAGCACGATTCATGTAGTTCTTTCTAGAAAAAAAATCTTGATAATCTTGAGTGGAAAACCTCGGTATATTTTGTCGCAGCCCAAAGAGACGGGTTGTTGTGTTTAATGCAGTGCCCTCACAGCAAAAAATGGCAAAAGATAAGTCAAAAATAGCTTGAATTAGGCTAAATGTATCTTAATTTTACTATATTTGTAATGTTTGAAAATGGGGAGAAAAAACATTTATTGTTTCAACGAAGACAAAAGACTGAAGTAGGCCATCAAAACATGTCGAGGTAAAAACATCACTCTCGAGAAGAACCAACCAGAGACAAGACAATCCAAAAATATTCTCCATTGGCTCGAGAAATAAACTGCTTTTGAAATAAGCCTATATAACATATTCTATTTGCTACCCTTGTTTTAGGACGGTCAAAATATTCTCAATTCAAGATTTAAAAAAAGCAAATCTAACTCAAGCATTTATTGGCTTATGCTTTTGCGATTTTTAAGTGCTTTCCCTTGTCATATGTAAGAGTGTGTATTCTTTTTGAAGGCATATCATTTGAGCCAGTACTACAGGCAGCTCGGGGCGTTTTTTCATACTTCGCAATGTCTATTTCCCGTCACGCAGACGCCGGTTGCCATGTGTACATCTCTCCTACTCTTCCATAGATGCTAAGGATGTGTTTGAACTGTTTACAAACGGGGGAGCTCCTGTCGCCCACCCTATGCTATTAACAGTGTGGATGTTGACCCCCCGTGGTATGTGTCCTGTGATCCTACAACCAAACATAGATGTATCCGTCACGGCTTTTTCATTGAGATTCTGAAAAACGCTACTGTAAATGTTCTTAGTTGAATGCACTGTGTGTTTAAAAAAAAATCTATAATGGATCAATGATCGGGAAGTAACTCCATATATAGTGTAATTATAGTGAAATGGTTATACAGTATGATGCATTTTTAAAATTTATTTTATATACATACGTGGCCAAGATTCAGATTGGGGTTGGCCGACGTTTCCCCCGGGGTTGTAAGACCTCTGAAGTGAGCAGGAATGATTTCATCGTTAATAAGGTTGCTTGTACATAAACTGAATTTACCCATATAAGAGAAAAACCTTACAGGTTTATGTTGTAGCATGGTACTCGTGTGTCTGGATGAAAACAAGTGTTGATCTGATTTGCTGTTGTTGAATAAATGTTCTTGAGCATTTGAAGATCACTCCGTGCTTTTTATTATTATTAATATTATTCCAGAAGTCCACATGGAGTCCAACACCCGACATAAAATAGAATCAAGATAAATGATAGACAAGAAAAGACATTGCAGTAATTAGGTCTTTGAAGCCTCATGTGAAGAGGTCATATGTAAAACAATAATAATAATAATAATAAGAAATCTCTTTTTGGAAAATGTGTCCAAAACGTATATTCCTCTGGCTACAATCTTCAACATGTTTTGTTATTTGCAGTGAAAGGATTTGCTCAAGAAGGGGTGAGACTTTAGTAATATGGTACTAAAATATATGACTTGGTAAAGGGGCAAATTGAAAGCTTTTCAAATTTTTGGCACTTGAACTATTCAAATATAGACAATAAATGGTAGCATTCTAATAGCAATATATTAATATAAATAGTATGTTATTTATACTTACTTATTTAGGGAAACGCTCTATGAGAGTGCCAGACTCTCTTTCAATGAATGCCCTGTTTAACCTGTAAACATACAAAGATACAAAACACACAAACAAAAGTATAATAATAAGAGACATTTTAAAAACATATGTTCTGAAATCCTAAAACCAATTTTTTAAAAGTAAGAAGAAAAAAAAGAATCTTGTAAGTAATAATATTTTTGGGATGCAAAAGTTTCAGTTGAACACATACGTCAAATAAAAAAACAAGTGTGTTTAAAAATAAAAGTGAGGCATAGTTGCTCTCTTTGAATGGACAGAGAAAGCCAACCTGCTCCTTTTCTGTAAGGCCAAACACTATTTGATGGACAGAAACAATAAGGGTTCAAAACTCCTATTCCTACCAGCAGATGGAGACAACGGCCACGAAGCCAGACTCCGGGAGTTCAGTAAGCATTTAAATTGATGTCACAAGAAGCCAGGTTTGGGAGACTCGTATGCAGGACTAGGAATTGGAGGTATTAGGTACAACATGCATCAAAGCTCATTTTGCAAGATACTTATATTTATATTTATTACGATGTGGTTGTGTGTATGTGTGCGTACCTGTATGTGTGTGCGTGTCTATGTCTGTGTGTATACGCGTGTGTACGTGTGCGTGTGCATGTAAACAGAGCAGCTCGGATAATAGCCTCATTGATCCTGCGGTCTCCTCATTCACTCCTGATTGGATGGACACTTTAAGCTAAACTCCCATCTCAAAACACGTTTCGGTGAATGTGGCAGCTATGAGTCGACAAGGTAAGTGCATACACATCGAATTTTGTTTACAATGTACTGTATCTGACCGGCTACGAACACGAATATTCACAGAGCGCCGTTTTAATAACCGCGTGTGCAACAGGTAGCGTGCGTTAGCTTTAGCCGATTAGCTTAAGTGGAGAATCAGCACCTCGGACAGCTCCTCACAAAACGCATTCATGTCCCCCACAAGTGTCCGGTCAGAATTAATTTGTAAACCTTGAAAAAAGCCTGTATTTAGAATGTATTGTTGTATGTTGGTGCAATATTACACAGTTCAGAGTTTCTAATGTTGATATATGTCAATTTGATAAGGTTTTCCTGGGACTTCATCCATGAATTTCTCAACCAGAGGAACAGAAAATGGATGTCCACAACCGGAGTTAACAGAAGAGGACAAAGAGAACCTTCAGACTGAGCTTGGGAAGGTAAAAAGTGGCTGGCATGAAAAGCAGCACGGGTTTATAGTGTTGTGTGTTCATTGTTGCATGATGTGTGTGTTGCAAAGGTGGAGGATGAAATTCAAACTTTGCGACAAGTGCTTCTGGCAAAAGAAAAATATGCAGCTGATATCAGAAGGCAGCTTGGTATGACCCCAATGGCCAACATCAAACAGACTATATCAAAAGGTTGGCAGGACGTCCAGACCTCCTCTCCGTGAGTAGACAATACCAATAAACATATTTTTGAATATTGTATCGTAAGTGCATACAATTCTAGCACTGCTTCTAGTGCTGCTAGCAAGCAAATGTTATTGTCTTTCAAATGCTATATAACAAAAGCTAAATTACAGATTTACACACATTTACTATAGACCTACTGCTCTACTTCAACCAGTTCTGTTACTGGTATGCATTGGTTTTACATTCATATTACATCAACAATGGTGGATCTATAGCCACAGCTGCCCTGTCTATATGCAACCATCCCTCACTGACACACTAGACTCATACTAGGCAAGGAGATGTTGCCTGATGATCCAACAACAGCACTAATCGTTAAAACAAACATTCCAGCTATGCATTGTCTTAGCATCATCCAGTTACATAAGAGCACTGGACACGGACAGTGGCAGCCATGTTGTTCTGTAAGACTGTATAATCTTTTGAGAGAGTTGCCCTGTGTTTTCAGATATCTCACAGCTTCTGCCACACTTGACGACATCAGCCACTCCAATGTGTAAGTGTTACTCATCCCACATCCTCCATGTGTCCGCGTTTACGTCCGGCACAGTGCGCATTGGCCGCAATATGTTCCCATGTTGTGGAGGGATTTCGTCTAAGAAATAAGTGATGGGATTGAGAGGGTCAAATAGGATTGGTGACACGTTAATAGCCTCCTGGCCTGACTTAGCAGAGGCTTTAGCAGCAGTGGTTTGCATCTCAGTGAGCCAGGTGTGCAGTGCCAGTGACGCAAATAAGCCAATTGTTTATAATTCAATTGCTTGTGGATTAAAAGTATACGCTGTGATGTTGGCCTATTTGTATCTGCAGCTATTTGAGGACCAAAGAGAGTTTCACTTACGCAGGGCACGTCACATCCTCCGCCCTGTCCAGTGCGGGCGAGGCCTTCACCCGGCGAATGGCCGAGATGAGGTACAACAACCACAATCTCATTCTATGCATTAGCAGGAACTGTAAATGCTAATGTTATGTTTGTATCCTGAAAATACAGGGCTCTTCCTCTTCCGAGTCCGCCACGGTAAGATCTTTAATTTCTTAAAGCTGGAGTACCTAACTTTGAAACCACAATTAAAGAACTATATGTAAAACAATCTATGTAATCAAAAGTGCTTTGGTGCTATCACTAGTTTTCAAGTTATTCTGTGAAAAAGAGAGAAGCCTAGCATCCCTCTCTCAGCCAACCAGCTTTCAGTATGTCACAGATAAAATGTTGGTCTTATTTGTTTACAAAATGTTACTGTAACAACAATCTTTCTGTTGGGGCAATTAAAATGTATTTATGAAACAAAATTATAGGTTATCCAGCTTTAAACACAAAATTCCAGCATAAACAGTAATACTTTGTAATATTGAATAATTTTTTCCACTTCTTGTGCCACTCTGGACAGACACAACATAAGCATGCCTGCCATGAGGTATGGAAACTTGCCAAATATAATCGCCTGTGTTTTTGCTTGACCTATTTGTTATGATTACGCTTTCTCTGACCACAGGAGTTCCCCTTCTTTCAAGTCATTTGAAGACATGGTGGGAAATGTTAAAGTGAGCCATAAATTAACAAAATTAGCTATTATGAATGATTATGAATCAGTTCATTTATAAAGGTTTTCATTTTAGGGCAAAGTGTCTGGATCAAAAGCTGCAAATGGAGACCCTTCAGGATATGCCCGAAGAGTGGCGCGACAATGCCCATAAGACCTTTTCCGCTCATGCATAGATAACAAATAGTTTTCTGCTGTACCTTATGTGTTTTGTTGTATCGACCTAGACTGTGTTTCATTGACACTGGCTCACACTCAAAACAAGGATTTCTGAACATTAACAAATTGGTTCTGAACTGTTGGGCAGATTTGCAGGGGAAAACCATGTACATTTTTACATGCAGTGTATGTACCTGGTGCCCCATTGTGCATGTAACACAGGGACATCGCACATTTTTTAAGTGTAAATGCTAAAATGAACAATCTGAATGATCCTATTTTCTATGATTTTGTAAAACAATGTATTCAGTTGAAAATGATGTAACTTTGTTGATTAAGTGCAGCTAAGATCACCAACTTCTTTTTAGATAAAGACACAGTGTGAATAGGACAGGGCATTCATTGACCTAATTGTACAATTCAATACTAGACTTATTTTACTAGTTTTTGTACAAAACGTTTTTTTCAATTAAAGTCTTTGAATGATACAAATTAATTGACTGAACGCTTTTGAGATTCGTGTCAATGACATAAAGTATCCAGCAGATGGCACAGTTTAAAAAGCAAGTTCCCTGACCGGGAATCGAACCCGGGCCGCGGCGGTGAGAGCGCCGAATCCTAACCACTAGACCACCAGGGAAACTGAGAGCGGTCCTATCACTGTATAGATTTAAACGAAAACAGTAGATTCATAGATACATTTTCAATTGTTAGGGATATTTTATGATACTTAATTTGCATTTATGTTGAAATTAAGTTTACCAAGACATCATTGAACGCTGTGACACTCTAAATGCGACAGCGCTGTTGAGAACCAACAACAAACCATGTCTTGGGCTAGGTCATGATCACAGACCGTCACATATTTTGTCATATTCTTCTTACAAATGACTAAATACTTTAGATCATGGTAAAATGTCACCGCGTAATCGCATACAGCCTGTGCGTAACGTAAGTTGAACCGTCTGAAGGCAATAATGAACAGCAGGCCACACGGCATCACAGCTCAGTAAATTCCCACTGCCAAAACACCAATCTAAAGTGCGCAGGCAGATTCTGGGAATAGCTGAGGTGTCATTGTCCAGATGGTCCAGTTTCACCTAGCTGCGGTCGGTCATTGCAGTGGGCGTCTGACCAAAGAGAACACGGGCACGTTTGGTGTCCGCGCGCCAGCTGCCCCGCCCACCGCGGAACAGGGGCGTGTCCTTGTCCCGCGGTCAGCCTATAAAAGCCTTCGTCTGTGACATTGCAGTCAGAACAGTAGTACAGACCTACAGCGGTCCCGTAAACTGATCCACCAATGGGCCATAGTCACAACTAGTCCTCCACAAACCATCCGCAAACCATCCGCACCTTCAACCAGCGACTGGTGCCTCCGTCTGCATCCCATCACTACGGTAAGGAAACATTCATAAAGCGTTGTTCTTTTTATTCAATTTACTCTTGCATAGACCTAAATCACAACAGTAGATATCTCGGAGGATTTAACCGTTAAAAACAGTCATTTTCCATATATAATGTTGAATGTCTTGGATCATCGCCACTGTCCTTCTAGTTGTTTATATGTTTATATGTAGACCTGACTAAACATCCCACTCTCCTTGTGATACTATGTGTGTAAATGCTCATCTATACTAGACTTAACACAATAACTACGTCTTCTTACTATTACGTGCCTGGCTTGTTCACTCAGTTTCCAGTGTTTTTGTGTTTGCACCAACACAAACATAGGCTACTTTGTCAGGACATCCCTCAAAATCCTTAAATCCATCTGCTGTGCTCACCTGCTCCTAAGCTGAACTGCTTTGAGCTGGTTCACAGGCAGCAACTTGTTTTTCCAGGTCATTTAAGCTGCTGTTTAATTACCACACATTCAAACCAATAGAAAAAATGCATTTACCTGTTTTGATGTAGTATAGACTAGGCTGAATATGCCCTTTATTAGCCAACTTGGATTCATAATAACATAACTATTTACATTCTCACAACCACAATCTCAGTAATCATTCAAACCAGATGTAGTCCTTGCCTTTGATAATCATTCTAATATACTGCATATAGATTTTGGGATGTGCACCGTTTGCTACCATGACTCCCGGTCTTCTAAAAGGGGACACTGGCACAAGTCCATGACCAGCCACGCAGTCAGCTCGTGGGCATAGATAGACCATGGCTGTGCATGCACGCTGCCCCACTTACCCCTCTCACCCCTCGCACGCCTCACTCACTGGTCATTTGAGATGGGGGAAATCCATATTGTAAAAGCAGCTGCTCTGATTTTAGCACCAAAGACGCAACGGTAGCAGTGTGGCCTAAATGGTGGTGTCAGGTTTTGCGTTGGCAAGTGGATTGAGGTTAATATGTGCAGGCTGAAGGCTTGCAAAGAGAAACCACTTTGGAAATTAGGCAGTGTATCGCAGTAGTCTTTAATATTGCCTATAATATTGACTTTTTTTCTTCTCACAGGTTACCATTTCCCATCTTTGAGCGGTGTACTATACAAGGTCGGAGAGAAATGGCAGCAATTCCATCAGGTGGTTCTCTCATTGCCACTCATGACTACTACAGACGTAAGAGCTATTTAAAAATCAATTTCTCTCGTCTATTTGCAAAATGTGTAATCATTTGCGTTGATTTTTAGGACGTCTGGGGTCTAACTCCAGCAACAGCTCGTGTGGCAGTGCTGAGTACACAGGCGAGGTCATTCCACACCACCCAGGTATAAAAAAAAAAACGATAGACTTGAAGTCAAAGTTATTAAGATTTGTGTCTAAATTTGGCTTTTCTTGTAGCTCTTCCCAGGCAGGACTCGGGACATTGGTGGACATCCTTTTTCTTCTCAAAACCAAACATGCCCAGCGGGTCCGAATCTCAAAAGTGAGTAAAAAACGCAGCAGTTTGTCAATCTTCAGGTGAAAAAAACATAGTAATAATTTGCGTTCTGTTTTAATTTTTTTTGCAGAAATGGCTCATACACAGTGGCCAATGGTCAGGTGACGTGCGTAGCCAGGGAGATGGTCCTCAAGAGGCAAGTCAGCGAAACCAGCGACAGCGGGAAGTTCGAACCCTCGCCTCCCTCCAGCAATCCTCCAACTTCTTCATAACAAACTCTGATTTCGGCCTTTCACCGTCTTCTCGTAGTCCAGGCTCGAGCTGGAGATGAGGATTTATGATGAACACGGCTCTAGAGTAAATAGTGAACTTCAATGTATTGTGTTTTTATTATGACCAAGTGTAAAAAAAGTGTACAATATTTTTTCATAGTGTCAATGCTTATAAATAAAACATGTTAAAACTATTTCTGAGCAATTGTGAACTTTTTTCAAGGGGGAAGTTTTTGGCCACAGATTATAAGCCAAAACTTTAAAATGGGGACTACCCCAAAGTTTATTTTTTTTTTATCATTTGGATTTGAAGTTTCAATGCTTAAAATCCCACTCTTGGGTAAAACATAACTTAGAGGAAGTCTAAAAGACTCATTTGTGAGAGTAATGACAGGTGGTAGCGGACGACTAAACAAGCTGATCAAACAAATTCATATTTTACTATGTCACTCAACCAGAGCTCCTGCCACGAGCCCTGGTGTGTACTATCCTGGTGCACACTGGTGTAGTTTTGCATTGCTCATGGTCCAGGATAAGACAAACGCATCACATTGAAACACAGAACACATATGATCACAGCAATAAGCGTCTCTCCTCAGAGCCGTACCGATGTCTCCACTATAACTACTGTATCAATAACTTCAATCTTGAATTGAGACATTTTTATTAAAGAAATATTCATCAATGCTTGGTTTTGATATTTTCCTCTTTTGTGTGTGTGTCGTTGGCTTTTGTGAGGTATGTTTTTTGTACTTCATTACTATTGCAATTTCTCATTTGCTTTTTATTTATTTCTAATTTTCAACGCAAGGTGAAAATAGTGAAAGTACTTTGTTGTAAATAAAAATGTAAACCAGTGAAAATGACACAACAAAAATCCCAATCCTCAAATAATTATAAGGAAAAAGGGTGTTTATGTATATAGCACACTTTGGATACAGGAAAATAGCAACACATTGTGCTCAAGAAGGGAACGGACATCCAACTGGTGAAGAAAAAACACTGGTCTGTAGAAAATGTCAAAAGAAATGACTTCCATTTACAAGGAGCATAATGGGAGCAAATCTACAAGCAAAGCCTAAGTCAGGAATGCTGGGCCTTATCAGTTCTTCCATTTTGAACTGAAAGTCAATGAACCTGTTTCTAATTTAAGCCTTTTCGATCAATTATTCCAAAGATAGAGAAGGTACATAACTGTCTAACCACAAAAAATAGACCTATGTAATAAGATCTGTGTTTTTCGGCCTCTGTCACCCCTTTGGATCAGCTTTCTGCTTTCGGAGAGAAAAGTGAAAAATTAGTTTGGCCCAAAGTGGCAATCAGTGACTCACAGGTACAAGTATGTGAAAGATAAGATGTTCTCAACAGTTTACATTTACAAGACTTTCTGTTGGAATAAACAAAATGTATAGGCCTATTATTAATTAAACATAAAAAGTGAGGAACCCCAGCTTTAAGTGTTTCTGTGAATTGATTCATAATTATCCATTAATCTCTATAAATAAATGTTTTCAATGATAATGAACTAATGCAGACTGTGATGTTAAGGGAGAACTTTCCTACAGCTTTGGTTCTGCGAATCTCTGTATATTGTAACTGGAGGTCAACTCCTGACGCTAAATCAGTCAGAAGAATGTGACACATTTTTGGAGCGTGAGAATGTCAACACTTGCATTTTTGTAAATACTAAAAAGAGGTAAGATAGAAATTAAAGATAGAGTCGGAGTCTTTTAAAAACAAATGTATGTGCTGCTCAAACGAATTGCCCCTGATGGGATAAATTAAGTACTGTAGTCTGAGTCTGAATCTGAGTAGTGTGAAAAAGAGATCCTTAAGAGTAAATAAAAATAAAATTAAAAGTACTATTGTTTTTATTTTCATGGAAAAGCCTTTGACCTACTTTTAAGTCAGCTGATGTGAAGTTTCACATCAGCCTGTCTAGGGACAACAGATGGAAATTAGCCTATGGCTAAAATCTGACATATTTACATATTTTATATGTTCATTAATATGTACTGTCCCTACTTAAATAAATAAATAAATAAATAAATAAGTTTCAGGCAACAATTGTGCCGTTCACGCAGCACCAGGGAAAGTAAATATTTTCATCTTTCAAAAGTTTCCATATTGGCCTCGTCCCTGACTTCACACTGACAGTATACAGTGATGTGAAAAAGTTTGGGTACCCTTTTCCATTCTCATGATTTTTCCTTTATAAATCATTAGTGAAACTGAAAGCTTAAGTCTCTGGGGCTTGAAAACAACACAACTAATTTGGTTTCAATCATTCTTGCACACTTTCTATTTCACTTCTCAAATATCTCAGTATTTTTCTCCTATGTGATATGTATTAACCAAACAACCAATCAAACAAATTGAGAGGGATGCCCAAACTTTTTGATACCACTGTATATATACCGACATTACTGTTTAGACTCATTTCAAAGCACAATGGAAAGATGCAGCTCAAAACTTACGTAAGCTGTTTAAGTTTGATGTGATGAGTTTACAGAGGCAGTAATGCTCCTTATATAAGGCCTCGTCATGGAGAGGATGTGGGTCAAAGCTCTCAGCAAAACTCCCGACTCATCCTGAAGTCATTCCTGAAGTTTTTGAGGTTTCATTATGTTTCTGGAGATGTTAATATTTGTACACGGCTTTGTCCTAACCAACTTTAATCGTCAAAATATGCCCTTTGTAATAAAATCATCTACCTGGTTCCTGGCTAGACTTTTAGACCTCTGTCACGTCTTTAGATCAACTTGTTCCAGACAGACAAGAGAAAAAAACGAGGATTACCCGACCCTCAGCCAATCAGCTGTGAGCTCAAAACATCAAATGATTATGACTCACGAGGCACAAAGGTTTTCTGATGAGATGACAGTATTTTGTGGTCTGATTTGTTCACAACATTTTACTTTTGCGAGACTCTTTCTGTTGGAACAAAAACATGAAAAATTTGTAGCTATTTAGGCTTCAAATCAATTAAATTAAACTCAGAGGGCTCAATTCGACACAGAGGGCTTTATAAAGTTGTCGATTCCTCAACAACAGATCAGAGAATCAACAGACAAAAGTGTGCAAACATGTTAAAGGCAAAACACATAGTCTGTTCAGGAGATATTACGTACAATAAAAAAGTAATTAAAGAAACAGTGGCAATAGTAATGCAGGTTTTTTTTCTTCTTTTTTTTTTACAAACTCATAACAAACTCATAGGAGTCGTTGGTCCATAGGAGGCGGATGACCACTGTCTATAAATGTTAAAAAAAAAAATCCGTAAAATCTGTTAAACTTCTAATTTCGCCGAATCGGTTGTTCTATAACAATTCTTTTTGGGGAAAACATTTTGCAACACTGTCCAAGAATAGTCCGGACCCGCTCTGTGTGCTCTCCAGGAGAGATAAGGCGGCTGGTCAAACACCAAAGTCCAACGAGTGCTTTTGGATAGAGGACACAATACTCGGAAGGTTAAATATTTTTGAAAAACTCGGACCACTATCCGTGTTTAAAATACAGCTAAAGGCCTCATCTACTTCCTCACCCCCAAGGACATGGCATGGTGTCATTGCTGCACGGTGAGTGAAGGGTTTAAAACGGTACTGAGGGCCCCGCATGCCGTGGTCTTGGCGGGCACGGGAGTCTCTGATGACCCTCCAAGGCCAGCCCAGGTCTCTGCGTATAAAGTTCACAGACAAGAGGAAGGAAAAATACGAGAAAACAGAGCTCTGCAGCCATTTATATAAGATTATTAGACTTTCAGTGCGGTTAATGCAGCATTTCTCATTCTATAGAGAAGTGGAGGCTGTAATTAGTGATAAAAATGTGCCGTTATTTAAACAGAATATAAGATTAAGATCCTTCATTCGTCCCACAATGGGGAAATTTCAGTGCTGCATCACAAGGTACAGAACAGTAGGAATGAGGAGCACACAGCACAAGATAAATGAATAATAACTCTATATTAAAAAAATGAAACAAATTAAAATATCTAACTCTAGCACAAAAAGTATAGAATCTCTTTGGCATAATAAGGAAAGAAGTCTTAACATCTCCAAATTAAGTCCAAAAACCCCTGACTTTAGCATGAAAAGAAGCAGGTATAAAATGCTGTATATTCTAGTTCAAGTATGATAGTTGTGTGTATACATCTGTACATGTTAGAAAGTGATTTCTTATTCGAGGGGTGGTCCTGACCAAGAGGCAAAACAACACAACCAAATAAGCATTTCACAACAAAGCAGACAATTACAAAACTGACAATAAATTAAGGAGGAACCAATTATGATGGTTTGAAATTGGGGTTTTTTGCCAGAGAAAACTCACACACCTAAAAAATAGCAATTCATATGTTTCCAATGAGCTCAACTGTAATCTGTATTCATATGTGTGGCCTATGTTTGTTCTAAGATATTATGAAGATAGTAGGACTGACTTCAAACCTGATGTACCGACGCTGTTGCTATTGTCAGAAATAGAATGAGCTATAATGGGTGCGGAGTGTTGGCAGTCACGTGAAACTATATTTGACAAAACCAGGTGAACCACTTCTCTTCTAGTTATACGTATATAAGGGGTATAGAAGAGGCATAGAGACAGTGTTATGAGAGAATGTGGTTAGCAATATGTAAGATGTTCATGTCAAGTCAGCATTAGATGGCCCTAATATGTCAAAAGGCATCAATAAAACATGTTCTTTTCAAATACATATTGTTTTCATTTCGATGTCCCACTCTCCACTGTTTTATCAATCAGAAAGTCTATGATCCAGGTTGGCAGAACTCACCGCGTTGAGCAATTGTCACTGGTAAACATGACATGTGGACACAGAACTAAAAATGGTCTTGTTATGATTCTCACATCATTACCGACAATAAAATGAACGGATTGAACCCAGGATTTCTATCTTTGAGAAAAAGGTGTTAGTTATAGATTTGTTGATGGCAAAACTCTTTATTCAGATATTATGGTCCCAGCTGGATTCGTCTGCATATCTGGCA